GGGGCGGCTGAAGCGCTTGTGGACTGTGGCCGGGTGAACACTGACATGTGGACTGCGGAGCTAGTGCTGCCCCTACCTCTAACAGCCCACACTAACACTAACACCCAGACTCCGAGTCGGTCGTGTTCACGGGCTGACATCCGAGTAAGAACGACCTAGAGACACTGCATGTGTTCCCAGCCGACACTGATCCAATTGATGCATTCTATTATAGTAAAGGAAAGGGAAAACACGCCAATCTCTCATTGCTGTCGGTTGCCGCAGTTTGTCTCTTGTTCCCGTCTCAGGTCAGTAGTAAGTAGTAGTAGAGGTCTTGGTATGGAAAGTACACACTGTATGTACTGCGAATCAGTACCTAACTAACTCACCCTTGCCTTCCTTGTCTGGCCCATAACGCCACTGAGGATTTGGTGTAAGTCAAGGTAACAAGCGCCTTCCCAAATTGGCAGCTCATCAACGCAGCTCTGTAGCCAGTTATCGACAAGAGCGACCGAGGTCTCGACCCCGGGTCCGACTTCGCACATCTTTCCTTAGATGGACAACTGGGCGAGACATTGCGGTGCCAGTCGATACAACCTAACCTACCTTCTCCCGTTGATACCATGGCCCTTGTGAGCGGGAGATGGAGTTGATAGACACGGAAGGGTGGCGGGATGCCATCCAAAAGAGGACTTTTCCGTTGAGATGATCTGAGTCGCACGACATGGAAAGACACCTCGGCCTTGTTATATTAAACCACCAAGTCCTCCCGGTGATCCATCTCCTCGGCCTCTCCTTCCCTCCAGGTCTATCCTCTTCATTCCCATGGACTCAACCTCTTCGATGAGCCTCCTCTACTCCTCATATTGATCGATCGATGCCAGCTTGAGACTTTTCCTCAACACCGCACCTCACTATCAAACTTACCTCACCTACCTACATCCTGCAGCCTTTTTAGCCCCGATCCCCTACGGGAACCCTACAGCACATCCCAAGGGGTGACATCACACAGCTGCGGCCATCATGGCGCAAAACGTCACCGAGATCCACGATATGGGCGTGGACAAGAAGTCTAGCCCATACGATGAGGGCCGCATCGACGAAAAGGCCCCTCATGACTTTGCGGCTGAGGAGGCCACCGTTGACCGTACCGTCGAAGCGTGAGTCTGTCCCAGCTAACCAAGCGATGGCCCGTACCGTTCCAAAAGTCATGACTAACAACACCGGCAACAACAGTGACTTCAGTGTCACCGAGCAGGATCTCCTGGAGGCCAAGGCCCTCGCCGACAGCATGTCGCTTGAGGAAGTCCGAGCCCTCATGGAACAGGTCCTCAAAATCCACGGCAACGATCCCAACTTCCCCCACACCATCATGACCAAGATCGAGGAGTTCTTGGGCAACGCCAACATCCTCACGAATCCCGAAAAGTATGAAGAGATTATCTACGAGATGAAGATCGAGGCCGCCCTCATCACCAACAACTCACCCTATGCCGAGGTCCGTGCTGTTGTCGACAACCATGACGATCCCACCATGCCCTGCTCCACCATCCGTGCCTGGGTCATCGGTCTCATCTTCTCCGGTGCTCTCGGTGCCATCAACCAGCTCTTCTCCATCCGTATGCCTGCCATTACTGTCGGCCTCAACGTCGCCCAGCTGTTGGCCTACCCTGTTGGCAAGATCTGCGAAAAGGCTCTTCCAGATGTCGGCTTCACCCTCTTCGGCTCTCGCCACAGCCTCAACCCTGGCCCCTTCAGCCGCAAGGAACACATGCTTATCACCATCATGGCCAACGTTGCTGGTAGCACTCCTTACACCAACAACATCATCTGGTCTCAATACCTTCCCGAGTACTTCAACCAGTCCTACGCCGGCCAATTTAGCTACCAGATCCTGGTCGCCCTCTCCACCAACTTGATCGGCTACGGCATGGCCGGCTTGACTCGTCGATTCCTCGTCTACCCCAGCTACTGCGTCTGGCCCGCCTCTCTCGTCACCATTGCTCTCAACAACGCCTTCCACACCGAGTCGAACGTGCCAGTGCTTGGCCCCCTCAAGAAGGTCTTCTCCATGTCGCGTTATACCTTCTTCTTGTGGGCTACTTTGGCCATGTTTGTCTACTTCTGGCTTCCCAACTACCTCTTCCTTGCTCTCAGCGCCTTCAGCTGGCTGTCGTGGATCTCTCCCAACAACATGGTCCTCAGCAACATCACCGGATTCAGCAACGGTCTCGGCCTCAACCCGTGGCCCACCTTCGACTGGAACGTCCTGCTTTTCGACGGCACCGACCCCCTCATGGTTCCCTTCTTTAGCACGCTTAACAAGTTCCTGGGAATGTTCTGCTCGTTCTTCGTCGTCATTGGTATCTGGTGGTCCAACACCTACAACACGGGCTACCTGCCCATCAATTCAAACAAGGTATACGACAACATGGGCCAACGCTACAACATCTCTCGTGCCATCAACGAGAAGGGTCTGTTTGATGCTGAAAGATACGAGGCCTACTCACCTGCTTACCTGGCTGCCGGCAACTTGGTTGTCTACCTCTTCTTCTTTGCCATCTATCCTGCCACCCTCACTTACATCCTGCTCAACCACCGCTACGAAGTCTCCATGGGTTTCAAGAACCTCTGGAACTCGCTTCGCAGGAACAAGAACACCGAGGCTGGCCAATACAAGGATGTGCACAACCGTCTCATGGCCGTCTACTCCGAAGTTCCCGAGTGGTGGTACCTGATTATCCTGTTGGGCGCCATCGGCTGCGGCATCGGTGGCATCGCCGGCTGGGAGACCTACACCACCCCTGCCGTCGTCTTCTACGGTCTCATTCTCTGCTTTATCTTCGTTATCCCCGTCGGCATCGTCAAGGCTATGACGGGCATGGAGGTTACTCTTAACGTCTTGGCCGAGTTTATCGGTGGTTCCTGGGTCCAAGGTAACGCACTCGCTATGAACTACTTCAAGTCCTTCGGCTACGTTACCTGCGCCCACGCGGTCTGGTTCGCCAACGACCTTAAGCTCGCCCATTATGTCAAGATCCCGCCCAAGCACACGTTCGCTGCCCAGGTCGTCGCCACGCTCGTTTCCACCTTCATCTGCACCGGTATCCTCAACTTCCAGATGAACGACATCCCCAGGGTCTGCACTAACGAAGCCCCCAACAAGATGACGTGCCCGGGCATCAACACCTTCTTCACTGCCTCGGTTCTCTGGGGTACCATCGGCCCCAAGAAGATCTTTGGTCACAATGGCCAGTACACAGCCCTCATGCTTGGCTGGCCCCTCGGTCTCCTTCTCCCCGTCATTACCTGGTACATTCAGAAGCAGTTCCCTCAGAAGAAGTGGCTGCGCCAGATTCACCCCATCGTCCTGTTGTACGGAGCCATGTACTGGGCCCCCTACAACTTGTCGTACGTTATCCCCTCGGTCTGGATCGGCTGGCTGTCCTGGATTTGGTGCAGGAGCCGCTTCCTTGGCTTCTGGTCCAAGTACAACTTCGTGCTGTCCGCCGCTTTCACCACGGGTATCTCGGTCGCTGCTGTCATCATCTTTTTCAGCTTGGACTGGTCGGGTGTTGAAGTTAGCTGGTGGGGCAACGACGTGGTGTCGGAAGGGTGCGAGGGTAAGCCTTGCTTGTTGAAGACGTTGAAGGAGGGAGAGATTTTTGGGCCCGGGCCTGGGCAGTTCCATTAAGCGTGGAAGAAGATGGAAGGGATGGGGAAGTGAGGGATAGTTTGTTATTGAAGTTGTTGTTGATACCCAGGCTTTGATGTATGGACTAGCGGGGCGATGATGATGTTATGATGTCGTATGGCAGTATGAATAATACAGTTTTGTTTCTGATCATGTACATGATAATAATATGGAGGATGCCTCCTAGAGTATTATTTGTGGACGTTCAAATGACAACAACACTCCTCAAAGAGACCATTGGCTTTGTGAATCAGTGATTGAGACCAAACATCAAGCTAAAATGCCATTCGAAGGATATACCGCCATGTCGATGCCATTCACTCTAGGTCACGGACATCCTGTCTAAGCCGTGACAGAACCGCAAATTCCCTTTTTCTGGCATTGCGCAACCTCATGGTTCGAAGGTGTGCATGTCTCCATTGTCGGTGATGTAGACCTAAGGACGCCTAGGGATGAAGGACGTGAATGACATCGATGCTTTAACTCAAAAAAAACACCTACCACATGGAGTCGCTGATCAGATTTCACACGTGGGTATTCCATTATATTTATTCCTCATCTCATTCTTCTTCTCTCATCTGCACGTTTTCGCTTGTTTGCATGCTCGCTTACTTGCTCATCTGCTTTTGCTTGCCCGCCTCCCCTTTGTTAACTCAGCCCTTCCCTTTTCTCTCTTCTCTTCAGCACCCCTGTCCAAGTGACAGGTTCTCCCCTATTGCTCAAACCGCGAGGCCTAGGTATGCGTAATCATCACCATTCAACACCATCCAACACCATCCATCATCGCCAACCTCCCATTCAGCCGTCCTCCGTCCGTCCGTCTATCATAAGTGGAAATAGTTATACGTTACTGTAATAAGAAAACGAAAACGAAAATAAAAAGTATTTGTAGGAGAATAGAATAGATTGCGATTTTTCCGAGGTAGGACAGTGGACAACCAGAGAGAGATGTAAATGCGGCCTGCAATTGCGTCCTTCTTGCCCACGTTGCTGGAAGCATGGATGCTGTCATCTGCATGCATGCAAGTAAACAATCGATGATGTCCTGCTTCGCTCTGCGCACATTGCGACATCACCTTGCTTGCAACCGCTGTGACAATATGATCATTCGCACGCAAAAGCGAAGCCTGTTTGAGGTACATTAGAATTTAGCCCAAGCATGGCCCCAGGGCTGTTTGCGAGACACGTTTCCGAGGTGTTTCCGACAGTTTTGCCCATGCATGCATGCGATCCCAATGCTCAAGTCGTGTGGAATTTCGTCGTTTCATTAAGTTGTTAACGGCCATTTCTAAAACAGGCCGCCATGATATCGTTTTTTGTATAGTTTGGTGTCGTCGTTCCCCCACTTTATGTTTTTAATGGTAGTGCTTCATGGGGTGCATCATCATGTTCGGGACATATCTCTTGCCGTCCTTTTCAACCAGGAGCCAGGGGCGGGCGACATCTTTGGGCAGCTCCTTGCCCATCCAGGCATCGACAATCTGCCTGGGCCACTCGCTCTCCCACCAAAAAGTCAGTCCCATGCCACTGGGGTGATCCCAGACGTCGGGACCGACGCCATCGGTGCTGTTGGCTGGCCCCCCCTTCCACCAGGCATTTTGCGTCTCGTCGTCGTGCTCCTTCTTCCAGAATACGGGGTGTTGAGGGAAGCTCAACTTGAGGCCATGCCAGAGCGCAAAGCTGGACGGCGTGGCTTCGCTGGGCGCCCTCAGTCCCTTCACAAGTTGGGCCTCGTGGACGGCGAGCAAAAGGGTCCGACTTGTCCTGGTAATGGCGGGTGGGCAGAAAAAGCGAGGGGTGCTGGTTCCGTCCTTGAATCCTCCTAGCCATCCCTTGAAAACCCAGGCGTCGGCCTTTTGCGCATTGTTGCATGCCGACGTAACGATCACGTCCGCGTCCTCGCCGACACCCCATTTGAAGTCCTCGTTGTTTGCGAGCTCGGTCGGCGGCTCGGGGCCGATGGGATCGATGTCGGGAATTCTCAGAGGGCCCCAGATGTACGCTCCACCCTTGTTGGCCCTATTGACCGCGTCAAAAAAGGCCTTGTAGTCTCCGATCTTGTTCTCCATCTGCTGAAACATGGCGCGCTCAAAGGCCTGCTTGCGCGGCTCCTTGCGCGCAAAGTCGGACATTCTGTCGAGGAACTTGCCAGCGTCACCGGTGAAGCGCATGTCGAGCTCGACTTGCCAGATGTGGTCAAATTCGGGGTAGTGAAGTGAAAAGAGCTGGACGGGTTGGTACACCTGCCACATGGTTCTGCAATACTGTTAGTCTTCTCTCTTGCGGTTCTGTGGGCAAATCATCTTACCTGTGCTCCGCGATATCCGGATACCAGCTCTCGAGCAGGCGATCGTCCCACAACACTGCGATTTCGCGGAACTCGGCGGGAATCCCAAGCTCGCTCAGGGCCTTTTCGTAATTTTCGTCCGACGCGAAGATGTACGGTTGATAGTCCTTCATATCCACGAGCAAAACGACCTGGTACTCTCCTCCTGTCCTCAAGGATGCCTCAACGATCAGGGAGCGAAGGTTCTGCATGTCCTCGGCCTTCCAATCGTATCCTCTCCACGCGCGCACGACAATTGCTGTTCGTCGGGTGTTCTTGAACTCGTGCCACTGGCGAGTCTCAGGAATGCGTGTTACGTTTCTGTATCCGAGCCGAACCATCTGAAGAGTGTTATCGAAGGGAATCGCCGAGGTGGGAAAGCGATGGCGGTTCCTCTCGAAGCATTCGTTCTGGAGCTTGCCCCAGTTAATCTTGTTCCAATCGACCTTGGACCTGTTGTACGACTTGTCCTCCTCGCCGTATCCGTAGGGTCCGTATCGTCCGTCGATCGTCATCCATGTCTGGTCGAGGCCGATGGTCGCATATGAGCCCCAGAAGGGCTGGGGGTAGGCTGAAGGCGGCAGGTACACGTTAGCAGGGAACGCAAGCTTAAGCGCGCAGCGGGAGGCGCAACGTACCGACATCGAGCTTCTCCTCCTTCAACTCGTCATCAGGACTCCGCGACAGGAATTTGCCACGAGGCCCATAGCACGGGACACGCTCCTGTAGCCGAGGTAGTGGTTTGAAGTTGGTGGGTTGGCGCACTGGGCCTTTCTTAGGGGGTTCGGTGAAGGGGGAGAACGAGGAGGCCCAGCGTGGTGACCATGGTCCCAGAGTTAGGAAGAGGAAGAGGTAGACGACAGCGACGGGGATGAGGAATTGTCGGGCGAAGATGATTCGGCGGAACTTGAGCAGTCTACTCATGATGGGCGGTAGCGGTCGAAAACTGGCGAAGAATCGCGAAAGTGTCCCTGGGTGGGCGAGAAAGGATCAGGAGGACCGGCGAGGAACCTCCTACCCAGAGGAAATGAAACGAGCGATCGAGATCCGGCTATCGCATACAGCTGAAGCAGTGAAGAGCAACTCCCGTCGGTACAAGTGTGCTACTAAGACTCGCTCTTAGCTGCCCCGCGTCGAAGTTGTCGCAAGGAGGGCGGTCCCTGTCCTAGGTAGCTAGTATGGCAGTTGCCTATGCAGATGTGACGGTAATTGAAGCCTTTCGTGGAAAGATTTGGACAAGAAACGAAGAACCGAAGGACCAGTTAGCGGGGTAAAAGGTATCACGCAACAAGCGGTCGCATGACGCTGAAACAAGAGGCAGCTGGAAGAGGGCCGGCTCCAAAAGTGAGAGAGACTCGACAGGATGAAGAGAAAAAGATGGGATTCCACGACAGGAAAATGATCAATCAACGGTGCAGCTGGTTTCACCACATTATTTTGGTCTCGTACGAGGTCCTAGACTGGTCGCCAGCCAAACAGTGGAGGCACCGCCAAACCAGTGCAGGGACAGACAGGGATGAACAGGGAGCGAGGGCGGCACTGACGGAGACAGCGATAACGCTCAGCGGCCCCCGGCTACCTCTACCTAACGGCGGGCAGGCACCAAATGGAGGCAGCAAGCCGGCCCAGGGGCGGGCAGGGAGACCCCTGAAGGCGGGCCGCCTTGGTGGGAAAAGGGAGCTGGACCAGGACCCCTCCCGTCCATGCCCTCGTCGCCCCCTGACCAAGGAATTCGAGACCAAGTTGCACAGCAGTAGAGGTAGTACCTAGTTTTTGACACTGCCGATTCTGCACCATTTGGGTACTCTTTACGCCTATCCCGGGCGAGGGCCATTCAGGAGGATGAGTATGCAGAGTATGCAAGAACCGGAGTATACTGTTTAGGATGCGATTGAAGAAATGATGTGTATTAAATGTGAAAGGGGCGGTAGGTAGCAATGCGCGTTGGTTGTTTGTCTCCTTTGGCTGTCCATGGCCAGATGGCAAAGAAATACATGGTTGGAACACAAAGCCACCCTCACCGCAGTTGTACAATGCTAACGGGAAATGTCCGGTTGTCATCAGGCTTGAAAGGAAGAGAAAGACGAGACCTGATACCCCATGATGGACCAGTTCAAAAAAGAGAAGAAGCCGAACAACACTTCTACCGTTCCAAAGCCATGACTCCCCATGACGTTGTGGATCGTTTCCAGAGCTTGGCATTCTCGTCATTTTATCAAAGCGTCCAAAAAACCCATCGCCTTCTTCACGGAGACGAGGAGGAAGAGGGAATCGGTGAAGCGAAAATAAAGTTGAGGCCCCCCAACCCTTACCCCTGAAACCCCAAACCAACGGCTGCCCGGTCGCTTCATACGCACCCATAACGCCCCTTTCAGGATTGGGTTTAGACCGCCCGCCCGGAAAACGTCTTTGCGCCTACGCATGGCATCGGAAATGGAAGAGCTCCATCGCGAAAGAGGCTGACACCGAGAACAGAGTGGCTTCCGAATGTTCGAGGTACTTTCACTGCTTGTCATTCCCGATGCCGTCTGTGCGACAAAGGTGTCACTCGTTTTGGGTATTAGGTGACATGTGATACGTGCGAACAATGTTTATGTTTCAGATCCTTCTGTACCAATGGAACGGTCAGTGACAGACAATGATGCTGTCTAGGGGGTTGGAGGAGTCCATCTTTTGCTATCCAAGAACTAGGATAGCATAAAGGTTCTGCCAGCCGTGCACCCTGGACTGAACTGCAGATCTGCGAACATCGCGATTCCGCTGAAACGGGACAGCAATTGTCGATCTCGCCATCCCCGAGTAACGGGGGGGTGCGATAGAAAGATCCCGAGCAGCGGCAGTCTCGGTTTCGAATCCTCAAAATATCACCAACGAGGCCTGTAAAGGACAAGCCTGTATAACAGCCTATGGCATTCCGTAGACAACCACGTGCAGCCCAGTGAACAGTGATGAATCACTTGGACAGTATCGCAAGGATTCCGTCGGTAAGCGCGATGGCATCAATTTCTCTGGCCGGTTCTGCTCAGCATTAGCTAGGTACATTCAATGCCTAATCGATATGGTTCAGCTTGCCTTTATTTTTTCCACGCTCGCGTGCTAATTCCCCAAAGGCAGCTCGCGGCTCGGCGTGGGCCCAAGCCAACCATCGCTTATTCGTCGCCGAGTTAACAGCCGTTTATCCATCTGATTACGCCGCAAAATGCCCGTGGTAAATGGATTCCAGAGCAAGGCTGAGTCACGGGAACCAACTCCAGGCTCCCCAGCAGCCTCCAGACACCCTCCTCTATCGCTTCGCCTTGAACTTGTTGTTAATTCGTCGAGTAACCCCCGTCCCGCGTAATTTTGCGTCTGCCATATCTTGGAAATCGTTCTCGTTGTTTTTGTTGCTCGTGTCGTTATTCGCCCTTCTAATAGCGATGTCTGGTCGAGTAATCCTTGGGACTAACCACCAAACCGCGTCCCTTCTTCGCGCCGCGGTAGACCGTCTCGATGATATCGATCAGTTCTTGTTTGTCTTCCAGTACCCATTTGATCTTGTTGTTGTCACCGGTGCCGAGATCAATCATCATGTGTTTGTTTCGGAAGAAGCTGTGCAAACAAAAGATTGTCAGTGACTGTCTCGCAACTCAAAAGGGAGATCAGGCCGAGATAGTACTTACAACATGAGGGTGCATTCGTCGTATAACTCGTACATCTGGTTGAAATCAGGAACCTTGTCAATGTCGCAGAGGTAACTGGTGGTGTGGCGATGGGTCAGCAGGTGTTGATGGAAGAGTGAGATCGAGGCCGGAGGAAGACGTACATGACTGCAAAGTTCTTGACCTTGTCGGCGATGCGATAGAGGACTTCGTCTTGGCGCATGCAATCGGGGCTGTGATCGCGGCCGAAACGGATAACCACCACACGCTCGTCTTCGCTTAGAATGGCCTGGTCGACGTGCCAGCCGGTCTCGAGATGGGGAAGGACGATGGAGCCCATGGTGATTGTGGAAAATGTTGAGCGATTCGATGGTTCGGTGGATAATTGCTATTGATATCAATGTAGATGATGGTGACAGTTAGAGGGCGAAACTCCGTAGAGGCTGCAAATGGTTGAGCAGAAAATCGAATGTTGACGATGGATGATGATGATGTCGATTGAGACGCGATTGCAGTCGAAGCTCGTCGAAATTCCCCACTGCTACCTACCTACCTACACAACCTAACCTCTACGGCTGGCTTACATAATAAGCACCTTATCGATAAGACATCGAACTGGCGGGAACCAAGGGAGGGCGGGCTTCCACTTGGCGTGCCGTGTGCAGGTGCGACTTTGCTTCACTCATCACCAACCTCGTCGTCGTCACCATTCTACTCAGTACTTTGTCTCTGATTCATTCGTTTTCTCTGACATATAGTTTTATCACTCCCGCGAACTTAGTTGTACTTGTCCAAGCGCGGTAAGGTGCACTTCAGTCACCCCTCCATCGAATTCCCCAATTACCCTTGGCAAAGTGTGGCTCGACGACCTTGCCTCCTGGCATCACGCACTCGCACGTTTTCTTCTTGCCATCGGGAGAAGACGACACATCAAACCCAAACACCACTCCTCTTCTCGCCACCGACTTGATTATCTCCTTTTGTTGCGCCTTTCTGTCCCCCTCCGCTTTCTTCTGTCTGATTTCTTCCTTCATTTCCTCGCTTTCTGCCTTTCGCTCCGCCCGGCCCTTTTCCCCGCCCACGCTGCCGTTGACTTCAGAGACCTCTTGGGGAGGACGGATGCGCGTGCCGCTGCGGACCGCCAGACGAGCGACCTCATGGCCGCCAGTGGTGTACGGATGGGATTTGCCCTTGGGTAGCGGGGCTATCTCGTCGTCAAAAGCTTTGTCGCCCAGCTGCAGAGCGTCAATCTTGATGCCGCCGATTGCCGAATCTCTACTCGATGGTCTGCCGGCTTTTGTTGAGGTTGACTGAGACTCTTCGTCTGTAGAGGTAATAGGATCCTCGTCATTGGGCCCCACGCTTGTCAACGCCCTCGACTTCCGGTTCTTCTTCCTCCCATACACCTTTTCGGCATCCTTCTCCCTTCCAAAGACAATTGTCTCCACCTCTTCTAGCGTGACCACTCTTCCCTCTCCCTTCTTTGGCTTCGCTGCACCATTCTTCCCCTTCTTCTTTCCGTCCGCTTGACCATCTGCAAGTTGCTCCATCCCGTCCACCATCTGCCCCTGCAACAACTTGACGTACGTCTCCTCGATCTGCTTTTCCTGCTCTTTTACGTCCCGCTTTTTGTGTTGGGACTCACTGCGACATCTCGAGGTGCAGAACCTGCTGACTTCCTGTTGCTGGAGTTGGCCTGTCTTCTCGTCTTCCTTGTCCTGGTCTTTACCGCCACGCTTGAATCCCTTGCTTTTGCCTGCTCCCTGCTTCTGGCTTGCAGCAGTTGACGCGGGAGCTCCAGTGGTGCCAAAGGTGCGCTTGGGGTCAATGAGCTTGCCGCAGCCTTTGCAGTACGGCTCTTCGGGATTGTTTTGGAACTGTGAGAGGAGGTAGTATGGGGGCGGGATGGCATCCGACTTGGTCGGGCGGGAAAATGAGGATGCCCAGGCCATGATACCTCTACTGCCTGGCTGTAGTGTGGAGGGAGAGTTGGACGGTGAGTCAACGTTCAAGGCTGCTAACCGAAATCTCTATTCGATGTTTGAAACTTTTCCAGAATGCTGCGACGATGTAAAACAGACGGAGTTTGTTGAATGGAGGAATTCAGAAGTTGATGAGCAAAGTAGTGTACTTGTTGGTGGTTGTGTTTGTTGCGGCGGAAATGGGGGATCTGCAGGACCACAAAGGCGAATACGTCATCGGCATCATCAGGGTCCAAGAGTCCGACCACGACAATCGCAAGGGTCCTATTCGCATTTTTCTCAACACCATCGACCTCTATTTTACTTTATACTCTAGATCGATACTAACAAACACAGACAAAAACACCAATAGCACCACTCGCTAGTTCTAAGCATTCACCATGGCCATATAATCCACCGTCGGCTCCAATCCTTCAAGTTGCACCTTCACGTTACCTACCACTTGCCTCATTCCGGCGGCGGCACTCTCCTTCCAAACATCTTTCAACTTGACCGCCATCTCCACCGTCAACTTCAGCTTGGGCACCTGGTTTGGCCTCAAAATCGCCGTCATCGTCTGCGCCCACTTCCACGGCTCCTCCACCCCTCCCGGTTGACCATTGAAATACTCCCACCCCGCGACCCCCCCAATTTGCCCATACGCGTCCCTCAAAGTCTTGATTGAGTTCGCCAGCGTGCCGGCAGTCACGAACCCTCCGCCGTTATTCGGGTTCGTCAGCTGCCCGATGACTATCTTGGTAGGCGACAGCGCCCCGCGCATGTCTCGTTGTGCGTTGTCGGTGATGATCTGGTGGAACTGGTTCGGGTTCCCCGCATCGCCAAACCCAGAGTAAAACTGGCAGTTATAGAAGGCTACTTCCTTGCCGGCGCCGCTCGGTGCCAGCATCAACTTGCGGTAATCGAACCCGCTGAGGTTCCAGCCGCCCATGGTCAGCGCGCTGGCAACGGGGGCGAGGGTGATGATAAAGTCCTTCCCGAAGTCGACGCGGAGCCGAAGGATGAGCCGCTCGATGCCACCCTGGCTCATGAGCTGCTCAACGTCAATGTCGAGTCCTTGGAGGCCGTAGCGCTTGATGGTCTCGTGAAGCTGGCCGTAGTATCGGTTGAAGACGGTCTCGTTGGCTGAGTCGAGCGTGTCTGGGGTGAAAGATCCAGCAGCGGCTCCGCCGATCATGCCCATGATTTTGACGCCGGCATAGCCAAGGATTTGGGTCTCTTGCCAGAGGGTGCCGTAACGCGGGTGGGTTGGCTGGTGGTCATTAAGGGTGATGTTCCCGTCTTTCTGGATGTGCAGGGAGCAAACGATGAGATGCGTGAGAGCAATGTTCTTTTCAGTGACGAGTGGAAGCATGGAGATGGGCTTGCCCGACTCGTCGTGTGTGGTCTGAAAATATATGATGAGGCGCGGGACTTCGGTGCGGATGATGATGTCTGTCGTGTTTCCCTGGCCATAGGCAAACGTGCCCCGAGGGGATAGAGTATGCTCATTGATATGGGCGCGGACCTGAAGAGGGTTGGCAGCTGTGACAATGGTGGGTGTAAGGATGGCCATCAAGGCAGCGGCCGCACGGAAAATCGTGGACCTCATGGTAGCAGTAGGTCGGCTATTGCTACTAATGCTTCCTGTAGGGTTGATGATGGAGGCATTGAACGAGAAGAGGGGGGGGTTTCACGCCTTATCGACGACGTGAATCCTTCCCAAACACGACACGCACCAATCAGTTGAAAAGGTATGGTGGCTTGAAGGATTCTGTTAACAGACTTCCCAGATGATTGGGCTTCGGAATGACGGTTTTGCTGGCATCGCGAATGGTTAGCAAGATACCATTCCCTTGACCACGGAGCAAAGCCAGGCAAATCGCAAAGCTCATTTCCGTCAAAACATGGAGTTTGTCTCAACTCCCGAACAAACAATTTTGTTTACACAGAAACACTCACCAGGAACGCGCACGATGATTTAGGTGGTTCGCGATGGCACCCGTGATCAAGAATGAAGAAGTCTTTTTGCCCATTCCCTCGCCGGCTTGGCAGGTTCCGAGACACAACAAATCGCGGTTCTCGAACCGAAAGGAGAGTCCCAAAGTTGTGAACTACCGGAAAGACTCGGGCCGTTGATTTCCAATTGCCAGAGAAATCAGGCATGGTCTGTAAGTATGCTGCCCGAATATATGCATTTTATGCCCTCGAAAAGGCGTGGGGGAGACGTGTTGCCACCCCGAAGCCAGTAGATTCGATTCTTCTGATGTCTTGCCCTTTCATCGACCTGACTTTTGAGACATTCAATTCACCATCTTGTATACACTTTCTGGCGTGTGTAAATGTTGCAGTATGCTCAGAGATTATGCCAGATTTCCCTGGAAGTAGAAGTTGTAAAATCAACGGCCCAAGTCATCGTGGTAGATCTGGTTCACCAAGAGTGACAACTCGCACAAATCAAGCCCACAGCCTCCCCACATTTTGTTCCTTTACAGGATTAGCACATTGGCGGTTGGGTGTCTCAGCCAGAATTCAAGGTCGACGTTAACGCGATTGGGCCAGGACCTTGGAACTGCGTAGTATGTATTACCTAGTGCTGAATCAAGCAGGAAGCAAGCGCTGAAAGCAAAAGCGCTTGACATCATCACATGATCTCCGAAATCGCCAAACCGAAGAACGGGTTACGAAATCATTCCCCATTCTGCCATTCCGAGGAACTTCGCTTTGATCTGCGCCTTCAGAGTTGTGGTTCTATCTGCGAGATGCAGCCATGCCTGGATATTCAGGAACTGGGGTCAGGAGGGTATCCGACTATGTGCTCTTCTGCTGCGGATGAGGTTGAGGTTCTCGCACTTGGAAAAGTTAGTTTGGCCAGTATCGATTCGACTTGATTGCTCTTACCTTTGTCAGAAACCAAGCTGCAGTATACATCACACTTCCCGACATGAATCAGCAGTATTACGCAAAATCGATGCGCTGCCTCAAAACCTACAGTACCTCTTGTCAAGTTTCGAAGCAACCGTGCCGCTCACATCAACGAGAGCGAGAAAGCACGAACCTTGCGGTTCCCATTGGAGGCTGCAAGCGACAGACCTTCCAGTTTTTACCTTGAGTTGGACACACACAACGTGGAAGTGCGCAGGCTACACAGCCTTTCAAAGTCGGATTCCCAAACTTCAGACATCGACCATGCGTTATTTCATGTGGTTGCGCTGGTTTCGACGAATCCCCTCCAGTTGAATCCAACCGAGATTCTGCGCGACTTGGATTTACAATCAACCTACTGTCCGAACTCTCCCGAGCCGACATGAGAATCAAGCTGCGACCACTGCCACAAAAACTGGCAGGACTTAGGCCGATATCCCATGGGTGACCAGAAGCGTGATGATGTATGGCGCAAAGGTTCCGCCGGCGGCCGGTCAAAGTCTCTTTCCGACGTGGTGGATGTGAGGTATAAAGTGAAGCATCAGTCGACCATTTCTGAGAGATATTCTGACTGCAGAGAATATTGCTCATCACACATCGCAAAGTCAACCGTATCAACAGAGTCATCACCAACTTCCGTCCCACTGGGACTGCCCAGAGTACCCTACCATTTTGAACCTTGGCCTTCAGATGAGCTTACTATTCAACCTGCCATTCCAGCTCATTTATCTCGACTTTCGAGGTTCATACACTTTTCCGTGTCTTGGACCATAGACGGTCCCTACACTCGATTCCTCATCGTCTTTCACCTACTGTATCCCAATTAGAAACCGGCAACATCATTCAACATGGACGCTCTCGCATCTCAACCCGGCCCGGTGTGCTCTTCGACCACCAGATTGGCAGAAAGTCAACGACAGCAACTTAAAGTGGCCATAATCGGCGGCGGCATCTGTGGCCTCGCTCTTGCAGTCGGCCTCTCAGGATGCAGGCACATAGACTTCCACATTTACGAGAAAATGGCTATTTACCGTGACGTGGGGGCTGGTCTGTCCCTCCACAAGAACGCCATTGCCGCGATGTATCTCATTGATCCGGAGCTTGTCAAGGCCTATCAGAAGAAAGCCGTCAAAATCGGCCAGGAGGATCAGGAAATGGCAACCGAAGTCATCCTAGCAGCGGGGAGACACAAAGGCCTCAAGGTTGGCGAGCTCGGTCGTGCCAGGGGACGCAAGTCCGTCAGCCGCGCTGACCTTTTAGATGGATTCCTTGAGCAGGTGCCCAGGGAAAACATCAGCTTCGGCAAGCAAGTTGTGAGGGTCTGGGAAACTCACCCCGGAACCGAAAGATCTAGTACAGACTCGGTCGCCCCCTATTCTGAGGATTCTGCCGAGTATGACCACCCCATCCACATTGAATTTGCGGATGGCACCCGCGCGCATGCCGACGTCCTCATCGGCTGTGACGGAATACACTCGAGTGTGCGGTCTTATATCCTGGGCGAAGATCATCCAGCGACGAAGCCCAAGAACCACAATGGATGGCAGATCTATCGCACTCTCATCCCGACAGAGGTGGCTATCGAGCAATGGGGAGTTGACGCGAAGTTGACCCGAACTGTACCCATCCTTCTCGGCCCCAACGGCCACATCAACATCATCCCCATGAAGAAGGGCCAAATGCTCAGTGCCGGAGTAGCGGTTCGCGGCGCTGCTCGACTAAACACCGCTTTCGGCCCCTCCACCGTCCCTGTCTCCGCTCCTATCTCCCCTTCAACTGCCCCTCTCAGCCCCCCTGAATCTGAAAGCGGCATCGTGCCGTGGGTGTGGTATGCGGCTCTTCACAACACCACTATCGGTGATTTCATCACTCACCACACACGTCCATCCAGTCACGAGAATTCACCCCAAGCACATCCTGTCTATCAGACCCAACCTTCCAACTCTCTTCCGGGACAGGGCACACCAGTAATCAAACCCTACCTCTATGGAGACTACACACGCGAGGCTCAAAAGATTGTCCGTATGGTTGCCGCCGACACCTCGGCTTCCTGGGCCGTTGCCGACCACGACCATGCTCCCTACTACGCTCGCGGCTGCGTGGCCATGGCTGGCGACGCGGCTCACGCTGCGCTTCCCTTTGCCGGCAACGGGGCAGCACAGGCACTGGAGGACGCAGCCGTCCTGGCTCATCTGTTTAGGACATACGTCCGCACCCCCGAGATGGCCGAGACAGCGCTGTGGGCGTACGAGAAGGTGCGGATGGAGCGGTCACAGAGGGTGGTGGAGATTGCGCGCGAGTACGGGCGGGTGTACTCGTTCAATCCGATCCAGTATCGAGGGAAGTGGGTCAAGCTGCATGAGAAGCCGGAGGTGATGATGCAGTGGTTCCGGCAGCAGGCGGCTTATACAAACGAGCATGATGTTGCGTTCCAAAACACGTGGGCGGGGCGACTGTTTGTGATGGAATTAACACGGAAGAAGGAGGCGAGGAAGCGAAGTGAGGGGGCGGAGGGCAGTTCGACGGATACGCATCCGAAGACGAAGACGGATGAGGTTAAGAGTGAGGAGATAAGCAATGTGCGGACTATGGGGGAGGGCACGTCGCCGAGGTCAACTTGGGTGTCGTTGGTTGCGCTCAGAGGAAGGGAGCAGGGGGGGGAGAGTGGAGGGAAGGGAAGCGGCAGTTATGGATGGGGAAGATGGGGAGCGTGTGGAACGGGACGAGGCAAATGATGATGATGATACACACGATGTGGAAAGTGTGGCAAGCCTCGGACAGGACAGCGATTATGACTTCTTTGATGATTTCTCGGATGATGCGGATGACGAGCTGGAAGATGAAGATGAAGATGGCCCGGGTTTTTAGTGATGGGAAGGATATGAAGAAGACGGAAAGACTGATGAAACAACAAGGCGAAGCATTGAAACTCTGGTTGTTCGTTATTTTGGATACTCGCCGGAAGAGGATAACCGGGTCAGGGCAACAAATTGGTTAGTAGTACAAGAAGGAAGAAGCTGGAGGATATCAAGCTCAGATTGTTCATGGGTGTTGATTTAATCAACATTTGTCGATATAATCCGCGGACAAATAGAAATACGAGATGGCTTTTGTTTGTCAGCAAGAATGGTGGTTCAGTGTGATAAACTCGGGGCGTAATATGAAGTCATGCCGGCGCCGGGTTTCGAGGCTTTGCTAGTCCATGTCTTTGGTGGCAGATATCCCACTAGCAGACACGCTGGTTATTTAGCGGTTGTTCTGTTAAGAAGTCATGTTAGTCGGCTGGTGCCCACTCCGCCAAGACATACATGCCTAGAGCAGCTTTGGGCCGGCACCAAGCTCAAGGCGGAACCTCTCGTGACCCGGTATGAGACATCATGAACTTCCTGGTCGCTCTATCTCTACTGGCTTTCGAGAAGAAAGTGTCTAGGATAGAGAATCTCTGGCCAGACCTTTCAAAATCATGGTCACGAGATAGTGTACGCTGAGAAATCACCTTGACGGACCCCCCACTGTCGATCGTGACATGTAGTAGTACAGGTTTCCACTTTATGGACGGAATAAGCGCCCCGGATCCCGCTACCCCGCAAAAAGCAAAAAGGGTAAGCAGATCAATAAACCATGTCCAGACATCGTGAGGGTAGGAAACTAGGTAAAGAACAGACAGACAGTATTGGAGGCCCTGACGGATATACAAACAAAGGAAGCCGAGGCGACGCGGATCAAAGGATTGCCACCTTCAGTCAGGATTGACAGGTTCAGCTTCCCGTTGAAGTCATTTCCGTTCACGCGAAACCACAAGACAAAAGTGAGGGGTTACCACTAAGGGATTGGGGCCAAGACTGTCCAGGACCTCTGACCACTGCAGAATAGGTGAGGGGGTGGTGAACCCTTGTGTGGCTGCACTCCCGTCCAGCTAAGTCTTCCTCCACATCCATCCGCGTATTTGGGGGACCTGATTGACACGAGCGGGGGAGATGGGGTCGGGTATGGGGGGTTAGGTATGGGGAACAAGACCCGGGGCGGGGAGAGAGAGCCGTATAAGTAGTACCGGCTGGACCTAAGTAGGAAACAAGAAAGGGAAATAATTTGAAGCTCATCGGCGACATACCATCACCCTTGATCAAGTCACAATACAGAACTCGCACGAATCAAGATCACCTCAACGCAAAATGGGGGGCTCTAGCACCATCGTCGACGCCATCAACTTTGTCGATACTGCCTCCAGCCAGCGCATCGAGCCCGGCTCTGTCAACCTCAAACCCGCCCCCTGGCCAGCGCACTTCAAGACTGAGCCCACATCCGACCAGGTAGCCAAGATCGCCGCCAATGTTGTCGACACGGTGAACAACCACTTCGACAAGGTCCCCGACCTGTTCCTCGACTCCCAGGCCGGCTTCTGGCGAGACCACCTAGCCCTAACGTGGGACCTGCGCACTCTCAAAGGCAAAGACAAGATCCGCAACTTCTTGCAAGCCGAAGCCCAAGTCAAGAAAGTGCCCCTGCAAATCCAGATTGACGAGTCCCAGGCTTTCCGCAAGCCGCAAGTCGGTGGGTTCGCTCCCGTCAACGGGCTCAAGGGCATCCAGTTCTTCATCACGTTTACATCGCAAAATGGCAAGGGGCGCGGTGTGGTGAGGTTGGTACAGGAGCACAAGACGGAGGAGTGGAAGATCTGGACCTTCTTTCTCACTCTTGACGAGTACCGCGGTCACCCAGAACCCAAGGGACCCAATAGGCCCAAGGGCGTCGAGCATGGTGGCCAGCCAGGACGGATGAACTGGGCGCAGAAGAGGCAGGAGGAGATCAATTTTACCAAAAACGAGCCCGATGTGTTGATTCTTGGTATGTACCCTCCTTTAATCTGCTTCTCAGCAACAACCACTGACCACCATCATCACAGGCTGCGGCCAAGGCGGCCTCACCGCCGCCGCCCGTCTCAAGATGCTCGGCGTCTCCTCGCTCATCATCGACCGCAACCCGCGCATCGGCGACAACTGGCGCAACCGGTACCACCAACTCGTCCTGCACGACCCAGTCTGGTACGACCACCTGCCGTACCTCCCCTTCCCCGACCATTGGCCCATCTTCACGCCCAAGGACAAGCTAGCCGACTGGTTCGACTCGTACGCCAAAGCGCTCGACCTCAACGTCTGGCTGCGCTCCACCATTGTCTCCTCCGAGTATGACAACGCCCGCAAGGCCTGGAAGATAGTCATTCGCCGCTCCTTTGTCAAGTCCTCGCGCCCTTCCTCCTCCTCCAACCCTCCTACGGCCGGCGCACCAGCAGCACAAGTGGAAGAAGAGATCGAACACATGGAACTCACCGTCTACCCCAAACACATTATCCAATGCACCGGCGGCTCAGGAAAGCCCAACATGCCGACCACCATCCCCGGCATTGCCGGCGGCGTCTTCAAGGGCGACCGGCTCTGCCACTCTTCGCAGTTCACCACCGCCACCCCGCTCGCCAAGCGCGGCTCCAAAAAGGCCATCGTCGTCGGCGCGTGCAACTCGTCCCATGACATTTGCCAGGATTTCTACGAGCGCGGGTACGACGTGACCATGGTCCAGCGCTCCTCGACCTTTGTCGTGTCCTCGTCTGCGGCGCTCAAGTACCTCATCGGCCCGCTCTACAGCGAGGGCGGGCCGGCGGTGGAAGACGCCGATCTGTTCCTCTGGTCGCACCCGAGCGAGGTGCTCAAGACGTTGCAGCAGGACTTGACCAAGCTGACGATTGAGCACGACGCCGAGTTGTTGGCGGGGCTGGATCGAGCTGGGTTTAAGCTGGACAAGGGCGTCGATGGCGCGGGTCTGTTTGCCAAGTATCTGCAGCGGCAGGGCGGGTATTACATCGACGTCGGCACTTCCAAGTTGATTGTTGAGGGCAAGATTGCCGTCAAGTCGGGGGTGGGCATCGCGGCGGTGGTGGAGAAGGGTTTGAAGATGGAGGATGGGGAGGTGTTGGAAGCGGATGAGATTGTGTTCGCTACGGGGTATAGTAATATGCGGTCAACGGCCAGGGAGGTGTTTGGGAACGAGCAAGTAGGGGACAAGGTCGGTGATGTGTGGGGATGGAATGAGGAAGGGGAGATGAGAGGGATATGGACGAGGAGTGGACATGAGGCGTTTTGGTTCCACGGAGGAAATCTGGCGTTGGCAAGGTATTATTCGAGAGTTGTGGCGTTGCAGATTAAGGCGAGTTTGGATGGGTTACTGTAGGGGTAGTGGAGCTCAAGGTAGTGCGAGGGTTAGGTTTGTTTGATAGGGACGTGATGATTAAGAAAGTCTACAGATACAAGTTTCCCATGGGGGTGGTTTGTCCGCCCTTTCATCAACGGCCCGATCCCTACTCGTGATCTTCATTTCGTTGTTGTGTCTCAGAGTTTAAGCCATCGCAAATAGTACTCGGACTGCCCTTCTCACCTCCCTGCTGAGTTGCTGGAAATTCTTGCCGCACTGTACCAAACGCGGCCCATCCAGCAGTCACCGTTACAGTATTCTGCATGGCGCCACTTATCCTGAGCCTTTCTTTCTTTTACTTGAGCTTCTTCCCCTCTTTCCATACAGCGACCTCAAATTTCTTGCCACGCCTTCCTCCAAGAACTCTCATCTTCCCTCAGATTGGCTCAATGGTTTGGTCGAGAGTCGGGAACATTGGATGGGTGCATGAGCTGAGCGGCTGGCTACTTTGTTGGTTGCCTTGGGGCAACTCCTCGCATGATATACAGTGGATATCCGCGATAGTCATGGCCATGGCGGCGAGATTTTCAGGTTTGAAGAGGAGGAAGAGGAAGAAGAAAATAAGGAGGAACCCCGCTTTGCGCTGCTCTACAACATGGATCACAATCCTACCTAGATGGGCCTGCCAGCACGTCTACTGTGGGATCTTGATGCCGCAGGTTAGTGTACACGTAGGAAGCCGCAAGGACAGCGAGCTGATTGGGTAGTGTGAGACTGTTTGCTTTTGCGGATGTGAGTGGTTCTTCCTGTAAAGGCCCCCTTAGTGGCACCGATCCAGTTATAAAAAGCCTTGGGCCTTTGGTACTCGTCCGTTCAAAGTTCAGTTCATCTGTGGTTCTTCCTTCTGGTGCCCGAGCGTGCTTTGTAGTCCGTCTCGGATGCACTCACTGGCTTTGCTTCGTCGGCAACTCATATCTTCTGTCGCCCCGCCATATTCCATTCGACATCGCACCCACTATCGACAATGACAAAGGCCACTTTGTGGTTCTGGCTGGCCGTCGTCTTAACTGGCGTTCGAGCTCAATGGATCGAACTTACGTTCCCAAAGTTCAAAAATGAAGCGACGAAAGAAAGGGCCGAATATTGGGAAGGAGACATCTTGATTGTGGCCTGGGTAATCGAACAAGATACTGCGATTAAAGAGGTGGATCTCTATTGTACAAGATCCAACGACGGAATACGCTGGGGTAGATATATGGAGTACGGCGCAAGCGAGAACCTCGGTGATAGAGGTGTTGATGGTTGGAAGACGGGACAGGCATATGATACACTAGGCAATGCCCAGAACGGTAAGTGGCCCCAATCTACCTTTATGAGTCTGCCAACGGAGGGAAGCAACCACTTCGTGTCCTTCCAGAAGTCACAAGGAAGTGGTATTGTTTGAGAATTGTTGGAAAACCATGATGCTGCTCCTCGGCCCCAGTACTCTAACGCTTGAATTGTATGTGCCCATAGTGAATAAGCCCTTGATTACCAATCACTGGGTTTTCAACGAAACACAGGTTTACCCGCTCCCGTCCCTCCCTATGTACGATTTGGCAGAAACGATTGAGTGCGCTTTTGCGGGATATGGAACGGATGGCAGGAGTAGCAACCAAACCTTGATTGGATATGGTTATCCATTCAAGTTTAGAAACGTTGCGCGCCAAAAACCTATCACTACACCTTTTGGGGTTGACGGCGGACCCATTGACGCCGATGATATTTCGAACGCATCCTCTTCCACAATCTCGACACAAGTGACTTCCGCGACAGGTATATCGACAACTGGCTTGCCGCAGAACAACCCTACAGCTACCGAGAGTGCCGATGGTCCTAACCTGACCGCGACATCCACCAGCTCGGGCACCGTCCTCCCCACCGGCCCAGCCACAGGGATCGAATCAGGAACAGCAGAGAGTCCAGGCGCAAAGGACCGAGGGGGCCTAAGCACCGGTGCAATAGCCGGTATCGCCGCTAGTTCCGCCACTTTGGGCATCGTCATGGCCGCTCTGGCATTCTGGGTATTCTGGAGGCGAAGAAAGAGCCAATTGACAGCAGCGGCGGCGGCGGCGACAGCTTCGGCTTCCACTGCTAACAGCACTAGTCCGGGGGGAGGAGGAGGAGGAGGAGAAGGAGAAGGAGAAACTCAGGAAAAGGGAGCAATGACGACGTATTTCAAAGCAGAGTTGGAAGACAGCCCGAGGCCGTGTAGGAACGAGCTCGATGGTACCTGGAAGGGTGCGGAGGTAAAAGAGAAGGCGCGAATGTCAGAGCTGGGGGCGGTGGAACAACAAAGGCATGAGATAGATGGAGGAGGGGATTGGCACAATAGGTTTGAACTTGCTTGACCGCTGGACATGGATCTTTCCACCCCCTTTGGAATGGAAACTAAAACAAAGGGCCCAAGAACCTAAAAAGGTTATACAGGAAATTCGTTGGTTGCCCGTTTTCTTCCCCATCTGCCAGTGGCACGGCCCGAACGGAAGCAGGGCGGATGAGACGATAAACCCCGGCGCCACATAAATGCGGGCCGATCGATCGATCGATGGTCATTCCCGTCAGGTCAAGAAAAGAGCAGCAGTCACCACAACACCTCTCTTTATAGCACATGTGAAAAGCGTTGGACTACGCCTTGATCCATCTTTGTTCTTTTTTTTGGACTGAGGCACAAGATATTGTCCAGTATTGTGAGCCGTGAATATCCGATGTATTGCCGCCAAGCCCGACATGGTCCGGCGCAGGCCGACACCAAGGAATCAACGACAACCCTCAACTTGGGGTTTGAAGCTTGTTGTTTGGGTTCATTCGAGGAGTTGAGTTGAGTCGAGTCGAGTTGACTTGCACTAGTGTATGTACTATGTAGCTGCCGGAACTACATGCACTAGTACAGGCAAGATGATGGGATCACCAACAGCCCTAACCCTGACCACCCATCACGAATTGGCTCGCCGGGCAATATTACCCCCGCCGTTGAATTTGGAATAGAAAAAGGGGGGGTCAGGTTTCAGAGTTGGGGAAACAGACAGGAAATCTGATTGGCGAGTCGAGTTACCGTTACCTACTTCTACCCAACGAGGGAGGGGGAGGCTCTCGCACTAACCAGCTACTCTGCTCTTCATTTCTGCTGTCCACACAATGCAAATTTCTTCTTCATTTTCTCACCCGTAGCAAACTCACGATCGACATGGCCAAGATCCCACCTTGTGGCAGCTCGAGGGCATTCCATGGCTCCATCGTCCAAAAAAAAACAACCATTTCTTGTTATTCACTCTGTCCCCAACGCACAACAACTCCCGTCTCCGATGGTAGACGCCGTTGTTACAAATTCTGCATGGAACCCTCGTCTTTTCCATGCATTGGAACCTCGCGAACTCTAGCGTGTCTGTTCTGGGCTCTGCTGTGGTCGATCACTTGGTCAGCATGGAACTGATTGGGTCAAGTGTACCCCCGTCCAGGCAATGGAAAGGAATCACAAGAGATTGCGGTTTTTCAACGTTCCAAGATCACCAAGTTGTTCCTTCTTCCATGTTGGCTCACTTGACACTGACAATACAATAGTAGTGTCGAACCCAGACTTTTCTAGACTCTTTCAATGATCGCGCTCTTGCGAATCGTACAGCATGGATTAATCAGTTTGAACAAGGCCTTGTCATGGCGCAGCGTCATGTATAGTTTTCGTCGTTGTCCTACCACCCTCAACGCCGATGCTGAGGTAAGGACGGCACCTTCTCCCGTTCCAGGGGCCGGTCATCTGTGGCTTGGCTAGCGCAGACAAGACAGACACGGGGCTTTCTGGCTCATGGCGGTTAAAATGTCCGACTGCAAAACACGATCGATCACTCATTGTGTTTCCATTCTTCAACCCAAGACCGAGGAAAGAAATGAGGACGGCAGATCAATGACAGGAACTTCTTTAACCATAGACTAGTATACTGCATCGAACCCCTCACTCACCCTTTTCTTCTTCCCCGAGCCTTCTCAGGGGTCTTGGTCCGCGATACGTGTCTGGAGGCCATCTCCGCTCCGCATCCCCTATGTAGTCGAGAAGTTGGTAATATACAACTGAACACCAGCCAACTTCGCATCATCCTGATAAATGCTATCGACTGCACTCCAACCAGTGGCATTCCCAAGTCCCTGTGTCTCATTCGAAACGTGCGAACCGTCTAGCCAAAGCGGTTGAGTGGCGTTCCAGAAGCTGGGCAGTTGAGTGGTCAGATCGGCGACTTTGCATCGCCATGTACTCTGCCTTGGCTCGGGTTTTAGCTTCAAGAGGGAACCTTCGAAGGATGTGGTGGACCAAGGCCCTCGACAGGGAACAAGGGATTTGTCCATCTTGAATAAGGCATGGCATGGCTCTCCACGTCCCCACATGGCTGCCAAGCAATTGCGCTTTGACATACCAAACCGAACTCAGGAACGTCTCGCTCTGTAACGAAATTACTTTGATGCTACGCCCGACACTGCTACTGTACCTTCAGCGTTCCACTGCAGCATCCCGGACAGTGCCTGCGTTCGTTTTCTTCTAAAACCGACAGTCTCCTCATACTTTGAGTGCTTTTGCAGTCCTTTCCGAAATCTGGCTTTCCTGCATCCCTTTTCTTCCCTCTTTCTTTTGAACGGCCGCCAATGCCGGGTTACGTCGTGATTGGACACATCCAAAACAGCCCGACTACTAGGTCAATCGTGAATTCGAGGAGAGGGTCACTCAGTTGCCATGCTTTTTGAGAAGAACAACCATTCGGTTCTTGCTCTTTCCCATCTTTCAGCCCCCTGCGGACGATAACCTAGCATTCACGCGGAGACCTGAGAGAGCAAGCAAGCTTCATCCCGCCACTTCGGCTCCACGGGCCATCCGGGTCTCCACTTCCCCAGATTCCAGTTCAAAGGCGGCCAACCTCCATTCACTTGTGGTTGATGTACCTGCAGTCAACCACGTCTCAGGTCCACCATTGACGACAGGATTTGGACGGATTTTTGCATGCGGGCCTCTGGTCGTTCGACAGGTCAACCTTCCCGGGGTACCTGATACCGATCGCAATCTCGACCCGATCTATCACTGGCCATTGATGTACTTTATCGAACTGAAGAACAGTTCGACAACAGACCGGGAAACATCGCTTCACAGCCATCGACAGACACCGTCACCATGATCATCACCCCGGAAGATACGGAGTCGATCGTCGTCATCGAGCGCGTCTGCTCCGCCCTGTCGCTTCTAGGTGGTCTCTTCGTCATCACCAGCTTCTCTGTTTCGGATGCTTTCCGTCAGCGTGCTATCAACCGCATGGTTTTCTTTGCTACTTTCGGAAACATCCTCACCAACGTGGCTACACTGATGACTACGGCATTTACGGATGATATCAACTCGTTTGGATGTCAATTTCAAGGGTTTTTGGTTCAGGTGTGAGTATTTGGTCCATGGGCTTAAGAGATAATCTAGGGGAAGGTGAAGAAAGATGTTATCTGCTCTTCGATCACCCTTTCCTGTGTCTTCAACTGAAGAGAGAAAAAATCGCTAACTCCATTTGCTACAACCACAGCTTCATGCAAGGCGATGCTTTCTGGGCTCTGGCAATGGCCATCAACGTGTATCTCACCTTCTACCACCAGTTCGATGGAAGAGCTCTCAGGAAGATGGAGATTCCGTACTTCCTCTTCTGCTATGGCGTCCCGTTCATTTCCGGTTTCACCTTCATCTTTATCAGGCAACACGGCGAGAGGCCATACGGCAACGCAATCCTCTGGTGCTGGCTGAGCAAAAAGTGGGAAGTCTACCGTATCGCCACGTTTTATGTGCCCGTCTGGTACGTTGAGTCCCCTTTTCACCATCCAAAATCAAACCCTAGCATTAGGGAAAGCTACTAACATGCCCTTCCATAGGCTCTGTATCACGGTAGCAACCACCATCTACATCCGTGCCGGCCGTGACATATACAAGAAGCATCGTAGTATGAGCAAGCTCGGCTCCAGCTCCAACGGCGGTACCCTCGTCGACATGTTTGCTCCAGCCTACAACTACAAGACCACCAAAGTCACCCAAACCACAGAGATCATCTCCCCTCCGTCGACCAGCAACGGCTACGCTGCCAACAGAGACGTAATATTCCCACACACCCCGATTCCCCTAGCCGACGACGCCAAGGTCCCCGCTTCGTGCTCCGTAACCGTCACCATTTCCTCCGACAACCATAACCACTCATCAAACAAGCGCAGCTCCCAACCCCAGACCGACATCACCACCAATCGTCCCCACAGCGGCGGTATAACCGGCACAATAACAACCACAACATCAACAATCGACAACGACGACAACAACAACAACGAGCGAACCATCGTTCACATCTCAGCCGGCAACGGCTCGGGAACGGCAGCCAACATGCAAGCCCGAGCCCAGCGCCGCCTTGTTCACGAAGCCCACAATGCCGTGTGGTCCTACACCAAGTGCGCCATCCTCTTCTTTGCCGTCTTGCTCATCACCTGGATCCCGTCCTCGGGCAACCGTGTGTACACCATGATCAACGACGGAGAAGTTTCCAAGCCTCTCTTTTTCGCCAGTGCCTTTGTTTTGCCGCTGCAGGGGTTTTGGAACGCCATCATCTACGTGGTCACGTCGTGGGCGGCGTGCAAGGAGTTGGGCGCCGAGGTGGCCGAGGTGTTTGACGTGGTGAAGTACAGGTGCATGGGCTGCTGTGTGGGGGGTAGTCGGGGTAATAAGAAGAGAGATGATGATGATGATGGAATCATTCTGGAAAGCACCAGGATGTCAGCTAGACGAGGGGATTCCAATCGCAGGAGGTCGGGAGGTGGAGGTGCAGCGGGAAGTAGTAGTTGGGCGGCAACGATGGCGAGAGCGAAGGCGCAGGAAATGGAGATTGATACGACTAGTATGGAGGATCTGACGGGCAATGGGGCGAGGATGGAGAGGGTTTCGCCTGTATGAGAAGGGGAAATCGAAAGATAGTCGCCTACGTGTTTAATTGCTGTTGGGGTATGGATCGTTGCCATGACTTGATGGACGGTCAAGAATGACGGACAACGTGTACATCCTATGCTATTCTTTGAGGTTCTTTGCTTTTAGCGCCGGCGAACAAGGTCTAATTCTATGATACCCTGCAAGAGCTGGTTTGAATGGGAAAGAAGTCATTTGAATGAACAGCAAGCGCTGGTAGAAAATTCCGGATCTGCCCATTTCCATAATGTGAGAAGCTACTTTGAAGTGGACCGTCCGTTGCGGAGCACGGCCGCTATGCATCATCGTCCGGTTCCGCCTAAGGAATTGCAGGACCGCGCTGGCAATGTCCAACAAGCAATAAGCATCACAGCCACTGCAGGGACCCATAAAGCTTAAAAGAATTGGCGAATCTTTGGGCCAGCTTGGGTCCTCGTTGCAGCGTCTCGAGGCTATTAACATGGCATCAGCTGTAGGAGTAGCTAGTTTTAGACCAAAGAAGGATAAGTCATTACGCACACCCTGCTCAGATAGGAAAAAAAAAAAAAAAAAGGTGGGAGGGGGGGGGGAGGGGTTCGATCCGGCGGTTCCCTAATTACCTAGACTAGCCGCCCAAGTAACAGATTCTCTAGATCAGTTATGTTATGGGTTACAGCAGCTGATTCCGGAAAAGGGGACGTACCATGATAGCAATCAGCACCCAGCAAAGGCAGGGCAGGTGAGTGTACTTTGTCTTTTTCTCATATCATAACGACCTCATGCTCATTATTTTAGCACCATTTTTACAGGATTCTCCTCGTTTCCCAGCTGCGGCAAGGGTCCCGACGTCTTCAGCGCAGATCGGGGTGGTGCAAGTGAGGACGGAAGAGAGGCGATGACATATGTACCTGCACGCTGTGAAGGGCAGAAATGCAAGGTACCTCTAGGAATGTTCTGGATCGGTTTCTGAAACTTGATCGTGTAACTGACCCTGCGCATCTTTACACTAGTGATAGAGTTTCTCATGTGATATTGGGGCGCATTGGGTACTTGTGAATCACGCTTCATACCCTGCTCGCCGGCATGGTGAGTGGCTGCTGTCAAGATGATCGTTTGTACTGGATGATGAGACGTCCATCTGGAGTCCATGCATGTTTCTGGTCACAGACTGATCCAGACCAAAAGACTAGCATCATCTTGGATCGGGTCTCCCTGGGTGCTAAGTTGCACAAAAATGCATATCTGCCTAAAGGTTCTGATGCAATTCAGGCGGGGAACTCACGTGGTTTGTTCGGTAGAGGAGTAGGAGACTGAATGTAGTCGCAGTTGGGCAGATGTTTGTCTCGCATCGGTCCCGTCTGGGGGTCATTGCGTCCGGTTACGGGTCCCGGATGACACATCAACCCAAGGATCACCACGATGGGACTGTGTGGCGCATCCACCATTTATGAAACAGTTCCATTGACCGGGCGGGCGGGAGACTGACATTCGGCGGCAGGATAGCGGATCTTGTCGGCTGTCGTGGTAATTGGTGGGAGAGGTCGCACACGACGTTCGTGGCGTTCACGGACCCTAGGCAAGTGAGGTTGGGCAATCACGACAGTTGGCGATGGCTTCAGCTGGCGCCTGGCGGGTTCGGTGTGTTTCTGATCCGGATATTTTTTTGCTCATTCAAGCCACTAGCGTTCGCTGGAAATTGAGGGGATGTTGAAGTTAGTCATCAGAAGCAGAACCATCCAGCCCGAAAGGAGGCTGAAGGATTGTACGTACAGATAAAAGATACGTGCCGGGAGCGCGGGCATGGCGGACAGTGGCAGACGTCGGGAACGACGTTCATTGCATTCCCGTTACCCCGGCCGTTGCAGATGGAGCAAAGACGGCAAGCAACACATTCTGCCGGGGACCCACCCGGAGTTGACTCCCGAAGTGACGGGGAACAAGACCCACCCGGCCCGAGATCCGACGCCAGGTGGGACCCTATGCGGAGATGAGAGGGATCGACGCCTTGTGGACCGGTCTAACCCCGATCAACTCCAGAGCTCCATTGACAGGGACAACGTCAACACAACTTGTCCTATAATCTTCCCAACATCAACTGTATCTAGAGGCCGGAATTCCGTAAGACGAGTGACAAGTCGAAATCGTGAACAGGCTGTTTGGATGTCAGGATGTTGATCGAACCGATGGTTGGGCATATAACCCAGACGCCTTGGAATAGCCCATGGGCATAAACAAGACATCCTGAATGTGACAGAACTGGGCCAGTCAGATTGTTGGAGGCATGGCGATGGACGTTTGGAAGCCCGAAAGTGGTCTGAATAGGTTGATGGGTGTCCGATGCCGCTGATTTTGGGCTTCCCGCAATGGAAAAGGACTGCGACTGATGGAAGCTTACATGGATGTCCACGGACTCTCGAACTGCCGCAGCCCCGCAAATGCAGGCCTGGATTGCAGTGTACATTTGCAACCTCTTTGATGAGCGGTCAGGATTATGGTTCCGTGATGTCACTGTCGACACAAGGAGTAGACGATGAATCTCGAGATCATGGGAAGACCTTTGAAGGGTGATTTGAGATGGTGATGGTCGAGATAACGGATCAACTTTTCGAAGATAAATATTTGAGAGGTTACCTATGATCGTCACATGGCGATCGAGAGTAGATTCAGGCGCTGCTGAGAACAGAGCATGCCCGTTGTCCTGTCGAGCTTAGGTCCCTCCAGACTGTCTCACAGATTTGGCTGACACAGAATGTTCGGCCAAGCTTCCATCGCGCCTGCCACGATTGGGCTGAAGCACAACTGTACCATATCTCCCAAGGAAACGGTGGCTGGCCAAGCCTGCAGGGGCAATCTCTTCAAATCATATGATGTATAAAAACGGCAACAACGGGAATGACGTTAGGAAGTTGTGGACGGGTGCATCTCTTTCTCAGTCGCTCTCAGCTGCAACGCCCAATGGTTCATATGTAGAAAGGGAATTCGTTTTGTGTCCAAACGCCAATACGTCTTCTCTTTATTCGTACCTCCATGAACCTTCGGATAACCTCAACACGGAGGAATATTGCGGTCCTCGGTTCACAAACTTGTGGGAGGTTCTCTTCCCCTCACAAAAACGAAGCGAAGTTGCCGAACGCGGGGGGTTGGGCCTTGTGGAAGTGGAGTAAGACAGGGGCCAAGATCTGAACCGGGGAAGGACCCACCCACCCACACTCAGGCCATGAACCGCTGCACTGCGCCGGGGGGGGGGGGGGGCACACCTGCCCTTGTGAACCAAAACAAACTGCACCGCAAAATATTCGACAGCATCGTTTTCCTTCGAACATCACGAACGTCTAGTCTCAGGCGTCGTCACCAATCCCGAACCACATCCACCATTATGCCAGGAGCGAGACATCAACGAATTCGAGGCTACTTACTTGAGCTGTTGATTTACAGACAGCAGACATCCCCGCCCTCGATGCCAAAAACCACCATGCCTGTGTTAGGGGCATCCGCATTTCTTATTCTGTCTTTATTGTTGTGGACGGCTCATTGAGGCACAGCAACAGCAAACAACGTTGGAGGCACTGTGGAGGCAGCAAATTCAACTTCTCGGCATCGAGGCCAAGCGGCCCAAACCATGATCGAGGTACCACGCAATGCTACACACATCCCGCCCAAGTGGGAGTCTGGAAAGTGTCAACACAGGGCGGTGAACTCGTTTATGCAATCCGTCTATTCTCCCGGATGACTCCCCTCTAAGATCACGTCAGGAGGCCTGATTGCTTTTTGCCAAATACGCCTGTCTTGAAATGTTGTTCGGAGTCAAGAGGATGGAATTGGTCAGCTGACAGCCAAAAGGAAAGTGCTCGGATTTGATATCCAGGTCTGGCGAATCCGGGATATTTTTTAGGTGTCGGGGCTGGGCTCGGATACTGTTTCCGTGGTCATCGAAGCTCGAGGGCAATTCTCAACGGTTAGTGGCTATGTATTCCCCCTCGCTGTTGACCATGCTAGCTGCTTGAGTGGCCTGGGGTAGCAGGCTAGATGCCACACCCCGAGGTTCTGTTGTTGAACCCTTGACGACACTCCATCCTCCTTGGCTCCAAAAGTCACAAAAGCCGCCAAAGGCCACCTCAAGATTTGGAAGCTGTATCCCCTCTTGTTGCTATCCTCTCCTGTCCATCGTCGATTCCTCAGCCACGTCTCCTTTCTCTCCCTCTCCAAACTTCACGCACAACCAAGATGACCAGGAGAATAGCAACTTTGGTCCGCCCGACCCACAACGGCGAGCGCTATGAAATCACCAACCCCACAGCCATGCCCAAGGCCGCTGGCTTCCTATGGAACCAGAAGATGATGATTCAGATCACCTGCCGTGGTTTTGCGACTGCCCAGTTCATGCAGCCCGAGCCTGCAAAGTACGCCTATGCGCCCAATATCGAGGCCAAGACCTTCATGCAACCGGAGCCGAACTACTACGCCCACCATCCCGGCCGCTTTGTATACATCAAGGATGAGGAGACCGGCCAGCTTTTCTCTGCTCCCTACGAACCCGTCCGCGCCCCACACGACCGCTTCGTCTTCTCCGCCGGCAAGACTGACGTCTTCTGGGTCATCGAGTCGATGGGAGTTCGCGTGGAGATGACCATGGGCCTCCCCACCCACCATGTTGCCGAACTCTGGACCATCAAAGTCAAAAACCTTTCAAGCCGTCCTCGGAAACTCAGTGTGACCCCCTACTTCCCCATTGGATACATGTCGTGGATGAACCAGTCGGCCGAGTGGAATCATGACCTCAACGGAATTGTTGCCAGCTGTGTCACCCCTTACCAGAAGGCCGCCGACTACTTCAAGAACAAGTATCTCAAGGACAAGACCTACTTCCTTTGTGAGATCCCTCCTGACTCCTGGGAAGCCAGTCAGCAAGCCTTTGAAGGTGAGGGTGGTCTTCACAACCCCAGTGCCCTACAAGACAGGAATCTCAGCGGCAGTGATGCGCGGTACGAAACTCCCACGGCAGCTGTGCAATACAAAATTGCTCTTGGCACGGGCGAGCAACAAGAGTACCGGTTCCTCTTTGGCCCCGCCTATGATGAAGCTGAGATCGGAGCCTTGCGGTCCAAGTACCTAAGCAAGGAAGGTTTCGAACAGACTGCAGCTGACTACGCCGCTTACATGGCCCGTGGGCGCGGATGTCTCCACGTGGAAACCCCAGATAAGGATCTCGACAACTTCATCAACAACTGGCTGCCCCGACAGGTCTACTACCACGGCGATGTCAACCGCTTGACCACTGATCCACAAACACGCAACTACCTACAGGACAACATGGGCATGAACTACATCAAACCCGAAGTATCCCGCAGGGCTTTTCTCACAGCCATTGCCCAGCAAGAAGCTACCGGCGCCATGCCCGACGGCATCCTTTTGGTTGTGGGTGCCGAGCTCAAATACATCAACCAGGTACCTCACACTGATCACTGTGTGTGGTTGCCAGTTACACTGGAGGCATACCTCAACGAGACCGGTGATTACAGCTTGCTAAAGGAGAAAGTGCCGAGTGCCAACGGCGACAAGCTCACCGTCTTCGAGCGCTTCTGCCGTGCTATGGACTGGCTGCTCAAGTCTCGTGACCATCGTGGTCTGAGTTACATTGCCCAGGGTGACTGGTGTGATCCCATGAACATGGTGGGCTACAAGGGCAAGGGTGTTTCTGGCTGGCTCACTCTGGCCACGGCCTTTTCCCTCAACATTTGGGCCAAGGTTTGCGATCATGAAGGCGAGACCGATCTCGCCAAGCGCTTCCGTGAGGGTGCTGACGCATGCAACGCTGCTGCAAACAAGCATCTTTGGGACGGCGAATGGTTTGCTCGCGGCATCACTGACGACAATGTTGTCTTTGGCATCAAGGAGGACAAGGAAGGCCGCATCTGGTTGAACCCCCAGTCCTGGTCCATCCTCAGCGGTGCTGCCAGCCCTGAACAGATTGACAAGATGTTGCCCCAAATTGACTCGCATCTCAACACACCATATGGTATCCAGATGTTCGGTCCCCCTTACACCAAGATGCGCGAGGATGTCGGTCGCGTAACGCAAAAGGCCATTGGCTCGGCCGAGAACGCCGCTGTGTACAACCACGCTGGAATCTTCTTCATCCATAGCCTGTACGAGCTTGGAGCACAACAAGACCGAGCATTCACCCTTTTACGGCAGATGCTCCCCGGTCCTACTGACGCCGACTATATCCAACGAGGCCAGCTGCCCATCTATATTCCCAACTACTACCGAGGCGCCTGGAAGGAGTATCCCCGCACCGCTGGTCGATCCAGTCAGTTGTTTAACACCGGTACCATTTCTTGGGTTTACCGCTGCATCATCGAAGGGCTCTGTGGCTTGCGCGGCGATGGCGAAGGTCTACTCATCCGGCCACAGTTACCGAGCTCCTGGAACAGCATGAAGGTCACTCGCGAGTTTCGGGGCGCCACCTTCAATGTCGACATTCGTCGTGGCAATGTCAAGGAGGTCACTGTCAGGAATGGCGACAAGGTCCTGCCTGCGCCTCACGTCAAGGACATCGAGCCAGGCCAGACGTACAACCTCACAGTGATCATTCCGTAACTAGACACTAGTTTGTGATCTATAGTCGCCCGATATCCTGCGCTGCTGCGACGCTGGAACAGAAGATAGAAAAAACACAAGTTGAGCTCTCGGTTGAGAATCCGTTGGCGTAGCATTTTGGGTGGCTGTTTGTTTCCATGTTCGCATACGGTGCCATGGGGTTCCCAATGTAGAAATGATCCGTGTGGATACTCATTCGGGGAAGCAAGATCGGTCCAGGCACCAACTTTGCTGGGGTGATGGTGTTGTTGCTTACTGTTTGTAGCCAGCCCCATAGCAATGGTGATGGTGATTGATTCTACCCCTTACCTTACCTGGTTGTCAACACGAGCTTGCGTAACATCGCTGTCGATAGTGTTCAATGTTGGCGTTGAGATTACTCAGCCCAATATTGACCCCAAGATCTCACTGGAGTGCCGGCTTCACCGCGATTTTTTAAGCTTACTCATCAGACCTCAACGGCCATGTATAAGAGGCTAACCTCATGGTAATAATTTGAGAGCCGTTTGACATCAAGGACCGAATGCAGTTTGCAGCCTAGCATCAGTTGATTCAGAAGATGAAGATTCTTTTCCATGCCTTGGCACTGCCACTGGCCTTTCACTTACTGTCTCTCGCCCACGCCATACCCAGTCCCGAAGCTGCTCATGGCGGCTCTTCCCAAGCCACCAACACCACCGATGATGCCATGACCATCACCCCACGTCAATCCTCCTGCCTTTCAACCGGCACACAGTCGACCATCAACGCCCTGTTCTCCTCCGGTGGTGCCAACACCATCGTCTCACTCTGCCCGGGAGTAACCATTCCCATCACCGCCCCCATCGTCTTCACTGCTCCGGGACAGGAACTATCCACCCAGGGTTACCCAACCGATTCCACCCGGGCCACCATCCTCATTCAGCCAGGCAGCACCGTCACTTCAGCCATCCGCGGTAACTGGCAAAACAACGTCAAGGTGCTCAACATCCAGGTAGACGGCAACCGGCCCAATGCCGGCTACTTGGGGGGTGATGCCCTCCTGGAAATGGGTGGCGGTACCGAGGGCCAGACGGTCAGTCACACGGTGGTCAAGAACACGCGCAGCTGGAGCTGCGTGCACTTCATCGGGAGTGGGCAGGAGGACAATCCTTGCCGGCAGGCGACGGTCACTTTCAACGAGGTTGGGCCGTGCGGACACGAAGGGACGGATTCGGCGACGGGAAATGGCCTGTGGGCGGATGGGTTGAGTATTGAGTGCATGGATACGATGGTGACTGATAATACTGTGAGTTCCTTACCTACCTACCTACCTACCTACCTTACGACCACCTACCTAAGAATCTGTACCCCTGACCTAGCCTAGGTACCTAGGTTGACCTTATACAAGGAAGTTGTCATGAACTGACAAAGCCAAAATAAAACAATGAGTAGATCACAGGTGCCACAGACGGCGGCATCGTAATCTTCGGCTCCCCCGGCTCCCAATTCCTCCGCAACACCATCATCTCCTCCTCCTCCTCCGGCCTGCAATTCGGCGGTATCAACATGGTCGACCCCACCTGGTCAGGCAACTACTCGGGCGTCGTCGTCTCCGCCAACACCATCACCGGCGGGCCAGGTAGCTTCATCAACTTGGGAATCGGCATGGGCTCCCAAGTCTGGAGCAACCCGCACCCGGAAACCAATTTCGGACAGGTCACCGTCACCAACAATGTGTTTACCGGCAACGTCGGCTTCTCCATCGTCATGAACGGCTGGCTAGGTGGTCTCACGGTGACGGGTAATTCGGTCAGCGGGGTGACAACCCCTTCATCGTCTTTCGCCTCGGCGTCAGGGTGTGGAGCGGTGCAGCAAGCTGCTTTTGCGGATTCGAAGCAGTTGGTGTATTACCCGGCTGGCGTGACGGGGTCGTCGGGCCCAAATGTTATACAGGCGCAGTTTACTGCACTGTCGACAAATGCGTCGAATTGGCTTTGCCTAACGAATCCGGCGCCGCCGCTGCCGGACACGGAATCCTTTTTGCCAAACACGCTGTCTGTTGATGCGTCGACTTCAAGGGTGGTTTCGCTGAGGGACTTTCATGTGCAGGTGCAGGGTGACGGGAACGTGGTTGGGATTGACACGACGGGAGGCGTGTGGACGGTCAAGTGGGCGAGCAGTCGGTTCTCGTCGGCTTGTGGGCCGGATGGATCGCAGTGTTTGCTTGCCTTTGGGATTGACGGAAACTTTGTCATGTATGATGGGAACGGACCGCTTTGGGCGTCGGGAACAGATGGCAGTGGGCAGCTGTTGACGTTCTTGAGGGAGGCGCCGTGGGTGACCGTTACGGGCGGCAATGGACAGACATTGTGGACTATTGGGAATTTGTAGCGGCTGAGGTGAAAGTGCCCTCTGTCCATTGCGGGCACAATACAGCATTACCAGTCTCTTGTATTGATGCCAGACTACTGGGCTTCTCCCACTTTCTTTTCTTCGGCCTTTTCCAATGATTAAAGTTACCACTTGTATATTGGCTTGGCTTGCTGTTCTTTTTACCATCTGTCCAGTCGCTCTTTGGACTATATGTTGAAGTGGAAGAATGGAACGAAGACACTGATGGCAAAGATCCTTGATTGAGTGTAAGGAAGAGAAAGAAGAAAGGAGTGAACGTAAGGTTCACGAGTTTGTATACATGACTGGAGTGGATTGGATACCCTTAATAAGCCTTCGATAACGCTGATGGAAGCGATATGCTTCAACACTATACATGGAAACCTGATCTTCCACCGTGAGATCTATTGATTTGAAAGCCAAAAGATTACCCAAGTATGCGAATCCATCTGCGCTTTGCAAAGCCCCAAAGTACCTTGTCTTGATCCATGACAACCTCTACAAAGCGGCCCAGTATTTCTGAAGGTCAATGCCTTGTGCCATGGCTTCCTCAACGCACTTGTTGTAACGCGCTAGGGCACGATCGTAGTACTCTTTGGTCTTCTCTTCAGAAAGATATGGATTGAGAGCGTCCCTCGCTTCATCGGCGTCCATCCCATCAAACACGTCCATCGATTCAGAAGCGTCCATCGTGTCCATCATCTTGTGAGACGGCTCACTCTCACGGTATTGCTCATGGCCTTTATAGAAGTGTCGGACTCCCCAATGATAAAGATGTGCCATGAAGTGGCAGGCGTTGAAGATGTTGTGCCCTATGCACTGGAATTTCATGCTAGAACACGTCATATGTTAGCCTCGCTTGATGCCATTAGAAGAGCTGATTGCGGTCGATCAAAACATACTCCTTGAGAAAATTCTCGTCGATCTTCCATCTAGCACGCGGGGTAAAATGGAATTGGACCTGGTAGTTCCGGTATCCAAAGTCGTGACGCTGGCACGCCAGCTTTAATGGGAAGCCGGCTGGATAGTCCAAGACGTGGGTACACCCATCCGACGACCAGTCCCATGTCAGCCGTCCGAGGCTGAAGTTTGCCTCGCGGTGCTTGATAAACGTCGGGAGATCCCACTGGAATAGCATTCCGGCTGTGTATTTGCACCAGTCTAGTGCATAGCCGGTGTTTGGGGGGTTACCCTTGACTGGGGGATGCTCAGCAAGTTCCCGCCGGTTGTTGAGTGGAAGGCTGGGTGGAGCGGTGGTGGCCAACATGAGGCTCATGAAGGCTGTGACCAGCAGCGACATGAGGAAGAATGATTTCATGGTGTCTGGTTGGGGATTGCCCTGGCTGTAGGTAATGGATCACTGGGCGGAAGAGGTTGAGAGATGGAGAGGACTAGGAGAAGCTCTGGAAGTGATGGAATCGGGGGGGATTTATGTTTTTGTTGGACGGCCAGCAGCCGGTCTTGGTTGTCAATCTCGCAGCCAGCAAATGCATTGCGGACGACCGATGGGGAAGTTTCGTCTCCGACTTGACACAGGCAGCTGCATGCAATTGCCTTGCTATTGTCAGTACCTACCTAGGCACAAGTACTAACCTCTTGCGCTGTCCTCGATCAGGATTATTTTTCCAACAGGACATGGAAGGAGTCATTTTGGTGGACAAGTGCCAGCTACTGCAATCTTGTCCCGGTCGCCGATGCATACCTCTACCAGCTCTTGCCAACTAAAAAGGTAAGCCATCATGCAGCGGGTGCAATTACAAACCATTCCAAGATGGCTCTTGCCCCAAAATCTTGATATCTGCAACAGCTCCTTGTGGCCACTCACCGATAACGCACCCAAAGTGTTGTTGTGCTGGCATGGAACCAGCCCGGTCAAAGACATTTTGGGGCTTTCCAGCAAGACAACGAACTTGTCTTTACAATTTGTTCCCTTGGTTGGCGTGTTCAGCGCCTGAGTGTCTGCCAGATTACCTTGCTGATGTGATCGCCCTAGCTTTATACAAGTCTGCAAGGAAACACGCCGGCCACGCACTTGCCTTGGCTACCTCTAGGCTTGGAGCATATGGCGAGAATCCTGACCTGTTGCGAAGTTCATGGTCACGAATACCGAGCGAACACGTTCAGGACACGTTCAAGGAAGGCTCACAGGAGGAGAGGGTTCTATCAACGTTCACAAAAGGCACGCCATGAGAGTGACGACAAAGTCATGCTAATGCCTTGCCTTGGTATTCACAGATTAACTAACTCATACATCAGAATCCGTCTCTCATTTCCCAGTGCTGCTTCTCTTGTCTTCATCGAGAATCATCAAATCGTGCTAAACCCATACATACCCAGATATATCCAAATTCCATCCATATCCCCATCGTCCCAGTCATTTCTTCAAAGTTTATCCATCATGATCCATCCAAGTTGCTTTCCCCGTACTAACGTCTTGCACGGTAGCGCAAAGCTTCATGGTCACCTATTCGTAACCACATCACCACCACGCACCCACCCATGCTTCTACCTGCTCTCCCTCTCGCTTGTGTACCTATAAACCCTCGGCGTCTCCCTCATCTCACTCTCGCTCGCCCCTACACTCCTCCCCCGACCCTCGTGCCTGGACGCGCTCCTGTGCCTCGATTCATGTCTCGACACCTTCCGATAGTGATGCACGTGCTTGGAACCGGACCTGTGCCTAGAATGGCGCCTCTGTTCCCTCTTACACGCGCCCGCCACCGCTCCGCATCCACACGAGCACATGCTGACACTGCTCACACTACTATCCGTCTCGCTCATGCCGCCGCCTCTCATTCCCGCCGCAGCGCCGCTGCTCCCATAGACACGTTCCGTCCTCCTCGTCTGGCGCGAGATATAAGCAGCACCGCCGCCGCCGCCGCCACCACCAGAGCTGGACGAGGCGGATGATGAGATCACGTCTTCATGGTAGTAATGATCATCACGACGCCTCCTCCTGCCGCAGGCGCCAAGCCACCAGAAGAGGAGGGCCAAGAGGATGAGGAAGGCGATGACACCGATGACGATGCCGGCGATGGCGCCACCCGACAGGCCGCCGTCGTGATTGTGCGTCTCGCCGACTACTGGGATGACGGTGGCGGACGAGGTTGCAGAGGAAACGCCCGAGGCAGGAGGGAAGACGGTGGTGGTAACGGTATCGGTCACGGCAGGTCCTTGGGTGTAGATTACCGTGGGGTGCTGAGCCGAGATATAGCTGGGCGGCACGGAGCCATAGTATTGACGGTCTTCGAGAACGGCGGCGGCGGTTGGGGCAGCTGTAGGTGCGGGGGCCACTGGCGATGGCGCTGCGAGCTGCTTGAGGTGGGAGAGGAGTTCGGCGGCGTCTATGTGGGGAACCCCGAGATTCAATGGAAAGGGGGCCATTGTGTAATGTCTTTCTTTGGCTTTGTTGCCCGTCTTTTGAAATCCTTTGTTTTTGTCCCTTTTCTTCGGCGGAGATTGCGCGGGTACCCGTTGTTGAAGTTCTGGTTCCGGAAGGGTTCGACAACAAACGTGGTTTGGAGGTGTAGCGATTGGCTGGGGTTGGGTTGCTTTCTTGGCTGCCGGGGATGCACACGCCCAGGAGATCTTCAAAGCTCCGCTAACAGCTGCGCTCACAAAGATCGCGGGTTGCAATTTTTGGTGTTTGAAGGAGAGAAGATTTTCAGAGGGAACACAAAAACGAAACAAAAAAACAAAAAAAAGACGCCCTGCAGATGCATGAAGAGCCTTTCTATCTCTTTCTCCTCCCACCAAGCCCCGTCGGTACGTCAGGTAGACGCCCGCCAGCCATGCCAGGGCCCAGGCACGCAAGAAGTTGCTCGTATTTTGGCATTGGTTGCATTCGACCGGCTCTGTCACTCTGGAGGCTGGAGGCTGGACCTTTCAGCTTCCGGGATCGCGCGCTCAACCCCCCTTCGGCCTTCTTCGTGAAACGGTGGTTGGGGATGACATCATTGAGGGTAGTGGACGGCTATCGTCGAATCGGACGGCGTGAAAAGCCCCGGTGCCAAGTTTTGGCGCCCTTTGGATAGCGGGCCGTTACAACAGGGATCGAATCATTTCAGGCGGTTGGTTGACCCACTATATGAACCTGGCTCCTCCTCCAGCCATCTTCTTTTTTGTTTTTTTCCCCCCCTTCACGACGACGACGACGACGACGACAGAGCCACATCACCATGTGCCGTGCTCCGATTCGGGAGCGAGCGGGAAAGACGCCAATGTGTGCTATATAAAGTACGCGATGAAGATTAGCGCATGGGAATAAGGCTTTTGCGAAGAAAATGATCTTCCGCATGTGTAGTGTACCTGGAAAATTGTTTTTAGAACATCGATGGTGTTGCCGGTTCATGGGCGTAGACCCTGCCAAGCCGACAGCGCAAGACAACAACAGGGTGCCCCCCCTTAGGGGTACATAGCAACACGTGGACGGCATGTCTCAAGCATGCTGACTTATCAAGTTCAGCATTTCGCATTCGATTTGAGAGAGACGGTCGAGACTCGAAGATCATATGTAACTAGGTATGCATGTATCAAGGATTCCCGAAACACACAAGAGTTGTGAGATATCTGATGGAGTCACACAGCGGGCGGGACGGTTGCTCAAAGTCGACGACGACCCAAGGGACACGACTTACACAACCACACAACAAAACCCATAACAAATGCGCTGTTCGTCACCAGCAGTGCTGTCGAGAAAGAGGCTCTGGCATAATCAGGTGAAATTGTAAGAGTATCTTTGTGTTGTTTGAATGACAGTGGGGCAATGGTCCTCAAACGAATCGAGACCATTCATGAATCGGGTAATCCTCTCTCCTTCCCTCCTCTCCGTCGAACCTTCAAGGCCCAGATGCTGCCTAGCAGTCCCAGCTACAAGGCGCCTTCCTCTCTAAAATGAGCGTCCATCTTTCGACCCCCCTAAAGTCATCATCGTCAGCAATCAGAAACTTGATCAGATTTCTGGGGGCAATGGTGTCCTTACCTAAGGATAAACAATACTCTGCCCTCCATACGCCACACCATCATTAACGACGTTCTCTACCACGCTTGAAGAGCCGACCGGCATATACGCAACCGCCGGTTGCTCGACGTACTCGACATCCTGCTGAACCAACTCGGCAGCGCCGGGATTACAGCCGCAATCATCGCATTCGCAATCTTCCGCGACGTTATTGTTGACGACCATGGGCGGCATAGGCTTCTCCGGGGCAGGGGGTCGGTTATTGATCACAGTAGGCGGGACGTTAGGTTCCATGTTGGGAATGACATTGTTCATAATGGTAGGAGGAGCCTGAGGAGGAGGAGACTGGATATCGTTGATCACCATTGGAGGCGGGCTCGGCTTGGCGGCGGGGATCTCGTTGTAAATGATGGGCGCTGGGTTGGGCTCCGGCGGAGGCGGCACGTTGTTGACGTAGACGGGCGCTTCCTTGATGCACTCAGAGCAGCCGCCCTCGGCCTTGATCATGGTAGGGGGGTCGACACTGTTCACGCGGCCGAAGCCCATGCCGTAGGGGAACGCGTTGATTCGGTTGAAGCCGAGGCCGTAGCCGTAGGGGTAGGCGGCAAAGTTGTTGAAGGCGCGGTTGAAACCGAAGCCGTAGGGAGCGGCGTTGAAACCGACGCCGAAGCCACCGCCTACAGCGTTGCGCCCAAAACCACCAAAGCCACCGGCGACAGCGTTGCGACCGAAACCGCCAAAACCACCGGCAATTGGGGCGGCTGAGGTGAGGCTGATGAAGAGAGAGACGAGCGAGAGGATGGTATTAGTGAGAGTAAACGTCATCTTGGCGTTTGTGTTTTCCAGCGACGCGCTGGTAAAGTGAATGTGGGATCCTTTATATGTAGTGATTGGTGACGGTAACGATAGTGTTTCGATGCTGAGGTTGCTCGTTGTTTGTTTGTTTGTCTGTCTGTCGAGACGTGATGAGTGCTGTGAGTGTCGGAATGAAAGGACTGTCAGTGAGAGTTGCAAAGTTGGTTGTAAACTCCTGAAATTGACACAAAAAGAATGGCATTCGAAAGTTGAGAAGAAACCGAGACAAAGTCCAACAGGATGCTGGCCGAAGTATTTACGTTCAAGTCAGACTCGAAACAATTCGAACAATGGTCAAGATGTCACCCTGACAACCACCATGGCTGGCTTCATGACGTGCGCCCATCATGGAGTTGTAGCAGTTTTTGTATGGTCGACCCTGTTTACCAGCTTCGTATTCAGTTGCAGGATGCTGAGGCGGCCGCAGATGGTTTACGCTTGAACACCGTCCAGATACTAGAGATGAACCGATGGGGCATGGTCCCTCGATGTCACTGGGAGTTCAGTCGTATGGTCCAGATCATCGATTTCAAAAGAAACTGCCTAAAAGCCCTTCGCTGCTAGCGTTATAGTCTGGGGGTGGCATGAAAACGAGTTTCACGAGATCCGAATTGCAGATTCGCTGGAAGTTCCCTGCCGGTGATTTGTTTGAGTGAATCGTCCAGTCTCTGGACCCTTAAGCATCAGGTACGTAGCCGAGTTAGGGAAGTTCCTGCGACTGCTTGATTCACCAGAGAAAAATCGCCGGCATAGTTTCCTGCGGACCTGAAATCCGAATTTCCCGACTTTTTACGGTATCGTATCCAGCGCCATACGTAGTAAGGGCGTCATCATTGTCGGTGCAGTGCCCGTGTCCCTATACGAGACTCCAGTATCTGATTGCCGACATGACGTTTCTGTGACATCGATATTCGTTGGCAACTACAGCGGAAGTGCGTCACACATCACCTGAGCAACGACAAAGGTCAAAGCTGAGAGACGGTTTAATAGGGGCAAAGGGCAGCTCCAAGTCCCCGATCGTGTTCTTATGGTCTCGATTCAAACAACACCAACTTGGAGAATCACAGCCATCAACAGCCGAATAATCCTCCTACAATTAATCGTTGTTCCGTTCCAGCTGATTATCAGCTTGACTTAAACATCCAGCAAAAGCCCAGCAAACGCCAAGATGGTTTTCACCTTTCCCTCCGACTTCGCCACCAGCGACCCAAACTTCACCACCCTCTTCCGGCTCCTCGATGACTTCGACACCTATAGCCGCGAAGTCTCGGGCGGTCAAGAGCCGCCTCGTCCTCCTCGCATCCAACACGGCGGCGGCGGCGGCCGTTGGGGTCGTAAAAGTCGGGGTTTCAGCCCGCGCTTCGACATTCGCGAGACCAAGGATGCCTACGAGCTGTACGGCGAGGTTCCCGGTGCTGACAGGGACGATATCCATATCGAACTGACGGAGCCGAATACCCTCTTGATTTATGGGCGAATTGAGCGGGAATACGACCCTACTCCTGAGGAAGAAGGTGGCGCGAAGGAGAGTAAGGGAAAGGAGGATAAAGGAAAGGAGAAGCAGAAGGCCGAGGGCGAAGGCAAGGCTGAGACGGAAGCAGAGAAAAAGGCCGGAGGAAAGAAGGGTGCGAAGCAGAAAGATGACACGTTCGTTCGGTTCTTCTTGCGGGAACGCCATGTTGGCGAGTTTGGGCGCGAGTTTGCTTTTCCAGGGCCATTGGAGGAGTTGGATATTGATGCGACGCTCGAGAAGGGCATCCTTAAGGTCGTGGCGCCAAAGCACCAGCCGCAAAAGGGAAGGAAGATTGAGGTCAAGTGATGATCGTGGCATATGGATATTAGTTTGCGCCCCCAGGGACACTACAGGTACTTAGGGTCCTGGCGCCGAAGCAGCCGTCGGCCAAGAAGAGAAAGATTGAGATCAAGTGATGGAAGCGGGAGATGGATATTAGTCCTTCGATACAAAAGCAAATCAGCCCTTTTGGTGCCCGTGAAGACTCCGTAATATCAAGTGCATCCCATTATTGGGCTTGATTGTGATTACACCGTCAGGCATGACGTCTTTTTCGTCCATCCCAAGCTCCCACTCAAATGCCAAAACAAACGCGGCCAGCAAGCATCGAAGCTCAGCCTTGGCGAATCCTTGACCAATGCAGCTTCTTGGACCATGGAGAAACGTCATCTGGGCATAATTGCTCGTTACTCCGCCGGTGTTGTTAGGCTTTTGTGTTGGCTGTTCGGTCCCGTCCTCTGCAATGTGGGTTCCCTCTTGGTCGATCCATCTCTCCGGTTTGAACTCTGTTGACGCGCTAGGCCAGTTGTCGGAATATCGATTGATAAGCCAAGGCGAGATCATGATCTCTGTACCCTTCTTTATCGGATGGCCCAATACAGTTGTGTCGCAGGTGGCGGTGCGGACAGTCATAGGGACAGTAGGATAGAGACGGAGGGTCTCGTTCATGACACCATTCAGATACGGGAGATGTTCGAGGATACTGGCAATGTCCTGACCAGGCGCAAACCTGGGAAAGTCGGGTAAGGCGCGTATAAGTTCAGACCGAAGAGTGGATTGCATTTCGCCGTCCTGGGCGAGTCTATAGACAGCCCAGGTAAAGGCGGAAGAAGTCGTTTCGTGGCTGTGATTGTCAGTGGAAAGCCCATGCGCAAAGACTGTTGAACCGGCTCACCCAGCGGCCAGAAAGGTCAGAAGCTGATCGACCAACTCAGCCTCGGAAAAGTTATTGCTTCTGATAAGCAGAGACAGGATATCGAACTGGTCGTCTCCAAGCTTTTCAATTTCTGCCTTTCTTTCGCGAACAAGTTCGGCACATATCCTTCTAATATTGGAGGTCGTTCGGTTGAATCTCCTAGAAATTTCCCATGGGAACAGGTCGACAAACTTTCGAGAGAGTGTCAGGGTCAGGAAGAAGTAGGCGAACTTTGCTGGCCCTGGCTCTAACAGATCGGCATAATTCTTGACCAGAGGATGGTCGGGCCTTTCGAGTACGCGAAAGTCACGGCCAAAGGCAGCGATGCCAATAATGTCCAGGGTGACTTTGCCCGCCCAGGCATTGATCTCGACGCTCGTGTCGTTGCCCTTCTCTCTGAGCTCTTCCTTCAAAACATGGTTCATCTCAATTGCCTTGGTCCACATTGTTGGGTAGAGCTCCTTGATATGACCGAATTTGAATGCCGGCTGGGTATTCTTGCGCAGGAATTTGTGCTGCTCGCCCTCGACAATAACCAGGCCGTCGCCTAGAATCGGACGCAGGAAATTTCGTATCGCGTCGTGCTTGACGAAGTCGTACGGATGATGGACGAGTATGTCGGCAAGGGGTGCGGGCTTGGTAATCAGCATGGAAGTACCGAATCCTCCTTGTAGAATGATGATGCCATCGTTGGGGGTACGCTCGGCTAGTTCGAGGAGTAGCTGGCCAGGCGGGACCTTTCCCCGAAAACGAGCCAGCACTCGCCAGAGGTCGACGACCTTTGGTGCTGGGAACTTTGAGAGAGGGTGAAAGTAGACGGGGTATAGATACAGCTTCCAGGCGAGAAAGAAGACGTAGTTGATTGCCAGGATCGCCAGGACCAGCGATGTGGTAGAGAAGGGGAGAACATGGCGATAACTGGTTTTCTTGACGATAAGCACCTCGACCAGGGCTAGCAGAGTAATTCGTGCGAAATTGAACGGGTTGCCGGTCGGCGGCATGATCACGGCAAGTACTGGCTCTCGTGTGATCTGAGGGCCAGGAAGCTATCGCTAGAGCCAAAATCGGAGGGATGTGGTGTCGAGGTTTTGGATGCGAATGAGCTCCCGGACTTGGGCTAGCCGAGGCATCCTTGGCATCTGATGGTCAACGAAGCATCGACAAACCAGGAAGCTGGTGACCTCATTGGTTCGCTCGCAATAATGGTTGGTCAGATCCCACGGACGCCGGCCGGAGCCGATTGACCAACAAAGTTGTCGGTTGTCAGAGTATCGTGGCTGACATGCGACGGGCCGCGTCAGACGACTGGAGAGACATTGAGGAACGAGACGGTGGAGGCATTTTCAACGCTGAGAGACGGGGTGATCCCTCTGATACTGATGATATTTTCGCTGCTGTCAAAGGAGCCGCGGTCAAGAGAGAACGGTGGGAGGCGATCGCAAAGGGCGAGAAGACGTTCGTTTCCGTGTTTGAATTGGAAAGGAAAATGCTCATCATGCCCCGCATCGTGCACGAGCCAGGCGTGTCGAAACCCACCAATGGTAGGATTCTTGGCAAACAGCTCTTTGATGATGAATGCTCGTCGTCGGCAGTGCTTAGCTTCCCATTATTTCTGCTTAAAATCCTCCTACACTACGATATCGCGGATGTAGGATGGATTGGAATTGACCAATCGTTGTGGCCACCACGGACGGTCGTTGACCATCCCCATCCCCTCTTCGTCACACCTCCTTCTCCATCTAGGCTATTCAGGATATCCCCACCCCTCACCGTCGCCGCCCCCTTCGTCCAAATAATCACCGACTTCAGAAACCCGACCAACGTCGGCTTCTACAACCATGTCCTCGACACTCTCGTCTCTAAGTACGCCACACGGGCCAAAACGTACGGGTACACTGTAATCTACCTGAACGTTCATAAAGCAACAGACCAGTGCCGGGACTTATCATCCAAGGACTTGAAGGGTTGACGCATGATGGCCGCGGTGATTCACTGGGCACTGTAAGCTAGGCATGGTCTGCTGGGCTATCAAGAAGTACCATGCCGATGCATCGCGGGTGTTTATGACGGGCACATCCGGATACGTTCGCTGCAAGAAGTGGCCTTTGCGGGTGAACCGTTTGGCTGTTAATGTTATGCTTATCCGGAGAATAGCTCAGGGGTATATGGCTGGCAAAGTGATGATTGTGCCAAGGGACAGGTTATGCATACGAGCGCGGAGTGCAAGGGCCATTGTCAATGCAGCGTAGCCCGGGTACTGCGGTGGAGGTTCAAGTTCCAGACACTCCGTGGAACGGTGGACGAGACTGTCCATTATGGCCAAATCCTGAGAGGAGGTGAACCAGGGAACTGATGTATTGGGATTGAGCAAGCCGCCAACCAAAACTACAACCAACACGCTTGCTAATGAGTACCTAGACAAAGCAAGTACCGGTTGGGGAGGCAACAGAGTTGGGGAGGAACAGACAGGAAACGTGACCCCCTTCCCCAACAGGTATAGGGTTTTGAGGCTGTATATCTGTATTTCCTTCTTCCCATTCAAGCAAAAGGCTACCTACACCATGGGCAGTCCGCAGCTGGCCTCCTGCAACAGGAATGCAAGAGCCTAGCAGGAAAGTGTGCTCGTTCGTTCTTCCTCAAAATCCCGCTTCTTCTAACTGTCATCCCATGGACATAAAGACCGCACAAACCTCTCTGAACTTTTGGTTTAATACAATACAAAACACCAAAACATCCATTCGCTCGACACTGAATCACCACACGACATCTAATATGCTAAACAGCATCTAACTACTTTCACATCCTTATCGTGCTCTTTTGTTGCTTGCCTCAACTCGCTCTATCCCTATAAAATCAGCATCATCATCATCATCAGTAGCCTCAACGAGCACCTACTACCACACAGCTTTTTCCTCTGGTATATAATTACAGACTCCGCCAAAACAAACTCCAGTGGAAATCGGCTGCCATGGCGCTCCAACAGCCGTCCAAAATTTCACGGACTCTAGAAAGCCTTCCTGCGGAAATGCTACTTCAGATCGCCGAATCTACCCACTCCTCCGCTGACTTGGCAAGCCTGGCCAAAACCAGCAAGCGGCTGTACTGCATGCTCAACCCCTTGCTCTACAAGCTGGATGTACGCAGTGGAAGTTCGTGTGCCTTGCCCTGGGCCTGCCAGTTCGGTAGGTTGGAAACGCTCAAGTTGGTTCATGAAGCCGGGGCGCCACTCAACCAGATCTGGGCATCAAAGAAGCCGCTCCGAGAGCTTCCATCCAACCCTTACCGCCACAGCCCGGAGTTTTACCAAAAGGTTGCACTCGGATTGAAAGACGACAAAGACAACGGCGTTGAAATCCAGGACGATGGCTGGCTTGAGATTTCTGACGTGGATCTAGAGGGCTTCACCCACGATTGGGAACAGGATCTGGTTGACCAAGCGACCGAAGAAGCGGTCGAGGAGGAGCAAAGTGATGAAGAAAGCGACACAGAACGGGTGGTAGACGAGGGTCCATGTGAAGAGCCTTACGAACTGGAAGAAGAGGACCCTGACTCTGAAGATCATTTTTGGCCCGAGGATAAGGATGAAGCCGGGCAGCCACTCCTGAAGATGGCTTCCCAAGACTCTCGATACACCTGGCGCAACGACTTCTTCAGCCTGAACCGCCGCCCGCTCAAAACGGAGGACGACTCCCTTAGCGGAAGACCGCGACGCCACCCTCTGTTCTGGTGGCATCCCATTGACCTCGCTGTTCGTTTTGGGCACAAGGATATTATCCGGTACCTGGTAGCGAACGGCATTAGAGTTCAACATGGAATGTCGCGTGGGCTCTGCCGCCAAAGAGACATTTCCTATGCATGTCCCAACGGAGGGTGCGACCACCATACGCTCCCCCTCACCACACCAGGGCGACGAGGCCATGCAGATTTTAAATACTTTGTCCACACTCTCCTCGGGCTGGTCGCGTGTAACGAGTCTGACGAGGGCAGGGACATGTACCACTTTTTGCGGGAAATTCACGGCTGGAGTAGGATGCAGATGCGTTTTGCTGGGGTAATGGCGTGGTTGGGATGATCAAGTTTGAGGACTCGGACGGGTGACGGCTTTTGTGTAGCTTTTCTCTTGATAGTATGGCCGGCAGGGTGAAGGAGACGGGAGTTCATAATCACAATTTTAGACTAGAAAGAATCTTTAGTCCTCAGTTGATTCAGTAAATATCGTTGCTACTTGAGTTGTCCGTGAAGTACCTGCTGCGTTGGAACCTGAAAGAGCTTCTAGCTTAATCCCAGTTTGCCAGTCTTCCTTCCCGTCCTTTGATGCTCGGCCGCCGACGGAGACAGAAGTTGGGACAGGGGGGCCATCGTTTACCAAAACGGCAATTGCAATGTGTAAGCGTTAGTGAGCTACGTACCGGAGCCCTTTTACACTGCCAAGGCTGTTAAGCCTGCGCTTCGTTAGCTGCTATTCTACATAGTAGCGCACAAGGGTACACGGCAAGGCTCACTAACAGCAGAAGCAATCAATGGTATGAGCACTTAACAATTCCAGAATGCGAAGAGTGACGCCGTGCGCCTTTGCTATCTACGCAGTAGTGGCGGCCAGCATCAACCCTAGTGCTATGCGACTTTCATTTTTGCAGGCCTCTTTTTTTTTTTTCCTTTTCCATCACAATGTCAACAAAGCGACAGGACACGCCAAAACAAAGGTTGTACCACGTCAAGACCCCTGAATGAATGCTTCAACCGGACGCCAGCAATTGCAGCGCATCTATCTACTAACAGACTGACAGCCCAAACACGGCTATTGCCATTTCTCGTCCCGACACGCCGACAGCGATAGACATGGCACCATTGCCCCCTGCACAATCTCCTGGCCATGCGGCAGATGGATCCAGCAGTTGGCTTCGGTAAACGGATACACCTTGCCCGGGCCTTGGTCCTTGGTCATGCGAACCACCTTGCGCCGCCCATCTTCGCTCGCCGTCACCCGTCCGTGTCGAAAACAGTCCATACAGAGCGGTCCACAGTCGTTACCCATGGATGCCTCAACCGGTGCTCCCGCGTCCATGTTCGGTTCCGATTCCTGCCTTGTCGAACATCGCAGTTCCAGCGTCGCCATAAGCGGCTCGTCCGCCTTCTCGCCTCGGACGAACTGAAGGTACGGCACGATCAAGAACCTGAAACACGCCGCCATTGCACAAGGGTCTCCCGGAAGCCCAAAGAAAGATACAAGTCCATTGTTGGGTGCGGTCGACTCGAGCGATGCAAACATGGCTGTGCCTCCCGGTCGCATCGCCACCCCGTGGAAGTGCACTTGTCCCCCCAGCTTCTCGATCACGGATCTGACAAAGCCCGACCTGCCTGGCGTGGCTGCCCCTGTCGTGACCAGAACATCGAACTTGTCCGTCGCCATCGTCTCGCCTAGTGCCTTTTCCAGCACCGCCGGATCGTCGCCGGGCAGCAAGCCCAGAAAGTGCGGCTCTGCTCCGAATTCCTTCAAAGCTGCCATCAGATAAGGCCCATCAGCATCATATGTGTACCGCGTGCCGGTCCTCTTGGTTGCAGTCGGTCCGTCGACATCGCTCCGCACGATTTCTCTGCCAGTTGACCACACCCCAACCCGAATCAGCGGCTCAACAGCGACCTCCTTGATCCCTACCGACGCGAGCGGCAACACATGGCTGGACCGTATCTTCATACCCGCTCTTATCAGTCTGTCTCCCTTGCTAATATCTTCTCCAGCCCTCCGGCGGTTGGCATTGTACGTAACCGGCTTCGTAATCTTGATGAACCTGTTGCCCAACTGCGGATCGGCCTTTGGTACTTCTGACATCGACACTTCGTGGACGTCTGTTGCCCAGACGCATGCGTCCATATGTATCAAGTGTTCGGTGGCCGTGTCGGGAAATCTGGCGCCGACCATGATTTCGTAGCATTGGAGAACACCATCGGGTCCCCTACAGGGCGGCATTAGTGGTGGTTCCTCGCCTGCCGTGATGGTTCCTGCCACGCGAAAGTAGACCGGGTTCATGGGCGAGGCGTTGATGGTGGCTGAGGATACCAACGCAAATCCGTCGGCGGCGGCTGTATCGAAGGGCGGTGTTGAATCGGGGCTCAGAATGTCCTTGGCCGCTGTCCGCCCGACCGAGTCTTCGAGTGGAACGAGCTCTTCCGTTCTTGTTCTGCGTTTGGACATATCGTTGGCCGTCTTTTGCAATATCTGCAATGCAGCTTGGTACTGCATCGCCATTGTCGTGAGAGGCGTTGTATGCATTTTGGGCTTGCTTCTTATCGAGTATCTGGCATGCTCATGACGGACAGCTGAGGAAATGCGACCGGGGAGGATAGATAAATAGTTGGAGATTGTCAGGATGACGTCGATGAGGAGCCTCTCGAGTTGTAGCTTTTTCCAGCTGTCTGCAGCAGTCGGGGCCACCTGCACGATTCTCCAACGAGAGCCTGCATCTCCGCGTTTGGCTTTCAATCTGATACGAGCATTGGTCACAGGGATTCGGTCTTTTTCCGTGACTAGAGATTTCTTGGAGCAATATCTTGTCTTTGGAGCTATGAAGTGTGTTGTAAACGGCGATTTACCAACAAAACGAAACGCTTATCCGCTGCCTCCAGGACCATCTCCTTTCCAAACATAGCCTTCACATGCCTCAATTGACGTACAAGATCAACCATCTTTGTGTCAGAGAACTGATATAACACCATCAATATCCGTTTGTTCTCTGCCCTCCTCCACCCAAAACTATTCACCTCATTTTCCTGTCGATTCAGTTGCCTTTGCGAAGCTTAGATAGGTCCATCGGCATAGTTGCAGCTTCATATGTAGGCGGCATTTCCATAGGCTCTACAGTTGAAGGCGGATTCCTCACAACGCCTGCCGACCGGGCCGTCTGGCTTCCCACGCCGGCGACGCCGCGGTTATCCCCCGGCTCCCGAGAAAATAGTTCGTACGCCTCCCGACACTTACTCCCGTCATACGTACACCCGCCGGCGCACCACTTACACACGGGGATGCAACACTCCGTCACAGTCGATTCCACCAGTATCCACAGCAGAACAAGAGGCCAAAGCAGCCCTTTGAGCATGGCCCAGAGAATGCGGGCGGTGAATCTCGTGCGCGGCGCCACCACCTCCCCCGTCTCCTCGGTACTGTCCAACCTTTCATCCATGATCGCCATTAAAAACGTCATATAGCTTCCAGCTACAAGGATCCAGATTGCCCCGGAGACCGTATAGATAATCGTGGAGGTATCAATTTGGCTGTCTTCAGGGGTGGAAGTTGACCCCTCGGTTGATGGGGCGGCTGTCAAGGATGGCATAATGACTGATATGAACGCGGCTATCGTCTTGGTGACTTGTTAAATTGTTGTGCTATGCTTGTCTCGTGTGATGAAGATAAATTGGGAGATGGGATCTAATGGAGAGAGTACCAGGTTAGTACGGTCTCGGATGATCTGAAAGGGAATGCTATTGTGTGATTGTGCGATGGAAACCTATGATGAAATATGGATCCTGCTTCTTGTACCTGAATCCGATGGTTGGAGTTTTGTTGCAGCTATTAATGGTTGCGTGATGCTTCATCGAATGCTGATATTGAGGAACCTTGAATGGAAGAAAGGTGCAAAAGAGCGAGCAGCAACTGGAAGGAACAGAGAACAGAACGCAGAATATAAAGCCCTCATATTGCGTCTTCATGCACGAGCAAAAGCTCACTCACTTCCCCTCTATGAGGTTCGCGGTGCAGTCTTCTGCAGCAGGTTTGAAGAAAGGTGCAACTTGATATCAAAGCTTGTAACATGCATCACTACCCTCAGGGTTCCTTCCTATCCAGCTGCAGAGTTGAGAGCATACCAAGGAAAACAAGAGACAGAAACGGAACAAAACAAAGTATTCAAAGCACGAAAGCAGCGCGGCGTCCAGTCTATCATGCGTGATTATTGCAACCTCCTCGTTTTCTTGATACCAAGAACGTGCCTTATCACTTAGCCACTCTCATGCGTCAACGAGCTGCCAGAAGCGCCCGTCTCCGCTGTCCCGTTCAACGACCGTGGTGTGTCTACAACGACAAGGGCATCACAGCCTCTAAAGGCTCTTTCCAAGAAGACAGCTCTCGATGCGCCATCCACTCCCTCCTCTTCACCTCGCCGGGCCATAGCCGTCAAGCCAAGCTTGAGGCTTATGCAGTCTGCTGCACCACACCGCTCAATCACGCTGCCAGTTGTCTGTTGAACACTTATCAACCTAGGGTCCTCTATCAACACCCTTCCAAGGTCAGTTTGCTGGCTGAATCTGCCTTGGAACCCACTCACTGGCCTTCCCGTCCAAGATTTCTTGATAGGCCGCGCCTAGTTTCCGTCATTGTCACCCACATCCGACACTCGTGTTTTGCACTCGCCCCGACGACATTCGCGATGGTAGCTGACTCAAAAATAGTCCAGAAGAGTGATGATATGTACTGCTGAATCGCCCCCAATCTTATATACAGTGAGTGACCATGATGCCTCCATATGTGGCCGGGGCCCCTGTTGCCGCCGAGGCGCTCCGGCATCACCACTAACCATCTCATCCTTCTCTGATTAACTCCCGCATTCCATCAACGACATCAGAAGAAAGTACCAGTAAAGGCACTCTTAACCGCCTGCGCGACTAACTTCTGGATTTGCACACCAGGATGGTAGTCATTAAACCACAGGCAGCTCACGCCGTCCTCGTTGAAGCAAGTAGCATCGGGCGCTCCGTACGCCGTCGGGTTCTTGATGGCCTTCTCAAAGGGCGCCACGGTATCGACGAGCTTTCCTGTGACATCGGTGTTGACCTCAAGGAAGGCATCAAACCGAGAAGCCAGGAGAGAGTTGTACTTGGCGATAGCGACCTTTTGGGTAGCGACGGTAGTGGCACCCTGGCCGATCGTGGAAGGGGTGTAGTAAATGGCTGGTTTGGCGCGATCAAATTGTTAGCAGCTCTTTGCATCCCAGAACGTCGGGGAAAAAAAAGAAAAAAAGAGAGAAAAAAAAAAAAAACTCACGAGCAGCACCCAACAGCGCAAAGTTCCTCGCCCCCGCATCATACAACACCTGCAACCGTCCAAAATAACTATCCATAATCTGTCCATACAACGCATCCATCTCCGAGTCGCTCATCCACCAGCTGTTGCCCACATCATTCACTCCAATCCAGACCGCCACCAGGCTGTTCTCGCTGTTCCACGGCGCGTACGCAGGACGGCTGGCAATGCTCCCGCTGAACTGGGCCACCTGGTCCACAAAGCTGAGCACGGTGGGCGCGTACGGCGCGACGAGCGAGGCGTTCGTGGTGGCTCCGCCCGAAGCGAAGTTGTAAGAGAGCGTGAGCGAGGTGTTGAGCTGAGAGGCCAGGAAGCCGACCCAGTTGAGCCCGCCTGAGGCGGTCCAGCCGGGTAAAGGGGGGTTGCCAAGCGGGTTAGAGGACGAGGGCTTGGAGCCGTTGATGTCGAAGCCGGTTTGGGAGTAGGAGTCTCCGAAGGAGATGAGGTATTTGGCAGAGGTAGAGGTGGGGACGGGCACGGAGCTAGACTGTGTGCTGGAGCCGGTAGATTCAGTGCTACTGCTGGATGGCTTGATGGAGGTTGAAAAGGTCGAGCTGCTGCCTCTGTTGGTTGTCGTGGGCGTAGCGGAGACGGTTACGGGCTTGGAGCTGGTGGTGACGACCGCAGCCGAGGTGGGCTTGGGAACGCATTGGTCTGGAAGTTGGTGGTCAGTCATGTCAATGGCTTCAAGAGTAACTCGGGAGTCAACGAGGTCGACCAACAGTAGTAGTCGTTAAACGACGTGCAAGTAGCTACTGAAGTGCAAGCCGAGCCGGCAGACTGCCATCCGATACCACCACACTGTCCCCACAGGGGAATATCAGCAGCGGCAGCTAGCGCTGGGGCTAGAGCCATGAAGCCGAGTTTGAGAGCTGCCATGATGGATCGTGGAGTTGGTCCCAAGAGATAAAAGCACGCAGGATGATTGACAGGTCAAAAAACGTCAGAGACATGAGATATCAGGGTCAAGATATACATTATTGCACGTCCATCACAGGCCTGGACCGAAAAATCGGCCATGGTGCTCTTCTTTTCGCTTCGTCGAGATGGTGTAAGATGATTGGCGGAGTAATCGGAAGACAGGGGCCTGGGTGGACCATTCGACATCCGAGAATGCAGGAACACGGAGGGAAAGGTTGCGTTCGACCGCCGACTGGCCAGCCAGGAAGTCCTAGCCGAATAGCCGCCGTCAAGAGTCCATGGAGACTCATCTGACACTGGGAATAGACTCTCGCCTCCTTCCCTGTTTGTGTCTAGTTAGCTCATGGTCTCATGCTGTGTTCCGATGCCAAGGCGTGGAGTCTGGTCGAAGCATGATATGATGCTGCGGTAATTCTCAACCATGGTGTTGTGAAGTCGAGATGGCCTGGATGACGACGCAAACTGGGCTGAGGGAGACAAGGGCCGGATGAGACACTCTATTAGGGGTATAAAAACGACGGAAAAAAAAAAAGAACCCTCCTGATGGGAACAGAACACCGAACCTCGACACCTTCCATCCATCATCAGTCATCCCAAACCGTCTCCTTCCATATCGGAAGCAATAGGAAGACCACAGCTGACAAGGCCGAAAAGATCGTTCCACCCACCATACTCTGCATCACAATCTTCCTCTGCAATCTCCGCAGACTGCGTTCCTGCACCTTCAATCTCTTGTCGAACATCATCACCCTGCCTACCCTTTGTCTCACAGACCATCTCTTTGTCTCCATCTCTTCTTCATTTTCATCCTGCCCACCACTCATATGTACCCCTTCTACCTTTTCCCCATCATTCAATCTCTCCCACGGCAACCTCTGCCTCCTTGAGAACAGCAACAGAAAGAAACAACTGCCCCTCAGCCCGCATAACACCAAACTCATCCCCACCATCCAGAACCCAAACCCGTCGAAACTCTCCCACCTGCTCCTTGCACCTCTGCCTTCCGTGAACGCCCTCATCAGAACCACCAGGTATCCCAAGGCCAGCGACACGAAACCCAGAATGGTAGCAAAGCATATCGTCTCAAACGTCCCGTTACTCACCCCCAACCTGACAAAATTGCGGTGCGAACACGAGCGTAGCAAATAGTAGACGTGATCGGCGATCGGTCTGAGGATGTTCGGGTCCGGTAGCGTGCCCTGGGGAGTAGCAGCCAATCCGTCGAGCGCGGAGCGACGGAGGGACATGGGTATGTTGAGTTCTTTTGACGACGATGGCAGGAGAAAGAGAGTGATGATGGTTTGGATTTCGGAAGGCGGGATGGGACCGGGTTGAGGGGCGAGAAGGCCGAGGGTGGTGGACTTGTTGGCCGGGTCGGCGGGGTCGGGGGTCGGGTCGCTCGCGAGGACGGCGGTTTGGCTGTTGTTAAAGTTGTTGAAGAAGGTTGCTGTCGGGAATATGGCGTTGGATGATGGGGCACAGGGACCACGTGGGCGGTAGGATGGGTGGGCGACGCTGCTGGTGCATGGGGCAGAAGCGGTGATTAGCATCGAGATACGATGGAGGGTTTCTCCCGCTGTTGTGGCTGTTGTTTGTTAGCGATGTCGGAATTCTGAAACTAACGAGTAACGGCCCGGACTTCTGTCAAGTGCACTGAGTGGAGAATCATGTTTGTTGTTATGGCGCTTAACTTACCCGGCTCCAAGTCCCCGTCTCCCTCGCCATCGCTGGGTTGATAATGGCTCTTCTTGAACACAGACGATGATACGCTTCCGCTTTCCGATGCTGTCTTGACCAGATCATGAGAGTCCTTGTGGTAACGGGCAGCGAACCCTTTGTGGTAGGACTCTTCATAGTTCTTGAACCAGATATAAAACTCGAGATTCTCAGATGATAACTCGATGTATTTGAGATACATATAAAAGTCGTATAGTGACATAGGACTACCTATCGATGTCACCTCGTCAGTACATGGTGTAACTGATGCAATTCTTGAATGTCCACATACATGTCTTGTTCTGCAGTATACGCTCGAGCCGCAGTCGACTCGGTATCACTCCCTCCTTTCCCGCATCTGGACTTGGTGGCCTCTTTCCAGAGCTGGCATTGTTGGCGTATTCCTTGAAATTCCTATACTCGGGCTTTTTGTACCAAACTAGCCATCCCGGCAAGTGCATGATCACGCCGGATAATCGCTATGTCTCGAACATAGATCGTCCCCTGGTTTTGATACTTGGATCGCGAAGGAATAAAACGAATGAAGGAGATCAAGGGTTTGTAAGTGTGAAAAAAAAGTCCTGGGGTTTGGGGGGACGAACTAGCTTTGTATCCGGCCAGTTTATCCAGGTCCCAAAAACTTGCCCTTTTAAGGAAGTGCACAGACCTCTTCTCTTCTCAAGACATGTCCCTCGGCCAAATGTGCTCCTTTGCACAGACAATAAATAGTAGGTCAGCAGGCTTGCTTTGGTTGGTTAGTTCAGCCAGCTAGGCAAAGCGCGGATAGCACCGTGCTTTTGACTTTGCTTAGGTTCAATGACTTTGACCACACCACCGGTATATTGGAAACCTAAAACAAGCCAACACGTAGATCAGGCTGGGTATAATCTGGGCTTCCAGACAAAGGGCGGACGCCACCAGGTACTCCCGTTGGTTGATGGTGTTGTTGATCTCTCGAAGGCATTCGCGAAGAACAAGCAAGGGCAGGCAGGGCCAATCTCGAGCCAACCTGACCATAAGAGGTGTATCAACCTCCTTTCAGCTGAATGCTCCACATCAGAAATTCGTTATCGAAGACTTTGATCGTCTAGACAGGGGTGGAGGTCGCCACGCGGCGTGTGTTTGGGCCGCTATTCAATAAGAACATGTGGCTCGCCATGCCTTTCACCCGTTGCATGTGTGCCGGCCCTTGCTTGCTTGTTCCTCGCCCAATGGTAAAATGTTTGCGTGGCCCCCCTAACTTCCCGTGCTCATTCCGAATCGTTCATTTGCCATTGTTGCGGCTTGCCATGTGGTTGGCTCTCCAGTGCTCCCTTACAGTGGTTGGTACACGTGTAGGCATCCTCCTCTTTGATCACTTTACTCACCCAATCCAGCTTGGCCAGGCAGGACTATACGCAGAACAATCGACCTATCAGCGAGTATGGTGGCGTTATTGGCCTAACTTGAAGCGATAATTCCCTCCATGATGGCACGAATTCGATGTCCATGCGGGATGTGGAGATCGACATGAGAGGGGGAGGAGCTGAACCATGCCTGTAGGGCCAATGGATTCCACGCTGTCCTGGCGAGCAAAGAAGACGGCGCTTTGATGTTCGGGAATTGCTTGTCGAGAGTTAACTTGAAGCAGAGTGGATATGGCAAGTCAGGCCAAGGGAACTGGAAGGGAAGACCCTTGATCAGCTCGGGATCATTCCGGCGTTCCCACACTCAAACGCCTGTGCAGTCTTGGCGAATGTGTGCGTGTGCACACACACACACGACTTTTTGGCAAAACGGACCATCGAAACGAAAGACGAAGATGAAGAAACTCGATTATACTATATAAAAGACTATTCTCCTAATAGTCTTAAGTACGCTGACTCTGAATTTTAAGTTTGTTTTTTTTCATCTCTTTGTTTAATAGAGATATAAGTAAATGAAATCTCATCGATAGTCCGTTTTGCCAAAAAGTCGTGTGTGTGTGCACACGCACACATCCGCCAAGACTGCACAGGTGTTTGAGTGTAGGAAATGGTACCAAGGGCTTTGCTTTGTCTCGGCACGGAGAATTGTCTGGGCGATTGTCTCACTTTGTTGTCGCTTGTCTTTATATTCACCTCATCTTTCCACATCTTTCTCGATTCTCCCTTCGCCGTCTTTGTTTCTTTCTTCTCTTTCCCTTAGTTTGGATGCGACATGGAAGTCATGACACCCCATCGCTCTTGAGGACCAGTGCAACGTGAGCGAGGCGTTCCTTCCACTCCAGAGCTGAGACTGGATTAAAGAAGTCATGACAGCCGTGGCAGTCACCATGGGACTTCCTTGGCAACCAATGCCTGCCGGCTACTTAGTGGCCGATGCCGACTCCACGCAGCCTCTGGGCTTCGCGGCTTCCATGTTTTCACACCACCACTCATGTTGGGGAAATTTCAGATACATCATGATCCTTCTTCTCGGCACCACCATTGCCAAAGGGGAATAAATTGAAGAGAAGGGTGAAGAAGAAACAAAATGATGCGTACGGTCATACCTGCCAACTGGTTGACCTTGAACGTTGAGTAACCGTTGGAAGAAACTGAACACGGACATTGGACTGTCCAATAACGCTCGCTTTGGCTCAGACACCCCGCTGCGAGACTGTGATTGTTCAGTTGCAAGAGCACGTAGGCTCGAGTTTGTTAGGGATCGGCTAATCGACCATGCCATAGAGGAGTTTAACAGATCAATGCCTGAACTTGTAGTTTTTTTTTTTTTTTTAGTTTTTTTTTTTTTTTTTTAGTTTTTTTAGTTTTTGTTTCAAGCGCCGGGTTCACTATAGCCTTTCTTCTTTTCGCTCTATATTTCTCGTGTTGATACATTGGGTCCTGGAAAGATATAACTACAACATATATGAAACGGACGTACCGTCGATTCTGCAACACATCGTGCCGGGGTTTATACAAGATGGCGTTGAAGGCTTGTAGCAAACATGTGCGCAGCCCGTGGACAAAAAGGTTTATTGGACAGTATGTGGTACAATGAGCCACAATCTGGCTCGGCAGACGGCCGGCAGCTTTGAGCTTCTTATGACTTTCCTTTATTGCGTTTATCATCCTTACTTCAATCGTCGCATTATGTGTATGTCCGGTGGCCTCGGCCGGTTAAAAGGATGGTGTATTGCGTCCTGTCGTCACCTCCCAATGTTTCAAACCTTTGGTGGTTAGAAAGAGCAACCAACGGCACCTCGGAGATTCAGTGTTGACCCAGTTTTTGCCAGTGCTAAGGTGCCTAGAGGTAAAAAAACGACCTTTCAAGATGGAGCACAAGAAAGGCAAAACCATCGTGCCCGTCATGTGGGGTACCATGATCCTTTTCCCGGTGTTGGCACTTGTCTTCATCGTCCTCAGGCTTTATTGCAGGCGATGGCTTAGAAATGCAACGGCCGGATATCTAGATGATTATGTGTTAATTTTGTCATGGGTACGTAGCGTTTCAGTTCTTCTTCTCACCTACCCCTTACCCTCGGCTCTCAGATCTGTGTTTGGACCGTGGAAGACGAGAGAGCTAACGTCAAAATCATTGGAAATCAGATCCTAATGGTCATAACCTCCATCATAGGTTTGATGCTCGCCAAGCACGGCGTTGGCACAGCCATCGTCGAGGGGCAAGAAATTATAGTCGAACCAGAGGTGATGCACGCTCTCCTTTTCTGGACCTCAAATCTGTTGCTCTTCGGCATCAACGCCATTGCATTTTCCAAAGTGTCTTGGTTCATAACCCTCATTCGTCTGGTCACAAAGCGTTGGCAGAAGGTTGTGCTCTGGGTCCTCATGGTTTTCAGCACCGCCGCCCTGTTTGTCGCTTCTACCTTTGGGTACTACCAATGTCATTTCTTGCCTGACGGGAGCTGGAACACTCCAGCAACATCGGACCACAGGTGCCTCGATAACTGGGTGGCCATCAAGATCAGCCTAGTTACCTCAATCTACTCTACTGTCCTGGTAAGGAGTCACACGATCCTTGACCATCCATGCTGCAGGCGCCTTTTAATGCTAACAGAGATATCCATAGGAGTTCGCATTGGCGGCTGTTCCCGCCTATGTCGTTTGGAACTTGCCACTCCAACGGAGCACCAAGATGGGCATCATCTGTGCCACGAGCGTGGGCTTTGTGTGAGTAGCGCAGATTTCCCTGATGGAACGACGGAGTGCTGATGTTTCTCGTAGGTCGGCGATGATGGGAGCCTTGAGAACAAAGGCATATTACGATCACCTGTTTCCCCTGGGAAAGTTACCCGAAATGTATTCCCTAGGATGTGTGATTATGTTTGCGGTCCTCGAAGTGTGCACCACAATCATAGCCGCTAGCATCCCCTTCCTGCGTCCGCTGGTTAAGAAGATGGCTAAAGCCCATGATGAGGAAGAGTTATCGTGGCCATAGGTGTCTTATCGGGGAAACTTACAAGCGGCAAGTGGTTTACCTACTCAGTTCAGAACATCGGCTTCGGAAAGAGGTCCCTCCCACCATCCGGCAAGGACGAGATTCAAGGAAATGAGACAGGAATTGGAGGATAAATAGAATACGAAGACATGACTCTGGATGTAGTTTTATACTGAATTATAGCCCCATTGGTAATTGAGCTGTAAACAGGGTGCTTACCCGATTGAGGTTGAAGACGGCGGGAAGAAGGAGGGTCCGGGCACAAAAGTCTGGGGAAATGGTTCCAGATTGGGTTCATGGTGCCGGGCGAGAACGGAAGTAGCCGCCCAAGATCCCAGCCACAGGGACCTCGACCCTACAGCTTCCCCGCTATCAACCACCATTTCTTGTTTTTCCCTCCTTACCATTTCATCCGGGCAAAGTTGGAACGTACCACACTCGACATCATGGCATTGCCGGGCAGAAATGTCTCATTCTGGTGCGTGCTTAAACGAGCGTAATGGACCTTCGTTTGTACTTCCAAACGCTCTACGGGACGTGCATTGCCGGGCATGATCCCAGAACGCCAGGTAGAGGTATTTGTCAGTACCTGAAACAGGCACCAGATAAGTCCTGCTCGCCCTGTTAGCCAACAGCGAGGTCAAGAGCATGTTACCTACATGCAGATGTGTTCCCCCCACAGACAGGCTTCGAACGCTTTTGATAGATCCCACCACATGCCGTCAACCAACCGACCCCTCTTCCTTAAATGTGAAGGACAGCCATGTGTTCTCTGGCGCTCTGTCCTCAGGGCAACGCTTCTGTCACCTTTCATCTCAAAGCCGAGACTCGAGCCGCTCGGATTCGTCTACAGCATGGCCGACCACCAGCCAACACAAGCACTGTCAGTCGAGGGGAACAGCAGCAACATCGACAGCTCCGATATCTCCGCTAGTCTCTCAACGGATAGCACCCAAGATGGTCAGACCGACGATGGATCTGATCAAGACAGCGTAACAAGTGACCTGAGCACGCAGGACTATACCGTCAGCCTCAAGGATGATCTACGCAAGGCTCTCGATGACGTCAAAGTCGCCGGTTCATTCGCTTCTTTCCGCAAGCTATTACGTTCACCTCCTGCCGGTCTTTATGTCGACGGAGTTGGCGACGTCGCCATGCCTCTTGGCGAGACTCAAGCCCGCCAGTTGATTGCAAAAGCCCGTCAGGCTCCCTATGGCAGGGGAAGCGAGACCATCGTTGACACAAGCGTCCGAAATACCTGGGAAATCGATGCAGCCCAGTTCAGCTTCAACAACCAAAGGTGGCCAGGCTACGTCCGGCAACTGTGTTCCCATGTTGCCGCCGACCTAGGCATCAAGTCACCAATTCGGGCAGAGATATACAAGATGCTCATCTATGAGCGCGGTGCCATGTTCAAAAGCCATACCGATACCGAGAAAATCCCCGGCCAGTTCGGCACCCTCGTCGTCGCCCTCCCCTCTGCCCACAAAGGCGGAGACGTGGTGGTCAAACATTGTGGCGAGCAAAAAACATTCAAGACCTCGGAACATGGGCAGTCCTTTATCTGCTGGTACTCTGATGTACACCACAAGGTGTGTCCTGTCGAGTCCGGGTATAGATGGGTGTTGACCTACAACCTCGCTCTTGATCCCAATGCCGTTCGCCCTTCAGCCGGTCTTGTACGCTCCGAGACCGAGGCTCTCTGCCATACCCTACGTGAATGGCTCCAGGAACCCGCAGAGTCGCGCCAGAATGGTCTCTATTATGTCCTGGACCACGATTATACTGAAGCAAGCATCAAGTTGAACAACCTGAAGACGCGTGACCTAGCAATCGGCCAAGTCTTGAACAATTTGTCCAAGGAACTCGACTTTGAAGTCTTTTTTGCTCTTCTGGAAAAGGAGGAGTTTGGAGAGGCCGAGGTCGACCACTCTAGATTTTATAATGTGTATCGTGAAGAAGGCGAAGAGTCGAGCGAGAAGCCTTTCATTGCATAGAAGAACTCATAGAAGTCGATTACAGAGTCAAAACAGTTCGGGATATGTTCGGTAACCCGGTTGTCGACGGTCTAGCACTTGATCCTGAGGAGGAAATCCTCCAAAACGACGGGGAATTGTTTGCCGATGATGACCCTGAGCAGGAGTACGAGGGCGTCGTGGGCAACTCAGTAAGTACCTCTACAACTTGCTCTTGCGATTTCCAGAACAGCGAGGCTGACACTACTATATCTACTCCACAGGGTCCAAAAGTGACACACTGGTACCGTTCAACCGTAGGCATCCTGTTTCTTTCGTATCTACCTATCGCTTCGTCAAATGCTCCCATCACTAACTCCCCTTTTAAAAAGGCTGTCCTCCTTGTCCCATCCGCCTCGGTTCTCGAATTCTTCGAGAAAAATATGCGAACGCTTTCAAGAAATACTCGCCAATCATTGATCAGTTATTGTGCCAGATCAAGCCTGAGTTGCTTGAGGTCCAATATGCACCGTGCAGCGCTCTTGTTTCAGGCTGCGATGGATCTCGCCAAACGCTCTACGACCACAGGCGATGCTCGCTCGACCATTTGGCCCAAAAATCCACTGATTGATGGGAACGACCTCATGAGTATTCTCAAGGTTGCAATTGAGCTGGGAGATTATGATTCCTTCGATGATGCCTGCTTGGATCAAAACGCCGTAATCCCGACCTCTTTTTTCACATGGACCAAGCAGTGGCTCAAGCGGTCAAACACGGATTCGAGTTTCAAGGACATTAGTGAAGTAGGGTACGTTCGATGTCACCCAGATTATGTAGATAACAATGGACACAAACTAACAATGATATCCCTCAAGGCTGAGCTGCGTTGTCGATTCATATCCTACTCTGTCTTACAAGTTAGCAGCCCTTACGAACTTGATCCCGAAGCCCGAAGACGCCGACTGCTCCGCCAGTCTACGTGATGAAATATCAACATGGGTACACGGCAAGCTCGAGGAATGCCTCGGCGACTTGTTAATGAAGGAGAAAGTAGATGATGGCGACGGAAAAACCATAATCGAAATGGCTTTGATCCTTCCGGATCCATCACGCTTCCTCTCCATCAGGTATGTCTCTCTCGTCCTAGTCATGATAGACTTATGAACAGAGTCTAACAATCCCCAAGCGTAGTTCCATTGCTGGATCCAGAGTGTCAGTCAATAGCCTTCTTCATCGCTTTGTTGGCGCGGTTGTGGAAGGAGGTCTCGGCCGACGTCGTTCCTCGTGACGATGGCTTTGCCATTTACAGGACTATAGCCAAGCAATTTCTTGCCTCAGTAGACTTCTCCAAAGTCAAACCGAAAGGTGGAATCAAGCCTGAGCATGGAAACAAGCGGCAACGGACCAGCTATGACGGTGGCAACAAACGTCCCCCGAAGAAACAACTCCTAAGGACAGTCGCATCCAATACACTAGTCAAGTTCTTCGAAACGCTCGTCAAGATCAGCACCCCAGATGACGACTTGGCCACACAATTCATAACCAACCTGAACGACGATGTCCCTCGTCTACCCGTCGATCACATGCACAACCTCTGGCTTCCCTTTCTCTGGTGCCTCATCCCCATCCTCACCGCCAACGCGATCCCTCTCACCACTCCCGTGTACCAATCCCTCTACCGCAGCATGCTCACTCGCTACATCAAAGAGTACGTCAGAACACAGCCCGCGCCTTCAAACTCGCTTGTCCGCCCGCCCGTCAACTGCCCCCACGTACACTGCCCCGATTGCAATGCCCTTAACTTCTTTCTACAAAGCCCCACTGAGGAGGTCGAACGATTCGATGTCGGCAAAAAAGCCCGACGCCACCTGCACGAGATGCTCGATGAGCGCGGGATTGACTGTACGCACGTGTCTGAGCGCGGCACGACCCCGAACACGCTGGTGGTGACCAAGACATTTACGCAGGAGGAGCAGCCGATGAAGGAGTGGAAAGAGAAAAAGGAATATGCGGCAAGTAGGTTACGCATCTTCGAGACGTACTCGCAGGCCATGCCGGAGTTGAGGGTCTTGCTGGGAGAGCAGTTTGATAGGATCATGAACATGGAGGATGTCTATCCAAACCCAGCGGGAGCCAGACGTACGGCACCGAGACCTTTGGCGTCTGCATCAGGGATTGTCATGGGCAGATCTAGAGTGGGTGCTTCTGGGTCGAGTCGCTCCACGACCGCTCCCCGGCCTGTGGCGGGAGTGAAGAGGTCTCGGAGCGTTAGCCTCGAGGACGGAGTGGAGACTGTTGACTTGACAGAAGATTGATCGGATATGTAGGTGATTTGGTATAGCTGGCGAGCATTTGGTATATGATATGCTGGCATTCTGTTTTGTCTTGGATAAGGATGGCATCGAGGCATATGATGTATACTTTTTGGTAGGAGGTTGAGTGGGTACAGGTGAATGCATACACGGACACTGTTGAGGACTTGTTTGGTAGGTTCTATTTGGATGAGGCTATTATAACGGAGAAACCTAGCTGCTCGTTAGCCAATACCGCAAGTTCTCGTTCATAAACGATGTACCACAACAACGCAATAAAGGGACCCATGAAGCTAGGAAGAAGAGACCGCTTGAAGACAAAGACTACGTGTTCGCGATTGCACAGTGATTGGAAACTTGATCAACTTTTAATGTGACTTTCTAATTCTAATCTCTCTAGTTGTTGCTCTTTTATGTTTCTCTCTTACCTGGATGTACATCAACCGTCCGCTATCACCTACTTAATCGTACATTTATAGCTCCCTAATTTGCTCAGATCAGTAGCATGTGTCTCTAGCTAAGAAACAGATGGGGCTCAACTCACCTCGAACCGCACTGCTATCTTCCTTCCTGGTCCGGTCTGGCGCATTGTTCCTAGAACAGATAGAGTGACGGATCGGTCAAATGTATCTTCAACATCCCCACCCACCTCCATGTCGCAAACATGTTCGAAGACTGGATGGTCATCCAAGTATCCGCGGTACCTACCGAAAGGTCGGAAGATACAGAAAACGACTGAGTTCGACCACGAGGAATGCCTTCCCATATGTCAATGTCGTTGTGTTCATGATGGTGTACATCGTGGGTTGAACAGATGCCGTGGGCATGGTTGTTGTGTAGATGATGTCCATAATGATGCGCCTCGTGGGCTGAGTAAAAGTCGTGGCCATGACCGTCGTGTGGATGATGAAAATCGTCGAGTTCGTACAAGGGCAAAAGGTGGTCGTCAACGTCGTCAGGAACAAGCGAGCGGGGATTGCGACTGGGCGCTTTGTCCCATCTGGCGCCATAACGAATGTGAACTGTACAACATGTCAGTGTCTTGACAAGGTGTCCCATCAGGAGGGTAAAATAAATGCACCCAACGATAATATCCTGATGGGGGTTAATGGTCGCTGGGCCACCTGCCATCCAGTCCTTAACCCACAGTGCAATACCGATAGAACTGGAGACATGGGCTATGACGGCAGCGCTGCTAAATATGAAGTAAATGTACACGTTTGTCCTGCTGGGAATGAATGGATCAAAGGCCTCACCTACGTCCAAGAACGTGTGCTTCTCGTACGGAGCACCATGTAAGCGGCTGATGGCGCGGATGAACCGGTACACGGTTACAATGAAGAAGAATGCGTTGATGAGATGTAACCAGACAAACCAACCTTCGCGGCTCTCGTGGTCCTCAAGGTCGAGTTTGCGCCATACGTCTCGCAGCTCTACGAACCAGATCATTGCATAACCATAGAGTGCCATGGATAGGGTAGCCTTGATAACTGACAAGCAGAGTGAGAATTTCTTCATTTGGACATACCGGTAGAAGTTGATGGCCCTCTGGACAGGGTTATCACCCCTGAGAAAGTCATCCAGGGTTTTTGGGCCGTATTCAATGTCATCTGCATTGAATGCCATCAGGATGAAAGAAATTACACCTTGTGTATCGGTATCAGTCTCAGACGGTGGACAAGACGGTGGGGAAGTCAGCGAATGATCAGGGGCGGGTACCGTTGGAATGTCTGATGAAGATGACCGGCGAAGAGAGATGTCATCTTCAGTAGGTGTGAGGTAGGACAGGGCGGTAGCGAATGAACCGATGGTGGAGGTCGAGCGACGGAGGTATGTCCTGCTTGGGGTTTGCGGATAGGGGGAAACCATGGTTGAGTTCATGGTGATGATTGTGGTTGTTGCTAGCTATGGTGCTTGTTTCGTGTGTGATGATAATCGGTTCCTCCAGAAACATCCATGTCGGACGGCTCGGGACGTTGCGATTATATGTGGTCGGCTTTCTAACAGTCATGGAACAACACGATGGTGTGTTTTGGAAACTGAGGCCTTGGTCTTGAACAACGAAATAAGACATGGCGTGGTCGACACAATGGCTTGCTTCCATTCGGGTACCTAACCGTACTGTACAATGTCATTGTCAGCTCTACACACGTTCTGAAACTCAATGACAATGAGGACCTTTGTCCTCAACAAAGCGTCCGGGTCCGGGCCGGAGATTCCGGGCTAGATTGCTGAGGAGGTCTACTAGTATGTAGTGAATTGCGTGGGTATTCCGTGGTCATCATGATTGATCGCCAAGGCTTTGTGTTCCATGATTGGCACACGCGCCTCAGTTGTTTTGCTCGTTGAGAGCAAGACAGTGACATCTATGGACAAAGTCGGTGATGTTGGCTGGAGTCTTGGAGAGCATGGTCGATGGCCATTTTGGATGGCGGTGAAAAAGTTGTTACAAGTGAAAGTCACTCAGCTAGGGCTTGAGGAATTTGCAAGGAGAGAAACAGTTGCGTCAAGAAGGTCACGAGTTGCGACAAGTCATCGTCGCTCCTTCCTTTTTCGAGTCCGATTTTAAGTGAGGAATCTCCGCTACCCCGCCTCTCTAAGGCGACGATAGAGATACCACTGCGGTCTCATACTGTAGTCGAAGGACAGGCCTCATTCCACGTTAACCAGAAAATGGAACGACAAAATGAAGTTCAGCTTCCATGCTTACCCATTAATCATGGCCCTGGTGACACAAGATGTAAACAAACAATCAGGGGCATCCAAGTTCCGAAAGAAAAACGTCGGCAGAACCACAGGGTTAGGGCTGAGCTCGACACCCACGTCTCCATAAACCCCCGCCCTCCTTCCCCTGACGTCGTATCACCGTGCAGAATAAGATCTTATCAGTTATCACCAGATCCACATCGTCTGATCTGATCACGAGTGGAGGCAAAAACAAAACAAACTCCCCGCAACGGCATCCGCTCCGGCGGCCCGGATACGTCGGCTTAGCCCAGCAGGGAAAGGTTGACGAGCATGTGCTGATCGATCGGCGGTCCAAATTCTCTGATCGCGGCCTCTCGTGTTTTGTCTTTTTCCTCTTTCTCATCTTCTTCAGTCTGCTCATTCTCATTCCTTGCGCGGTTTGAGAGCTGGGAGACGAGACTGAAGCCGACTCATGATGCTCGCCCGATAAGAAGAAAAGGATCTTGCCCACCACCACCACCCAGAAGAACCGAAAACCCTCATCGCTGCCTTTAGGACAAGACGACCGGCCTCGGCCGCGCTCCCACCGTCTCCAACCACCACAATGCCGCGCTCCGTCGCTCGCCTGAGCACCCACGACGAACGAGAGGAAGACGCAAGTGAGGACCACCAGAGCCTCCTCTTCATGCCGCCCACTCCGCTCGAGGGCCCTTCAGCTGCTTCCTCAACATACTGGCCATCAACATCCTCCTCATCCCCCTCCTCCTCAGACGACGACGATGACGCCAACGACAATGACCCGTCATCTCTCCGAAACAATGACCGCCAGAAGCGGACTCACTGGACCCCCATCATCCTAATCCAGCTCATGATCTTCCTCTCCGCCATGAGCGTCGTCATCTCCTTCGCTCCGCGCACGCGCTTGTTCGAGGACATCATTTGTAGGAAGTACTATGCGATTCATAACGGGACGACTGATAGTGGCATCACTTCCGCCGGTACCCTCTTATCGATGACCACCAACCTCGACCTCAGCCAGGCACAAGCACCCTCCGAATCGCAATGCAAAATCGCTCCCGTGCAGGACGCCCTCGCCGAGCTATTTGGATGGCAGATTTTCTTCGACGGCATCCCCGGCCTCTTGCTCGCCATGTACTACGGCGTCTTGGCCGACAAGAAGGGTCGTAGTCCTGTCTTGTTCCGTTCCTTGCTGGGACAAGTTCTGGCAGCGGGCTGGGTTCTTTACGTCGCTTGGAGGTGTTCTTCTGCTTCGGCGCTTTCTTCCGCCGGCTCTGACGCAGGCAGCAACAGCGACAACAGCGACACCGGGATGATTGACGGCTGGGCACATCTACTTTCGCTCAAAGCCACTTGGTTGAGTTCCTACTTCTTGATCATCGGCGGCGGAAGCACGGTCACGAGTGCAGTGGGCATGATGATTGTCACGGACGCGACGACGGAGGAGAATCGCAGTCGCGTCTTTTTCGCGGCGCTGTCGACGTTGATTACGGCGGAGTTGCTGGGTCCGGCTGCTAGTACGCTGATGATGCAGCGATGGGGACTTTGGGTTCCTTTGGGTGTTGGGTTTGGGTGTCTGGTTATGAGCGCTATTTTGACGGCGAATATGCCCGAGACTATGCATCTCAAGCGCGCTCGTTCTGGAGCGGGTACTGATTCGGAGGCATTGGTCTGCGGGGACGATGATTACGACGACGACACGGAGGCGTCCGTCATCAACGGAGTCAACTTGAGGAAGAATGGCGACGTCAACAATTCGGCCATCCAAGTCTACCGCCACGCCGCCCACACGCTCGCCTACATCTTCCATCACCCCAGCATCCTGTTTGTCGTTCTCGCCTTCTTGGTCGCCGATTACTCGCGCGAGTCGCTTGTCATGCTGATGCAGTTCGTATCCACACGGTACCACATTCCCATTGCTCAGGTACGCTCATCCTCGCTCCTTGGTCTCCTCCCTCCATTGTTCTCTACTAACAAACCAAACCCCAGGCAAACCTCCTCAACTCCTTCCGCGCCTTCACCCAACTCTTCATCGTGACGATCCTCCTGCCCTCCGTCGACTACCTAATCACCCACCGTCTGCGCGTGCCTGCCCTGCGCAAAGACCTGATCCTATCTCGTATCTCCTTCTGCTTCGTTACCGCCTGCTTCGGCGTCCTAGTCTGGGCCCCTTCTCTCCGCTACGTCTTTGTCTCCTTGACCCTCTACACCCTCGGCTCGGGGTTCTATCCCTTTGGACGAAGTTTACTGGCGAGCCTGGTGGAACCCGACATGATTGGGATTCTGTTTACCACGCTCGCCATGATGGATACTGCAGGTAGCTTGATGGCGGGACCGGCGGTCGCTTGGACCTTTAGTTGGAGTTTGGGACTGGAGGGGCTGTGGAGGGGGCTGCCTTATCTGGTTTCTTGTGTGCTTTGTGCGGTGGCGACCATCTTTCTGGTTTTTGGTGTTAAGGCTGAGAGGCCTGTTTCGAGTGACGAGACAACGTTGGGGAGGAAGGGCCCAAAGGGTAAGGGCAAAGCAAAGAGGAAGAGGAGAGGAAAGGGGAAAGGGAAGGGTGTTGCAAGGGTCGCTGTGAGGGCTTTGAGAGATGTAGAGGAGGAGGAAGATCAGGAGGAGGGGGAGACAAAGCCGTTGTTGGCTGGACAATAACTAGATCTAGAGCTGATGGCCAAGGACGATGGCAGACGCGGACGAAAAGCATTGGGAGGCGTTCTAGGGCTAGAGTACGGGAGTTATACACGTAAAATGGTTATCAGGATCGCTGACGGGAGAGAACTTGATTGGCTATGTTTGAACCGAAGAAGCATTTACAGCTTCCTCGTGAATAGCTGCAGACAGCCGCGGGATTAACTGCTATAGCCGTTCGGTACCTGCGCATTGTAAATCTTCGGCGGTGGCGCCTAGCGTAGATGAACAAACGTCGGTGACGTGACGATCCAACTGGGGCCGGTCCTAATGAAAAAAGCTGACAAATGGAATGATCAGGCCATGACGTTAACTGCCGGTTTCAGATACCGCGGTGGGAAGCGACGGTGGTAATTCCGCCCATAACTCCCATCGATGGGATCCATCTGGATAGCCAATGCCGCATCGAGCGCGGTACCCCACCACGTGCCCACCCCACAGACTGCCATCGCTTCGGCATCGACACGTACATACTGACCATCGCCGAGTTCGGCAGGGTGATCGACAGGTTCGGGAGGTAGAAGAAGCTCTGGCATCGCTCGCTGCAAAACCGCACCTCGAGTCTCCCGCAATCTCTGAACACCAGTGCCCTCTTCAGCAACATCAAACAAAATGGCCGACATCATGTTCGACCCCGAATACTTTCAGACTATCCAGCCTGTGGTGGCGCTCAAAGCATCCCTCCCGCCTCCCGCCCCCATCACCGACATCGACTCCCTCCGCACCAACAGTGCCGACTTCGAGCTCGTCCTCGCCAGCATCCCCGACTCCCCCGACATCACCGAGACCACCTACCAAATCCCTTCCAAGGACGGCACTCTGATCACCCTCTACCGCTTCACCCCGGCGGCGGCGGCGGCGGCAACCCCTGGCCCTCGTGCTGTAGTGCTCTACCACCACGGAGGCGGTTTCGTCCAAAATACCGTCGCCCAGTTCCGCAAAGAGATCAAGCGCTACGCGCACGGCAGCGGCCTCACCTTCTACGCCGCCGAGTATCGCGTCGCGCCCGAGCACCCTTTCCCTACCCCCTTCGATGACTGCTACTCCGTCCTGGAATGGCTCCATGCCAATGCTGCTTCGGAGCAGATTGATCCGGCACGCATTGCCCTTTTCGGCGTGAGCGCCGGCGCGGGGCTGGCTGCGGCCGTTGCCCTCAAGGCGCGTGATGACAAGGTCTCGCCGCCCATCAAGAAACTGGTGCTGGCGTACCCCATGTTGGATGATAGGACGTATTTGCCCGAGGACCATCCGTTGAACCCGTACCTGATGTGGAACGGCGCCGCTAACAGGGTTGCGTGGGGGGCTTATGCGGGTGCGGATGGCGTGAAGGAGATCTCGCCATATGCTGCGCCGGCAAGAGCGAAGGACTTGTCAGGAATGCCACCAACCTACATCGACTGCGGCGAGCTGGACTTGTTCAGGGACGAAGACGTGGAGTTTGGTGCAAGACTGCTCAAGGCTGGCGTCCGTGTAGAGCTGCACTTGTACCCTGGAGTTCCGCACGCGTTTGAGATGGTGGCAGTGAACATCAGGGTCTCGAAGAATGCGGTCGAGAACAGACTTCGGGCGTTGGACAACCTATGAGTTGATGTACTTATTGATGGATAGATACCTACTGAACTCAACTTGCGTCTACAGCCAAGATTGATTCGGCAAACGTTTTGATAGCATCCTTGAGTGTATATGCTGATCTGCCTTGGGCCCAGAAGTGACTCGCACCGGAAACCTCGTGGGCCCGGAAGGAAGAGTGAGGAATGTTCTCCAGGCGGGAAGCCCACGGCCGTAGCCTTCGTACAGGCACGAAGCCGTCATTGTCGCCGTAAATGGCGAGCGTAGGGTTTCGTACCAACTTGGCTTCGGCTTCTTCGAGTGAAAGAGCAGTCTCGGAATCCGTGCCAAGCTCACTCGTTGGCGAAGCCGCGGCAGCTGGAGAAGACAGGGATCTGGTCAAACCTTTCCACGACGGCCTTCGAGGAAGCAAGGAGAACGTCGCGAGGTTGTTAATGAGGCCCTGCAAAGGCGAAACCAGCAAGTAGGCTGGACGAAAGACCACTCGGTCTGGTACAGAAGGTAAACAATCCTTGACCGGTTGCTGCTTGGTTTCGGGTGTGTCGTGTGCTGCATCTCCACCCACAAAGCTGTGGTCCTTTCCGGAAAGACGTCTCTTATGACCCTTTGCCTTGACCATCAAGTCCGAAACCCCCTTGCGGATTTTCTCTTCGGTATCTTGGGAGAAGGATAATCGCGAATGATGGTGTTTTCTGCTGCTTTCTTCTCCCCCGAAACGCATGCCGCTCGGTGAGTGAGACGGTGTGTTGGCTTGACGCTCGAGGGCCGCTGCTCTTGCACTGCCCAAAGTTGTATTTTGCACCTCTGCAAGATGCTGAGCTCGAAGTCGTATTTCAGCAGCATGGGAGGTGCATGCTGGAGTGTCGAATTGGCGGAGTATGGTTTCGAGCGAGGGAAGTTGCATGGTAATCATAGAACCATACGAATAGCCCCCCATTAGGAACAATGGTGATCTGGTGGTATCGCGTGACGCAGAATGTGTAATGGGGCCAGAGCCGCCATGAGCCCCAATGTAATCTGGTGCTTCGGCAATTGGGGTCGTCGTCGGAACGGAATCGAAAATATGTGTTCGGAAGGGATCGAGAAAATGAACGTAATATGATAGGAAGCCGATGAATGTTTGATAGTCTGCATGCTCCGCCTTTGCTGTCCAAGAGGTCCGACCGGCGGAGCCCTGTGCGCCTCTAGGTTGACGAGGTATTATTGTCAGCATACTCGGGAATAGCGACTGGGAGCAGGGAGGTAAGCCAACCTAAAGTTAAAGGTGCCGACCAAAAAGCCAAGCTTAAGTAGTGTTCCGGCTGCGATGTCTACCACTGGATCGTCATAACAACCCCCAAGAGGAGCATACGGATGGGCGAAGACGGCAGCGTGCTTCCGCCAGGGTGGCGAGGAGGGCGACGGGTCGAGAGATTGAGGATGGTAGACGCGACAATCGATGGCAAGGCCGTCGTGCAGACTCGGAAGGGTGAAGGAAAGTGTCGGTTCTGGAAGCAATGATCTTGCCGACCGGGAGGGCTGGTTGTCGGCGTCTGTCATTGCTGGTGCGCCGAACCTTGCCGTAGCCCGGAAACTGGCCCGGTGGAGCGATGACGAGCAAACAGACAAAAAGAGGGGAGAACTCAGAGCGACGGGCACCTGCACGACGACCAAAGTCGACTTCTCCTTGTAGTGTAACTGAAGGCGGGTACACGGAAACGTGACTGGTGAAGTCAATCCTGTTTTCTGTTTTCCTCTTTTTTTTTTCCCCAAGCGATTTGCACTGCACTGAACTGCCCTGAAGTGGAGAGCGCGCCGTTCCCGTCCCAGGATCCACTCCACCTCCCGCTGCAGTGCACTCCACCCGGGACCTAAGACGGCAGCTTCCAGGATGGAGTGCCGAAGTTCAGCGTCCCCAGATCTCGGGCCGGGCTCCTCCGTCCGATTTGGCGATCTGAGACCACACTAGATTCTGACGGATAATCCCACATTGTAATGTGAGAACTTCGGGTTAATCGGCACTGTGAGTGATAGCACAATAGGTTTTAAGCCTACGTCTTTATTGTAGTTCCTTTTTTTAAGCTTTGCCGACTTTGCTATCTCCTTGTGGTCAATCACAAACGATTAAACGCCGTTGAGAATAAAAGGTGGGCAGTTTTCTTGTCAACTATAGAATCGATGTGTGTCTTGAAGTTGGGGAGTTGTTGAGTGAGGTGGTCACGCGTGGATTCAGTGGACTTTGTCATCCTGAAGCAGCAAGCTGGACACTACGTAGTGTACTACAACGTGAAACTGCAGTGCAATGGCGTTCATTGAGGCACTGGCATTCCTTCACATTTTTGAAGTGACTTGACCGCCCATAGAGAAGTGTGAACTATATGTATGTTGAAAACACGGCTGAGTCCCACCCTTGTTGGAGTGTTGTGGTAAGCATCCTCGATATTCACCTTGACAGCATCCGTCCTTCATTTCATGCTGATGTTGGTGGATGACGACAATGGGAAGAGACGGTTTATGCACTGTCTCACCTGAACTCGAAATGAAATCGATGATGGAGCCGTGCGTGGAGCACTGGGGTTGCCCGAAAATGCATGCACGTCATCCAGACTGGGAGAAAGGACAAGATGGAAGTTAAAGCAACCTCTAACATGTGAAAGCTTTAATGGAGGTCCTCTGACCCCCCCTTACACTAATTCGTCTCTGTTCTCCATTCAATTTTCCTTCTGGTGGCTTATGGGACCAACGGTAGCGGATTGCCACGAGATCCTTTGCACTGCACCATCCCAGGTCTACCTGCGTTCACTTTTCGGCGCCTCCTAAATTGAAGCCTTCGCCGACTCTCTTCTCCACAATCAACACCCACGTAAATTATCGCAGTGTCAACATCATTGGTCATGTCTTGCTGATCATCGGCAGCACTAGTGTATGACAAGGACAATCACCAAGCTTTCCCTCTGAGGTCATTGATTTTGGCATGTGCTGAGCAATGTAGTGTATGAATTTATAGCTCAACGGCGACCCAAGAGGCACAGAGAGAGGTCCACCAAGTATTTCAAGAAGGGTGGACTGTGTGAACCCGTGAGAGCCGCGTGCGGTCTGTGTGTTTCCCCAGATTCCTTTCCGATGATGGTTGTTGGGTGGTCCCGAAAAATGTCCCGATCTGAATGGGAAATTGCACATTGAGGACCGATGGAACACCCAACACACCCCAAAGGCCCCAAAGGGCCGTGAAAGTGCGCGCGTGTCCGTCCTGACTAATGACGGGGCCCCACCAATGCAAGGGTTGCCCCACGATTTGCATTCCCCTCTGTGTGCCCGGTCTGGTGGCCCCCGTGGCCCCCCTTCAAGCGACAGCCCCAGACCCTTCCAGCCTCTTTCGTCGGGGACAGCGCCCGAAAGGCGTCAGCTGGCCCTTCCCCTTGCGCGCCAAACCCGGGCGCCTTTGAATTTCTGATGACGGCAGGACGGGCCCGAACAGGAAGGATCCTGGAAGCCTTGCTGCAATGAAACCACGCAGTCATTTCTTGACCGCCAACTTCTTTTTCCATGTCGCCGTCTTTCATAACATATTTCCATGTCGAATCGGCCACGCGCCCTTCCCGATTGCCCTGGCTTCAGTTCCAGTCCGATCACTAGGTCCTGTCGCCAGTACCTACCTCTACTCCACAACTCGATAACCTAAAAACAACAACCACTGCACGCTACTGCGCCTATTATTCTTCTGCTTACACTACAGTATCTGCCTTACCCGAGAGCCTGAATCTCCCCCACTGGCGCTTACCGTACACGCCGACTCCCTTCCGCCACGGCCGGCTTCCGTATAGATAGATACTCGGCCCAAACCCTCGCACCGCAGGCACCTACGTATACAGTCCGACGCCGTGCTCCGACCCCCCAGTTCCCTGTTACCGTACTCCAATGACCGACCTCCTCGTCCACGGGCCGCCAGGCATCCGTGTCAGCCCCGGCGGCCCCGATGGCAGTGATTGTGGCACTCAACAGGCATCTCCCCAAACCTTGACTTCGGCACTCAAGAAGAGGAACAGCAAGGTCGAGAAGCGCGTCACGTTCCGGCCCTTCTCGAAACTCATGCGCAGCGCCGGCAACTATGTTCTGTCATGGCGCGACGGCCTCACCGAGTCGGAGAGGGAAAACAAGCGGAGGATCGAGGAGAGGATGCGCTTCCTAGAGGACGTCATGCACAATGTTTGTACACCTGTTCTGGAGCCATGCTGTTCCACGTCACATCTCCGACAATGCTGACCATTCTTCTGTGACATGCAGGCCACCAGTGCAGATGAATGGGAAACGGCCGCCAAGGAACTCGACCACCTCGAAGGCAATGATGCCTGGAAACTCGATCCCTCGACCGGCGACTACCACCCCGATATCATCGAGGCCAAACTACGAGACCTGGATCATGCCCGCGAAAATGGCGACACAAGGGAAATGATGTATCTCGTCCGCACCGCCCTCTCGCGTGACCTCGGGGGAATGGGCAACATTGACTTGTACCGCCATTCGTATGTTGGAACCAAGAAACTGATCGAGGACTACGTTGACTCGGCCGTCAAAACGATCGGCGCCCTGGTGGACCAAAGCACCCAAACATTGCCTGCCGACATGGAGACCAAGGATCTGTTGGAGGGCATGTTGTTCGCAAGACAGAGCTTTGGTAGGAGTGCCCTGCTTCTGAGTGGAGGAGCTACTTTTGGCATGTCCCATATTGGAGTCATCAAGTCCCTATTCGAAGCAAACCTTTTGCCTCGCATCATCTCAGGCGCCTCTGCTGGTTCCATTGTGTGCTCGGTCTTGTGCACTAGGAAGGACGAGGAGGTGCCCGATTTGATCCGGACCTTTCCTTATGGCGATCTCGACGTCTTCAAGGGGCCCAACGACGGCATCTCCGACAGTCTGCGCAGACTCCTTACCCAAGGTAGTTGGGCCGACATAACGAACCTTACCCGAGTCATGCGATCCATGCTTGGCGACCTAACTTTCCAGGAAGCCTACAACCGGACACGAAGGATATGCAACATTTGCGTCTCGACCGCCTCTATTTACGAGCTCCCCCGGTTGCTCAACTATATTACGGCTCCGAATGTCATGATCTGGTCTGCAGTGGCCGCTTCGTGCTCCGTTCCGCTCGTTTTCCAGGCAGCCCCGTTGCTGGTGAAAGATCCTACGACTGGCGCCCACGTTCCGTGGAACCCAACGCCACAACGCTGGATTGATGGCTCTGTAGACAACGACCTACCCATGACCCGTCTCGCCGAGATGTTCAATGTCAACCACTTTATTGTTTCCCAAGTCAACCCCCACATCGTTCCTTTTCTCTCTAAAGATGACAGGTTGTATCCTCGGAACCATCCCGGCCGCCTTCGCCAACAAAAGGCTGCCGCCCAAGAAAACAACAGCGAGTGGCTCTATTACCTTACCACTCTTGCTAAAGACGAGGCCGTTCACCGACTGCATTTCTTGACCGAGTTTGGCATCTTTCCCGGTCTTCTGACGAAGCTTAGGTCTATCCTCAGCCAGCGATATTCCGGGGACATTACCATTCTGCCAGAACTTGAATTGCAAGACCTTCCTCGCATTCTCAAGAACCCAACATCAGAGTTCATGATGCGAAACTGTCTCATAGGCGAACGAGCAACCTGGCCAAAACTGAGCCGGATTCGAGACAGGCTAGCCATCGAGCTGGCCTTGGACCAGGCCGTCCATGCCCTGCGGGCCCGCGTCGTCTTTGGTAAGAGCCAAGTCGACCTCAGTCGCTCCAGTGGTGCCACTTTCGGCCCAGCCATCCAGCCCACCCCCTGTTTTATGCGCCCTCCAACCTCTTCTGGGGAAGCCACGCCTGGCGAGCATCAGCATCATCGTAGCCGGCATCATCACCGCAGAAGCTCTGCTAGCAGCGTCCAGATCCTCGCCTCGCGGCACAGAAAGATGTACCAAAGCCATGACGATGACTACCTAACTGATGACCAATCCGAGGAGGACGAGCGTCTGGAGATGAGCTACCGCAGAGGTGCCCACACACGCCCTGGGAGTATAACCCCGCACGCCCGAGCGCCCGTTGCCCACACACTTGCCAAGCCGCGGTTGCAGAGGTCTGCTAAGAGCGCAAGCCACATGAGGGAAGGGAGACCTTGGTCCCAGGGTCACGCGCATCCTCAACATGCTCATGGTCATAGCCATAGCCTCCATCAGGCATCGCATGCCTTGCAGCAACTCGTTCAGCACGGCTCGGGAGGAGACGAACCACCCTTTGACTTTTCCAGACCTCTGTCGCCGCCCACGAGTCATGCGGGGAACTGTTCGACTGTGGGTATTGACGAGGTGGCCGGGGAACAGAATGTGGCGCACTCGGATGCAGATGATGAGATTCAGAGTGATTCTGCGTAGGCTGAAGGCTCGACATGGAAGCTTCAGTGGATGGCTGTTGTTGAGTTAATGAGAAACATGTTATGCAGTAACGACTCGTTCGGAAGACGACGTATCGGTATGGAAGGTGGGAGTAATTGCGGAAGTCCACGAAAGAGCCATGACACGGAGATTGCATGAGGCTGAGTAACATTGTAGAACTTTTACATTGGTAATAGTATCATTACTATTTTAGGATACCCGAGCACATCAATATTGACAGCGAGGAAAAGAGCTCTTGAGAATTACACTATTGCCACGCATCCTGTGCTTATCATCCGCATCATTGTTTCCTATCACAATTGCACAGTCGAGAGTCTTGGGCCAAGCACTTATAGAATCACTAAGATCTTAAGCGGTGATACCAACAGACCTAAACTCATCTAAGCACCTCTTCGCACTCTGGAGGAGACAAACTTTGAACTGTCCCAGATTTCAAAATGAAACAATCGAATACCCAGGTACCAATCGGAAATACCTTCACATGAGTTGGAAATCCTATAATTTACATCAGGATCAGCATATTCTAGATGAGGCCAGTCTTTCACATAGAGCGAAATGTAAGACAGAGATATCAAACATTGCCTATGGGAGTTACTTCGAGGTCTCGAGTTAACAAAACAAGCCAATACTAGACTGGCGGCCCATCGGAAAAGGAAAGAAAAAAAAGAAGAAAAGAAAAGAAAAAAAGAAAGAAAAGAAAAAAAGAATTCTACTTTTGAACTTTCGACTCTCGGCGACTTTTAGCTCAGTGATCAGCGCCAGCGGTCTATTTGCAGCATTTTCCTGTTAATCACGATGCAAACATTACCCGATTCGAAGTCATGGGAAGGCACAGAATCACATCCGGCTGTCGGACTCCCCCATCGGTATTACTGCCATCTGGGATACCATCCGAATATCCGTTGTTGAAAAGCGCACCATCAGTCAAATCGGCATTGAATTCGTCGGCATTGTCATTGAGTCCATCATGTGAGTCACCGTGAGTAGAATCGACATTCTCGGAGTTTCTGTGACCAGGCCCTGGCGTCATCAGTCTCGCTATCTCGCGTAAACGTTGATACCAGAGGCGTCGGTGTGGTGTCGACAGTCTGACGAATGGTGTTGATGGTCCGTTGTTCGCTGCGAAGCCGCTTCACTTCAGTCATCCAGAACTGGCTGCGGCATCGGGCAAAACTTGCCGTTCGTCATCTCCGGAGCTTTCTGTGACTTCATGAGACATTTGTTCTTCGTCGCCGTCATTGGCACTGATACTGGCACTGGCGCAGACAGCGACCTTGGGCGAAGCCTCTCTTTCATCTCCGGCGATATTCCGATATTTTTCTACTGTCTCAACCTCGGATCCAGAAGCAGACTCAATCCCTCTCTGGAAATTTGGCACGGAGAAACAGCTCTCTTGGCCCATGGCGTGTGGGGTACACAGCCCATCCTCATCCTGCTGGTCAACAAGACTGTAGACCTTCATCTGGCCGTCCAGACCGCTGATAGGAGTCACGGCCATGATCACTCTATAGTCGTTATTGACGGCTATCGTACGGTCTGACAAGGCAACGGTACCAACAGCGGTACCGCGTTTTTTACTTGTACTTTTCTTGGCGGCGTCGGGAAAGTCGACGGAAGTAAAGTCAACGAGCAATAGGTACTTACTCGGTCTCTATTTCCGGGTCGCTCTGAGTTTGCTGCTCGTGCTTGTTGTATACAAAGCGACAATCGGGGTTGATGTTAGAAGTCTGATTCAAGTAGTTGGTTGGGGTTAACAGAAAGATGGCAACAAAACGGCCTGATACGCAGTGAAGGCGCAAGCCAGAGTAAAGGGCTTAAAGCGGAAGGCACTAGGGGCACTCTATTTGACCGTCGTGAAAGCTGAATATTCTGACAATTCCACCTACCACTAGGTCAGTCAGATCTGACAGCAACATGATTGGTAAATACCTAGCCCAAGGTCAGAACTGAAGGTACCCATAGATACAAATCAAACTCAATACCACACTGCAAATGCGAGGATGATGTATATTCGATCAACATGGTATTACCAGAGTCTCAGTCAACGTGGCCACAGCAAAGCGATACTATCATACCTTCGATCATGACTGTAGCTCACAACTGAAGTCCAACACAGGTCACAAACGCAGTTCCAATACCAACACCACTTCCCAGCCATCTGGGCCATAGATCCAACGAACACCCCGCATCACTCATACCAAGCTGCATAGACCAGTGACTATTTGCAGCCGGGTGTTCGTCTCCTCTAACGAAGTAAAGTATTGAAGTAGGTCGAACCTAAAACCCAATTGACAGTTCAAGGGTTGATACCAGATAATGTCAAAGCAATGTTCAAGAGAGACGCAGTGGGCCATCGAGAGGAGAGACTGCACCTTTGCAGGCAGGCATCGCCTGTCCATCTGTCTATGCTATTGCTGAGTGTATCCAATCAAAATTGACCGTTTTGACGAAAGGGGCAGTTGGAGCGTGCACTTGGACATGGTACCCTGGTACCCCACCCTGAATATTTCATCCAGAGATAGCTTCGGTTTTTCCCTGGACTTTGAAATTGAACCCTTTTTCTTCAGACGTAGGTCGAAATCGTCTAGAAGTTGGCTATTCTCTCCTATACAACGAGACACTGTAGGTCTGTTCAATGTCGACGATAGGGTACGACTTTCACTTTGTTGCTCCTCGAGCCTCCTTGTTGTGAGTGATAGACTGACAGGAGCAGAATCACCATGCGCAATAAACAAGACGAGCAATCGCAAGCTTTACTATCATTAACTATCATTATCCAAAGCCTTCATTTAATATCTCGTTATCTCGTCACAAAAGCAGCAACTGCTACACGAGTTCTGCTGATCTAAACGATGGAGCCGGTTTGGAACCATGGGTTGTTAGGATCATAGGGGAACTTCCTCACCACGATATCACCAGTGTAGCCCCACAGATCCGCCTTCACCGGCTCGAACACCAGCTTGCAAGTTCCATTGTAATCCTCGGCCTTGGTCTTTTGTCCAAATGTCTGGACCTCGCTGGTCTTGCCATCCGAGTAATTGATGCGGACCTGGTTGACCGTCTTGCGACTCTCGTCTCCCTCAAAGTAGTTGCTGGGCATGAAATGCACACCAGCGTGCGCCGTGGTCATGACTGTGTTGGGTAGATCGCCCGTGTGGGGGAGGTGGTGCATACCCAGATTGAGCCACAGGACGAGATCCTCTTTCCGGAGGCTGTCGCCGTCAAAGAACTTGGAAAAGTCAATCGGTGGGTCGTGCACGTCCTGGCTGTTATAAGGATGCGCCGCCTTCGGCTCTGTATCTTTGTACTTGGTAATCTGGATGTCGTACTCAGCCCAGCGGCCAGCGTTGGCGAGGTTGGTAGAGTTGAGCACGGTCAAGTGGACAGTTCCAGTAGATGGGAGAACACGGTAACCCCGGAATTCGCCGTGCTTGTTCCTGACGTCCTCATTGACAACGATGACTTGTGTGGCTTGGTTAGGAGCCCAGTTGAACCGGCCTTCGTCCTCGCTTTCGACAAACGACCTCTCCAAGTGCATGGTATTCCTGGCCTTACCCTTGGACCAGGGGTATGTAACGGTAGTGGGCGCCATAGTCACCAGCTCCACAGAATTGTTTGTGCCGAGGATGTCAAAATCAGCCTTGAAGTTAAGCACGTGGTCGTGCATGCTGCCAGAAAGGTTGTCATGGATCCTGAAGCCATACTCTTCGTTTCCGGCGAAGTAGGCGGACTGGATATAACCCGAGGCGCGGACCTCGACAGAGATGGTGCCGTCAAGGAAGAACGAGTAGCTGAAAGAGTAATCGTAGTTGCCAACGGTAGAGACAAAACGAACAACGAAGTAAGTGTTCTTGGTGACCGATGTGTAACGATTGGTGGTGTGGCGCTGGATCGGGAAGTCAGAGATAAACTCAAACATGCAGATGCTGTTGATGTGCGTGTGGGTGGTCTCCGAGACATAGAAGGAGGAGTTCAGGTAGGTGGCGTGCGTGGGGCAGTCGTAGCCCTGGACAAGCTCGAAGGCGTAGGGGCCAAAGCCGTAAAAGGTGTCAAGATAGGCAATGCCGGAGTTCAACGGGTCGTTACCGGCATAGTGAGCCAATGCCTCCTGCAAACCAAGCTCGTACAGAATCCTTTGACCCTTGTAGCGAATATCGTACAAGGCCATGCCAGTATCTCTGGTGAAGCCGATGTAGAAGCTGAAGTCCATCCACTCAACGTACTTTTGCTCGTGGTCGACGCCGTATCTCGCGCCGGCCGGGGCAACGATCGTTGGGGGGTGGTTGTAATCCAGAGGAGGAACATCTCCGTTATGATCAGTGGCTGACCAGGCGCCAGGGACATTAGGGCCGTTCTTCTTGAAGCAAGAGCTCCAGTACGCTTCACGGAACTCTTCGGTGGTGGCATAAAAGGTGCCGTTGTAGAGCCATCCTTCGAGCGACCACTTGCTAGGGTCACGGCCGGTGATGTCGGACACAAAGTAAAGACCCAGGGGCAGCAGGGTTTCGGCATCAAAGACATCGCCAGAAAGAGCCCAAAAGCCATCCCAACGGATGACCCTGCCATCATCCTGCCACAAGGGGTCGATGCCCCAGATGTCGAGGGTATCGTTTTCCAGACCCAAGGCCGTGCCGTTCCATAGATCGAGAGTGATATCGGCAATAGAGGCGCTAATCTTCCAGATCCATTCTTCGTATACAATGTCTTCGTCCGCATCGAGGTTACGGACCTTTCCGTCACCGCTGGGCTTGTTGTAGGGAAAAGTAAGGGGCGCCCACGATACGGTTGTGTTGTCTAGAGGGAGAGGACCGACGAGGATGTCGGCGTAGAAGGGGTTCTCCGTCGCGCGGTTGTTCAACAGGACGTGGGCGTACTTGGTAGGGGCCGGCGCATCGCCGTCAATGAAGGCAAGGGCATCGGTCTTGTTTGGCCACATGGCCTCAACAAGTTGTCTATGGGTAGTTAGCATTTGCAAAGAGCTCCTGTCGAGTGTCTTGGACTCACATCGTGTTATCCCATGGCCCAGCCTCCTCGGTGACAGTCAGATTGAATTGTTCCTGCGCAAAGAGCCAGTCTACCACTGATGAAATCTCTTCGCCTGTTAGCTGTCCCCAGATGTTGGGCTTGGGAGCAGTGATGGGCTTTGCGAGGACATCGGCGCAAGGGACTTCTTCGGTTCGTCGAGTGTGGCTCTGGCCCTCGATGGCACGTTTGATGTGATTTGACATCTTCTTGCGAGCAGGGCCTTTTCGTACCCAGTCGGCTTTGGGTTCGGGGCTGGGTCGAGCGGCAACATCGTAGGCGAGGGAGCTCAGTACCAAAACTGAGGCCACAATGGCTCGGGGGCTAAGAGCGTTGAGGAAACCCATTGTTGCCTGGTGAGCACAACTCGGGGGCAGAGACTGGTGATGAAGCAGTTGCTGATGTCCTCACATCGAGTCTGTGGGAGGCATCGCCAACTTATATTATCCCCAGGCATGATCAACAGGTACCTTCTCATGTTGCCGTTCCTGGCCCAGGTAGCGAAATATGTGAGATGGTCATTGGAGATTGCTGTACGTCATGGTCTTTCCAACACTGACCGATTCGTCTACCAATCTTTTGAGAAACTGAGAGTAAAATCAGATATGCATAGGCCGCGAACGTCTTATCGTAGGATCGAAAGAATCAGCTGCTGTACCATGAAAAGTAGTGTCCGGGGTGTGGATGATTGACCTGCAGGTCGAGGTGGTGTTGTATCGGACAGGGTCTGTCTTGTTAGCCACTCTCGGTCTTTAGGTACTTCTTGGGACCCCTAGGTAGCATTGTCGTTCTCCCGGTTGCCGTACTTCTATTCCCATTTAGGTTATGAAGATCCGGGGTTGTTGGAGAAGCCATGCTCGAGGTCAGCACAACGCCGTTATCGCGGGCTTTCGAGTGCTTGAGGTCGGCTGTACTGATTGAGAGGGACTAGCGACTCCAAGACCGTTGTCATGAACTCTAGATGTCACAAGATGGACACAGCGCGAACTTTGCGAGACGAAAATAATGGGAATCCGAGTTTGATTCTGCGACGCTTTCAGAGAAGCGGTAATATTAAACTGAGATGTTTGTCCAGTCTCAAATTCCCAATTCTCAAAGAAGATGCCGGCCGGGGCGGCTTATCGTCCACTGATTGTAGAGTAGCAACGGCTTTGTGGTGTCGGGTAGTTCGCCGAGCTGCAGTGCGTGTGCCTGCCGCTCAGCCGCTCCACTAGACTAGCCCGTGATAGTGCGGGGTCGATGTGCCAAGCCCAGGCCCCCATGGTTTGGTCTTTCCCTAGGTCTTTCTGTGTCTGAGCGCCGAGTGAGCCCCCCCAGGCCTCGTCATCGACGGCAGTCCCCACGAACAACAACAATAAGAACAAATCATTTACTTGATCCTCACTGAAGATTCCCGAGCACAATATGAGCGTCCTGACGATTCCATGTTTGACCTCCAGATCAATATCATTCCCACATGCCAAGAGGAGGATGCTGCGGCACTGCCAAGATCTGCCTCCAATCCCGTCCCAAAACGCCAACTTCAGTGATCCTTATCTCTGCCCTGACTGCTGCTCTGCTCACCACGCTTTTCTTTGCCGATAACGGCTCGGTGGGCGACAGATCTTTCCTTTCCTTTCACAGCCCACATTCCACTCAACTCTACACTACCTACCTGAACAGGTAGAAACTATTTTATGTACCTCGGCGACCAACAGGTTTGTTGGGATGGGGATCCCTTACCTGCTGCCTATCTCATCATCAGCCACCAACACCGGCATGGAGGTTAGTGGATCACTTCCCCCAATCAGGTCAAGCTTTGCCTGATTGTTGTTTTCAATACATACAGATATCAAGCATTTATCAAGTGCTGTGATGTAATTCAGAGAAATTCAATTTCCAACTACCTTGCTCCCATCAAGTTCGTTCTATCGTCCTGCCCGTTTCCTGCGGACAGTGGCCAGCCCCCGCCCAGACCCCAGACGATGTACCTATATTGGCGTATTGTGTAAGTGACGTGCCAAAACCCTAACCCTCCCTCATATCTCCCACCCGGAGCCTAACCACCAAGACACAACTCTTCCCTCCATATTCAAGCCATACTGACCGTCGTGTGGCGAAGAATAGGAAGTAAATATTTTCTGGTCATGATCCTATTCGAGTGACCATTCTTCCCCCATTAGAACCTACCCCACGGCACCTCCAGCGCGCCGTCCTCCATGCCTGTAATGACTTGAATCCGCTTCGAGTCGGCAAACCGAAAGTACACCGTCCACGACTTCCTAACACCCGGCCAAGTGTCCTTCTTCCAAAACGCGTTCGTCATGCGGATCTGTCCCCTTCTCCCCTCGAAGAACTTGGCAAGTTCCTGCAACACCCACGGCGTCTCGATGCTTTCCGGCCCGTACAACGCCGCCAAGATCTCCACTGAGCCGTTGTAGGGAAGTCCCGTCCGCCACGGCCGGTGGATGGTTTGCACAAAATCCGATGTTCTGTCCACGGCTTCTTGCTCGGCTAAGGCGTGCTTGTCGGCCCAGATACTGACGACGGCGGTATGCTCGGGAATGTTGAGTAGATGCACTTCTCCGTTGTTGTTCAACCCCTCGAGTTGGTAGAGCACTGTCAATGTTTTGACGGCACCGTAAGCTGGATCGGGCGTCAACACGTTGTAGAGATTGTACATGTCGAAGGTGACTCTATCGTCGGATGCCACCATGGCCCGAATGTCGTCTGTGACACTGACGCCACCCCAGGTAGCACCGATAATAATCAGCCGAGGCGGCTGGTTGGGGAGATGGGGGAACATGTTGTCATGATGTTCTGCTCCTTGGTAGGCTTGGCTGAGGCCTACGTCACTACTGCCCATATAGATATCGGTCTTTGAGTATTCAGAACTTTGGCCCTTGTCGTCGCTGCTAATGTTCTCCCAGTTTTTCAGCAGCGTCATGGTCGGCGTCGGAGAGGATGTTGGTGGTATCTCGAAGGATGTGACCAAAACATGGCGTGCAAGAATTACAAAGAGCAAGATAAGCCAAATTCCAATTAAGACGAACAAGCGGGTGAGGTCAAGTGTCTCCCGGATTCGCTGACGGCCAGACAGCGGTGGCCTCTGGGACGGCGCTGGCCTCGAGCGGACATGTTTGGACACGGTCATGGCAAGGGTCTTCGTCAACGTTACACCGGCTGCTGATTGGTGTCAGCGAATTCTTCTTGGCTTGATGGACGTTGGCGAATGATGACCAGCGGCTTCTGGGGCTGGTTTCCCGCCCAAGGAGGAATTAAGACATCAGAAAGATCCAAGAGGTATGTCTTCTGCCCGTGAATAATCCAAGCCCCAGGATTGGTGCCCGCCTAGGTCAACATGTGCAGTCGTGTCCAGTAGTCTGGCAGGCATGACAGGATTTCTTTCACTTTGCTCGGAAATATGCAGTACATGCAGGTTATGAACAGGTCATTGGGGCTCTCGAGTCCCCCGGACGATCAAGTTCTGTCCTACACGACCGCTGTTAACCTTCCATGTTTGCTGATGAGAGATACCGGACCTTTTGCCCATTTATTTCTGCTCCTGCATCTCTAGACTAGGACCCTGTTTACCGGCCCCAAATCTTCTCAACAGGCAACCCGGAGGAATCCAGGAATAGATGCCTTTTTGGCATTATTCGACAAGGTTTTTAGGCTGAACTTGATGGCTCGCGGGCTTGATTATCTGGGCGACTCTTAATACCAAAGACCAATTCACCTCACTATCCTCTTCCATCCAATGCTATCTCGTTCTTCTCTGTTTTCATGGCTTCCTGTGTCTGCTAAAAATCTCTGCGCATACTTGAGAAGCTCGGGTATATAACGTGTATCACCTCGAGTCTTCGGTGCCGTGTTCATCGACGGATGTTCCGCCAAGTTATGATATCACACGGGTATCCACTGTCGATGATACAACGTCCCCGAGTACATCGGCAAGATGACAAGCGATTAGCGAACAAATCTGCAGTGATGCATGTTCAGCACCATCTGGACGGAACTACAGAATATCGTACTATCTATGACAACTGATATCAAGGAATCCAGCTACCAGAATCGACAAAGGACCGCACAATAACTGGAAGGTGGCAGCAAACGTGTCTGTGATACAGCTAACGCGGCCACGACTTTTTGACAGCTCGTGTATCGTTTCACCCATCATGTGCCGGTTACACCCTTCGCCTTCATGGTCTTATGTCCGGAAGTAGCAAAATGAAACAATAGCATGCATGAGAAGGTATTAGACGTGTGCTGTCTCCTAAGATGCGGAAAACCGTCTGGTTCACTCGAGCTTTACCGGTTAGCAGTGGGAGTTGAGCTCAGATTTAGCTTCGACGTCTACAGGATAATCCCGGCCTATCAGTACCTACCATCACTTCTAACAAGCGTCGAAATGGTTCTGCGATCGTTCAGCACAGCCCTCTTCCCCCTCTTTCTCCTTTCAGAGGTCTCTCTAGGATTATTGGCAGGATCACCCAGACATAAGCATGAGATCCGTGACATTCCCAGCGCCCTAACCAGCACTCAGATCGAGAATGAAACCACACAATACTACTATACCGATTCCTACTCCTCCCTCCCACCATTCTGGCCACCACGACCAACACCACACAGCTCAACGACGACGACGACATCAACAGAATCAAATCCATACCCTCAGACAGATTCCTACACTCCCAGCAGCTGGAACTTCAGCACACCTAGCACCACTTGGAATTGGACCAGCTACTCCGACACGTCCACCACTGCGCCCTCGAACTTCACGACACCTACTACCACTTGGAACTTTACGGTCCCCTATACTACCTGGTCAAGCTACTCAGACACCTGGGGAGACCATAACACCTACCCAACACCCAGCAGTCCTGTCACAGATAAGACCACGACCATCTTCGTGATCAAGACCCTCACTTCCTTCACCACCACCGTCGTGTCCAGGACTGTCAAGCGGTCGACAAAGGAGCCAATCATAACATCCAAGTCTTTTACATTCAAGACCACCCCGTTTGCCAACCTGACAACATTTACCTCCCCCAAGTGGACGACGGTGCCCATTGCTTCGCTGACGGGAACGCCGTTTTGTTCGAACGCGGCAGACCCGCAAAATGGAGTTGGAAATCATTGTGTGTGTGAGAATGGGGAGACGGTGGGTGTGATTCCTTTTAGTAAGGGGTCGAATGCTAGTGATTATCAGCCTTGTGCATATACTACTGTTGGGTAGAGGATGAAAGAGGCCGGTGACGGGAGTGATGGTTGGGACATTGCGACGGGAAAAAGTCCGGATTGAAGCTATAGGATGTGAGTTTTAGGAAGTTCTTCAACAAGGTCCGCTGGCTCAATGGCAGAGCGTCTGACTACGAATCAGGAGGTTCCAGGTTCGACCCCTGGGTGGATCGAGTTATTTTTTCTTTTGCTTTTTTCTTTCCCCTTCCCTTATACTTCCATCATCACCACAGTACAACCACATCAATCTTCGTTGAGACCATCTATTCTTTTGCTTGAACTTGCGGCAGAGCATTCAATCATGACTGTGACACCCAAACGTCGTACACACCACCGTCAGCCCTCCGTTCGAATAAAGTGCCGATAGTGGAGCAACCGTCCTCTTCAAAACCCACTTTTCAGATACTGTCATCATCATCTTTGACATGCAGCTTGCACACGCAGTACTGTAGTGTACTGTACGGGCATGCACTTGAACCAGGCACTGTGAAATAAGAATTCGGTCCTTCAAAATGACGGTCGGAGCCTCATCTCAACTCTACTTCAAAATCACCCCCGAATCCCTTCTTCCCAGCTTCTCCACTACTTTCCCCGCACCCGCTCCCTCGCGTGCTCTTCGTTCCCTCTCCTCCTTCTCCTCCCTCCTTCTCCTCTTTCTACTCCTCAAATCCGTCCCATGCAGCTTATCCATCAACCCCGGAATCGCACCAAGCTCCACATTGAACAGTTCATGATGGGCATCATGATCCCTCGCCATTTCCAGCACCCCAAACAATTTGAAATCGTACCCGCTATGCACCGTCGCCGTCTCCACCAGCATGATAGCTAAATAAGTCCAAAACGTCAGGATATGCACACCCAACACCATCGCGGGGATCGCAATCGGTAAGGTGTTGGCAAAGATGTGTTCGATGGGGTGCGCGTATTGAGCGGATAAAGCCGTGGGCGCAGTGAACTCGTGATGCTTCTTGTGAATCATCTTGTAGAAGCGCGGGGTGTGGAGGAGCCGGTGGATGTAATAGAAGATGGATTCGCGGGCCATGATGCACAAGGGAATCTGCCAGGCCATTTCGCTCCAGAAGTCAGGCGGGGAGGCAGAGATGTGAAACCGGGAGCCCTGGCCGGAGCGGATGGCAAGGGTGGTGAGGGCTAACGAAGACAAGATGTTGAAGCATTGGTTGCGCAGGACGATGAGGGCGCAGTGGCGGATTTCGGCGGCAGATGGTTGTTTGAAAGGCGGTTGGATTTTGTGGCGCGCGGAGAAGGAGGGGAAGAGGGGGTCGAGGAAGGTGTATGATACCGCGGGGATCCAGAAGAAGAGGAGTTGGGTTAGGAGAGTGCCCCAGAATTCGATCTGGTATGGAGAGTAGGTTTGGACAAGGTGAGTCCAGAGGGCAAGAGGGGAGCCCATGTTAACTGGCGATGTTGTCGTGACAGATGAACTTGGTGGTTTGGTTGGAAGTAGGTGGTGCTAGAACACCGGATGAACCGCGACGACGACGACAACAACGGTCGTGTAGTTCTAGTCTTACTAGCCTAGGCTAGAACCGGTTATAAGCGGCCTGAAAAGTCTGGTGTGGAGGAATACCTCGGCCTGTCCATCCCATAGCACATGCGGCGGTCGCATTAGAGGTTAGTGTACCCCAGACTATTGAGCAAATCATTAGGCCAACAGACCCAGATCGCCGCCGGTTTCTGCCACTTCGCCCAAAGCGGTTGCGATGGGGAGACACCTAGATCGCGAAACCCCGCGGTCTTGGGGACGAATTGCCCGGCTACAGCAACGTGCCCTTCGTAAGTGTAAACCGGGCACACCTTCTGGCATGTCATTTTCTATCCATTTACTGAAATCATTGTTTGGCTGTACTGTCACCCAAAAAAAAGGGAAAAGACATGCAGAGTCTATTCTTCAATGTCTATACCGTATCTAATGCAAGGTTACCACGCTATGCTGACCACTTGTCTACCTCTTCTCCATCTCTAACTCCCCATTACTATCAACATTACCACCGCCTGCCCTGAGCTCACTTATTACTGCTCACTTATTACCTACTTCACTCAATGAAGTACCTACCAACTATCCTCTAAAACCCTCCTCTCTCTCTCCAGTCCCTCCACCTCCGCTTCCAACCTCCTTATCGCTCTTCCCACCTCGTCCACCACCACCTGCCAGGGACCTACCGCAGTTGAACCCGTCGGCTCCTCAGCTCGATACCTCCTCACTCTACAGGCGTTGGCAGCCAAAGCTAGGAGATCGATGTCCTGCGAGTCTGGTGAGGGGGTACGCAATTTTGCGGCCGTGGATGTGGTCGCTGCCTGGAGAATACTGACCATTGTATCCTGTTCTCCCTGGAGGGACATTTTGGTTAGGTTGAGAACTGTGACGAGGATAGTGAGTTGGTGGAGACGATGGGAGCTGATTTTGTTTTTGGGTAGAAGCATGGTTTCGGCTGTGGAGACAGCATGGCTAGAGGTAGGAACGGGCAGGTGACCGCCGGGAAGAGAGACCGCGAAAGAATCGGGAGCAGAGAAATCAAGGTCGGCGTCGGGGGGAGGGGGTAAAGGTTTCGAGAGAGAATCAGAAACAGAAAAGGGGGATGAGGGCCTGGAGCTGAAATCTGAGGTTGGCCTTGTAGAGGAGGTAGAAACAGGGGAAGGAGAGCGGGAAGAAGAACGGGAAGAAAAGAGCGAACGGAACATCATGGTGAGTAATTTGAGTAGGATCAAGGAATTTTGGGCTTTAAGGTCGTTCGGGTAGTAACGATGAAAGCGTGCCCGAGAGAGTGAACGGCTGCTAGAAGCACCTGTACTTGCCTGCTTTGCCCGTACCTGACAGGAGCTTGATCTTGATATTCGAAAATGAGTGTTTGGCACGCGCTCCTCGTTACTTACCCCCAGCTCCTACTTTTCTGATGTTCTGATTATGAAATTGTGACTTCGATGTTGAGACGGGAAATAATTACATGACGGGATACAACGGGGGCTTTATACCTGAGTACTGGCTCGAGGCAACAATGGCGGGTGGTTCAATCTATTCAAAACACAATGTCGTTGTTCTTGTGATTCTTCTAGTATGTTCTGCCCGTATTCTTTGTTCGAAAACTAGTTCACATTATGGGGACGTGAGTGGCTGAGTGGCCGAGGTGAAGTCAAAGAGGAACAGGACCATTGTTCCTGCCTTCTTTTGCTTTGTCTTTGAGGCGTCATAGAATCAACGACATATCCCTTTGCCAATTGCCTCCAAGTGACTCGTGAGGTTTGTAGTGCGTTCGAGGCAATTGGCGACGCTGTCGCCGTGGTCGTGTTCGTGGTCCAGATTTAGCTCGACGGCGACAAGATTCAAGATCTCGGCGGAAAGATGTACAATGTTGAGCATCGCTGTCGATGCAATATGAATCTGCTTGGAAGGAGAAGCAGGATATCTTTTGTTGTTGCCCACTTTGTTCGAAGCTTACCCATCCGCGACCGGAGAAGACGAGTATGTTTGATGTCGGTCGTGTCTCGTCCCCAATCTGGCAATTGTAGTGTAGTCATGGTGGACTCTCAAAAGGCACTTGGCAAAAAGGAGGTTTCGTGGACATTTCGGTCACATCCATTCACTCTTAAGGAACCATGGTTCGAGTCGCTGACCCGTTCTCGTCGAGCTGCATTTTTAAGTGATAGGTGATCATTTGCAACTCGGTTTGGACTGTCTGACGTTTGATGATTCTTACGACTGGACCTCCCGTTCCGCAGTGGTCTCGGCCCCGAAGCTTTGATCATCCCGGCTATGTAGGTAAGTAAGCAACCACGACCCGCAACCTACAAGGTCACACTAACTTGAAGCATCCATCAACTTCCGAAGACGCCGAATTAATTAAGTCCAAGTCTCGTTGATGTGTCCATTGATCAAGACCCGTCACAAGTCAATGCTGATTGATCATCCAGACGTAGTGTTGACCTTCGATTTCTTGCACATCAACGGCACTCTTACTTACCAAGAACATCGAGACCCCGCATGTTCAGGGATCAATAAGCCAAACAGATACTACCATAACCGAAAAGGGTATCAAGCTTTCTCTCTCGGACAAGAACTCACCATCCATTCATCTGGAGAAGTTGCGATCGAAATGAAAGACGTGAAGCATGACAGCGCAGTCGTACAAACAGAAAGTACTTCGTGTTGGGTCTCAGTGATCGTTTGCTTAAGTTCCAATTCAATATAGCTCGTTAGGTTATTCTGCCGCTCTTTTCCCTTACAGGAAGTCGGAGCTCCCCATCAGCAACTCCCGTCCTGTGCTTATAAACCTGTCCCCCCCCCCAATTCTCCATGTCGTCATCGTTTTTTGCGACTCCCATCAAACAAACCAAAACGCCATCATACTAACCAAAGTTAAACAATTTCAACCCAACCATCACAATGGCTCTCAGAACCATCCTCGTCACCGGCGCGACCGGCCAACAGGGCGGCGCCGTAGTCCGCGCCCTCCTCAACCACCGCAATTTCGACGCCTCCTCCCTCAAGATCCTCGCCCTTACCCGCAACGCCTCCAGTCCCTCGGCCCAGCACCTCGCCGACTCCAGCAAGGGCATCGTCCAGCTGATCCAGGGAGACTCGACCAACCCCAAGCCCATCTTCGACGCCCAGCCCAAGGGCTCCATCGACTCCCTCTTCGTTGTTACGACGATGGGCAAGCAGCCCGAGGAGCAGCAGGCGATCCCGCTCATCGACACGGCCGTCGAGCATGGCGTCAAGCAGGTCATCTTCTCATCGGTTGACCGCGGCGGCGACGTGAAGAGCTGGGACAACCCGTGCCCGGAGATCCCCCACTTCGTGGCCAAGCACAATATCGAGCTGCACATTCGCAACAAGGCCGAGAGAGACCCGTCCCAATTCTCTTGGACCATCCTACGCCCCGTCGCCTTTATGGACAACTTTAACCCCGGCATCTTCTGCAAGCTTTTTTCGGCCATGTGGCGCGCCGCCCTTAAGCCCACCACCAAGCTGCAACTCACAGGCGTCCGCGACATTGGTCTGTTCGCCGCCGAAGCCTTTTACAACTCGACCGAGTACGATGGAAAGGCCGTGGGCATCGCGGGCGACGAGTTGACTCTGGACGAGGCGCGCGAGAAGTTCAAGAAGGTTACTGGCAAGGAGTTGCCCGAGACGTTCACCTTCCTCGGTACCCTAATGCTCTGGATGGTCAAGGAGATGGGCGCCATGTTTGCCTTTTTTGAGAACCAGGGGTATGGGGTGGATATAGAGGCCACCAAGAAGATTGTGCCGACAGAGGACTTTGAGACGTGGCTGAAGGAGAGCAGCAAGTGGAAGTAGGAGGACACCGATGTCGAGCGGAGGCGTACGATACCCTTTTTCTGTCCTGTTTGTTTCCTTTTGTCCGGATTTGCTTGTGGACTAAGTCTTTGCGTCCAAATAGTTACCACTAATTGAGTGCATGATAGACAAAGGTTGGGTCGAACTGTTGTGGAATTGTGCCGAGTGTCTGCTAGTGATGTCAGCCCTACCGCTTGGTTTCAAGGCCTTACTAGGCTTCGCTAGTCCGGATCGTAGCGCAGGTTGAGTAAAACCACATTCAGGGACACTGAAGCGGTACGCTATGTACCTAAGTTTGAACAAAGGGGACACAAAAGGCTCTCAAGGGTATCATCAAAGTGGTAGTGTCGCGGAACACTAGCAGGTGCACCCCATATCTCAGGAACAGCCTCTTGCATAGCCTGTTCAGATTACACGATGATTCATTCTGATGGGATATGGTGTTACATCCTCAGAATGTCCGCGCTGGAGCGGGCGTGGTGCGGGGAATCAAATGATCGCCCGTCTTACACCGGGACCGAGAAGGATCATCATAGTGTATATATTGTTGCCTGCTGGCCCTTGTCCCTGCCAAACAGAGTACACGTGTACTTACGTACCCAACGAATATTATATAAACCACTTGAAGCCCTTTCAACTTTACTGGGAGGGAGTCGTCAGCACAAGCTGAACTCAAGCTCCGGACTAGACTAACTGAAAAATATATTAATCGAGAGGAAAAAAGAAGACGAAAAAACCGTTGCGAATCCGCGCCTACCTTGCAAGTAAATTTCAACCATGGCCTCCGCCAAATCCATCCTCGACCAAATCCTCCACCGCTACACCTTGCACCGGGATTCGCCTACTTCCACAAAGGACAAACTCCACGGCGCCGCCTTCCTCGTCGTTGACAAATCCGGCCCCATCTACGCCGGCGCAGCCGGCCACACCTCCCTCCCCATCAATGCCTCGACCCCCGCCTTCTCAACCGACTCCTTCCTCTGGGTCGCCTCCCTCACCAAGCTCCTCACCACCATTTGCCTGATGCAACTCGTCCAGCAAGGCAAGCTTCATCTGGATGAGGACGTCCGTGAAAAGTTGCCGGAACTGACCAAATGGGGGATCTTGCGGGGTTTTGAGGAGGAGGAAAAGAAAGGTGAAGAGCAGGGAAAAAAAGCGATACTGGAAGAGATCACCAAGCCGATTACTGCCCGCCAGTTACTTACGCACTCTGTCGGTTTATCTTATGACTTGGGTCATCCGCTGCTGGAGAGGTGGGCGAAAGAAGTCGGCAAAAAGGGGAACACAAACTCGATGACGGTGGAAGGGTGGACGACTCCCCTTTTGTTTTCCCCCGGCGAAGGGTGGGTATACGGCACGGGATTGGATTGGGCAGGCGTTTTGTTGGAGCGGGTTTTGGCCTCCTCCTCCTCCTTCCCTGAAAGTGAAGATGAGATGACGACGACGACGACGACGACGACGCTGGGACGTTACATGCGCGAGAACATCTTTGCGCCGTTGGGGATGGAGTGCTCAACTCTGAAACCGGCTACTGAACTCCTGGAAAACCCGGAAAAGAGAATCAAAGACAAGCTGGTCCGCATGGCGCTGAGGGATGCGAAGACGGGCGAGCTGTCGCTGGGAGAATTGCCAATCTCAACAGCGTGGGATCCCAAGGCGGAGAGCGGGGGTGCAGGGTTGTGGACTACGGCGGAGGAGTATGGGAAGGTTTTGGCGGCGGTCTTGAGGGCTGCCTCGGGCTCAGAGGAGGGGGAGAGGGAGCTGGGGCTCACGAAGGAGACGGTTGATCAGATGTTTAGTCCGCAGTTGAATGAGAAGGGCCTGGAAATGATCAAGGAGATGGGGAGGGCGTTTCATGCGGGCATCATGCCAGAGTTTCCGGAAGGGTTCGACGCGGTCGATCATGGCTTGGGCGGACTGCTGAATATGGAGGATGTGGAGGGCAAGAGGCGGAAGGGAAGTATGATGTGGCATGGATACTGCAATTCGCATTGGGTAAGTTTGTTCTACTATGGTACTATCATGGACTGACGGCTAACGTTTTGGAATGCAGTGGATTGATCGCGAAACGGGCATTGGTGCATGCCTCCTAGTTGAACAGTTTCCCTTTGCCGACCCGGTGGTCATCCAGCTGTACGACGACCTCGAGCGGGCCGTTTATGGGGAGCTGGTCCCCGAGTGGAAGAAGATCACGGCTGCTGTTGTCTAGTTGCCATGCTATCCAGAAATTGGCCGTATTCTGGTTATGAGTTACATCCACAGGGAACCCCGGGTTCCTGGGGATAAAATCAGGCGCTTGAGAGTCAATAGTTGGAAATGTCTCAAAATAGGGTTCAAGGAAAAATGTGAAACCTTTTTTTCAAGTGCAAAAGAACTTTGACCCCAAACACTCGCAGGATGCTAGAATACCTTAGATGATAGGCTTAGTTATAATCTTCAAAGGAGGTCGAATGTATTACTAAGATGTATTACAAAGTATTGTTGATGATGAAGGTATGCCAACATTGAAAAATGTTTTATCCAAAATGAAACCTTGTATAACCACATAAAAAAACTAGTTTTAGCTCCCTCAGGCTGGCTGGACCCTGTTTTGACAGCTCAGGAACCTGGTATTTCCTCTATGGATGACCAGAAGTAGCAGATCTCTGATCCAACTCCTTTAGCAGTCCTTCAGGAAATCCACTGTTAGTCTATTGACTACAAACTTCTTCAGTAGCTGCACTAGTATCGCTACTAGTAGCCGATTGCATTTGCTCCAGAAACTCCCTGCAACCGTCGACAAGCTTGCTGATTATCTCAGACTCTTTGCCGTTGCCTGCCTCTGCAACAGCCTTCAAATCTTCGCCCAAGTAAGTGGGCAATTTATCCAACCTCGCGGGCGGATGATCTTCACCTCCCTTGTAGTTAACTCGCTGTTGCATTTCGGGCCCAAAGGTATCCATGACTTCTTCCAAGAACAATGTCGCCTCGTCAAACAGTTGCAGATAGTCAAGCTGGAGAAGACCTTCCAAAAGCGTCTGGACAGAGTCACCAACCAGCTGCAGCATCTCGATAGGCGACAGCTTCGACAGAACCGCTTTGCGACGCAGATACTCCTCGCTCTTCTCGTCCAATTTGGGTGGCGCAACTGAATAGGCGCCTGTCGTCGTGCCGTTCACGCCTTCTCCGTCCAACAACCCATTCGACTCCCGAGTAGAACCAACGAGGGTACGTGGAGTTCCTCGATATCGTTCAAGCTGGAGACGATGCATGGCCAGATGCTCCATGTAGGCAATCTCGTTGTAAGAGTCTTCTTCGGCAAAACCATAGCGATAATACAGAGTTCTCCGAATCTTGACAGACTGGGCGAAACCAGACCTGCTTGCAAGATCGGGAGGGCCGTCCCAGCCTACCGGTGGCTTGATCGCCAGTTGGTAGTTGTGGATAATAGCGACAGGGTCCTTCACTCCAAGGAAGCCGCTCTTGAATATGCTGTCATCGAGGTAGGTTTCGTTAAGCTTGAACATGTTGTCCCACACAGGTAAGGTTGGATCGGCAGCACGCGCCGCATGGTACAAGTAGGCCGCAGCCTCGAGAACGTAGGTGAAGGCGGCAAACTGATGGCCCATTTCGCTATGCACAAGCCTTGCGCGGAAGTCCAGGAGGCCGGCCCAAACTGGTTCGTTCTTGAGGAGGAAGAACTCCTCTGGGTCTTCCGCAATCCCTATTTGTCGGAAGCGGAGCAACTTGTCTTCGTAGGTAAAGTCCTCGAGCAGGAACTCGGTGGTGTCCTGGATGCGCTCCCTGTACTCCCACTTGAATGCCTTATCTTTGCTTACACTGTTGGGATCATGGAGGCGAAGCGCATCCACCACTCTTTGGCCCGTCTTTTGCATTTCGTTGAAGGGATTGATGACTTCCTCCTCCATGATATGGCGGATATCAACCCACAGGTGGAAGGAGAAGATGAGGGAAGACGTTATAGCATGCCTCTTGAGCGCTTCCTGCCAGTCTAGCAGCAGTAGTGGTTCGGCTGGGAGTTTGGGGGGGACCTGCCCATTTTTCTTGAGGGCCTTTAACAAAGAACCCTCTGTGATCATCTGGAAGCTGATTGTGTTTTCGAAATCCTGCCAGGTCTTCATGTTATGTGCGCCATAAACAACCTTTTTCCGGGCTGAAGGTGGCAGCATGGGAACTTTTCCAGGAGGCACGTTCTTCAGGGTCCGGTATATGGTACAGTAGGACAGGAACCCTAACCAATCTGCCTCGTCTCTCCAGAGACGCTCATCATGTTCCTCCTGGCTCAGACCATCGTACGAGTCGTAATCAATGTGCTCAATGCCAATCTGGATGAAGAGCATATCCATCATGAAGGTATACTGGGTAAGCTCGGGATGGAACTTGAGCGCCTTCATCAGGTCCCACTCGAGCATGTGGAATAGCTCGAAGGCGGCGTTGGTAATGACGGCCAAGGTGTTGAGATGGACAGACCGGTCATACCAGTAGTCACACCATCGTTCCTGAACGTAGTTTCGGATGGTGTTGAAGTCTTCGAAGAAGCAGTAAACCATCATGTAGAAGTCGAACTCGTCGTCCTCGTCGTCCTCATCTGCCGAGGGCAGGCCCCAATCGAACGTGTCCAGCCACGAAGTGTCGTCATTATTGTCTGTCGTGGAGGGGCGCGGGGATACCTTCGTCTCGCTATGGCGTTCTTTACGCGGCTTCTTCTTTTTGCTCTTGTGTGATTTTTTGGACCTTGTGGATTTTTGGTCGTCTTCAGACGGTGGATCGCCTTGGTTGTCATCTTCGGCTGCGTCGGGGGACGTCTGGACTTCGAGATGAGTAAACATGTTGATAAGATCGGACAGGCCCATTGGGTTTTTCTCGTCAGGCTTCTCGTTTTTGGTGACCTTGCGGCGAGCCGAGGTCAGGGCTTCGAACTTGGCGAGGATTCGTTCGAGGACGTTGATGATGTGGGCGTGGGTCTGGTTGCTTTCCTGGAGCTTTCGGTCGGCCGGTCGCTTGGCGGCGGCGCCACTAAAGAACTTGAAGCTTTTCTTGCGCAGGTTGACAACATCGCGGAGGATGTTGACGGCGGCATCGGGGATCTGCTCGGGCTCGGCGTTTTGGGCGATCTTGAGGGCGAGAACCTCGAGTTCAGTCCAATGGACAGATTTGGCGCTTTCGATGTTGGTCTCGAGGCGGGGGTCGGCGAGAGGAGTGACTGTGGCTTTGGCTCGGGCCTTTTTCTGCCGTCGCGACTCCTTTCCAGGCGCCGGAGTTGTCTCGACGACTTCGGTCTGAACTTCTGGGGTAGTGCCATTCTGTTTTCGGGACACGACCTTGTCGGCGGTTTGCTTGACCCAGCTGGTGAATTGGGCCTGGGCAAGCTTGTAACGAGCCCATGTACCGCGGCCCACTCGATTCTCGGTCGATTCCATGACTCAATGAAGAGCGATTCTGGTGGTGAGCGTGTTTGCGTGTGTCGACTTCAGACGAAATTTGTTTCTGTTGGGATGGGTTGTTTGGTGTCACTTCGTGCAAGAAGGTAGCTTCGGCACCAATCGAATGGTCGTACTGTGTAAAAATAAAACAAACACGTTACGGTCAGTACCTGACATTACACCTTCAAGTTGGCTATACTTACTCTTATGACGTATCCAACTGTCTTGATTATCTCTTCAAACTTGATGTCAAGGCAATTCTTCTCTGGAAGAATCTTTAGGAATTTCTGGTCGTTTGTTTTCGGATCGTTGTGACCCCTATCACAATCTAACAACGGCCTTTTCTAGCCAAACGAAGCGAGCCGTGTTGAACTGTCATGTTCGGTTTGTCGAACGACGTGACGGGAAGACGCGACCCGAATTATTCGACTGTGTTCGATGCCAGATCGATTGTGTGGGGCCTTACAACTGCGGGACAGTCAAGCTCGGCAGGGCATCAACTTCGCGCGCCAGCACCAAATCCGTACAAGTCATCGTTTTGAGAACGACAACGAGAGCTCATAACCACCTTCAATGAAGCAATCAATTCACGCTAGGTTGCGGAGGTGACATGTACCTTGATTCCACACAGTCGGATTGGAATCGAACACAGACGGATTATCCAAACGTGCCAAAAAGGCGGGGAGCTCCCCCTGCGCCCTGCAAGTGGCCTGTGCTCTTGGCGGGGTTACTTCAGCATCCCCTCGTCGACTTGAATGGTACACTACATCAAGACCAGTGGTGCCTACCAAGGCAGACATAACAACACCTACATAACGGTAGATAACTTGCAGACAAACGTCGAGAGTCACACTGAATTGTCCATTGGTATATGAGCACACCTTATTGCTGCCATGGCTGTCCGCTTCAAGGTCAAAAGCCCATGATGAGCTGGGCTTTCTAAAAGAAAATCGAGAAAGGCATGTACCACTAATGCACAAGTCTCGCCATGGGCATCAGGGGCGGCGTCAGCCCGGTTCTTCACCTGTTGCACAACCTCGGCTTTCGCTCTCTCTCTCTCTCTCACCATCTATTTTCTACACAGATACATCCATCAACATCCTTCACTTTGAACGCCAACCCAAATGGGCTCCAACGATGTGCCGCCCGCCCATTGCCCATCATGGGTAGTCCCCACGAGTACCGCTCTGCTCGGCATTGGCGTGCTGTTCTGGGACGCGACCTATATCCTCATGACGCGGCGCGCTTTAGCCACCAAAACCTACGGCATGCCGCTCCTGGCTCTCGCCCTCAACGTTTCGTGGGAGCTCGTCTATGCCATTTACGTTAGCGAGATGATACTGGAGAAACTGGGCTTTGCCTTCTGGCTCTTGCTGGACATTGGCCTCATCTACACCACCGTCCGCTTCGGTCCCGAGGCCTGGCGTCATACAAACCCCTGGGTAGGCCGGAATATCGGCTGGCTTTTTGCCCTTATGACCGCCGTTGGATGCGTGGGCCACTACGCCTTTGCTGCCTGGTGGATGTCCGAGCCTCACCGCGGTTCCGGCGATAAGACGGGCAAGTTCTGGGCGGGCCAGGATGCATATGATGCCACCGAAGTGGCCTTTTGGTCTGCCGCCGTCTGTCAACTTGCCGGCAGCGCGGGAAGTCTCGCCATGCTCATAACCCGGGGTCATTCTGGGGGAACAAGCTATCTAATTTGGTAGGTTCCAACCCTTCCATTGCTTTCTCCTTCTCCGTGGGTATCCATCCGTACATGGCAAAGGCAGACAAGTCCGCGATTCGGAATCGGCTTCGACCAAGGCGGTATCGTCCCCGCTGAGACAGGGACCATTTCGCAAACATTTGCGAGTTTGACAAGCGGCCATCGTTTCACATACAATGCCACAAACGCGCCTTGCGCTTAGAAAGACCCATCGCAATCACAGACATTTTCAAGCAAATATCACTAACAAGTACGCCAGGCTATGTCGAGCACTCGGCACACTGATCGGTTTGGTGTTTGCCAACGTCTTCCTCTGGTGGTTCTGGCCAGAAGCTCATGGCTTCGTCTTCAGCCCCTTTGCCGTATTCTTATGGGGAACTTCTCTCGTGTGCGATATCTTGTATCCTTTCGTACTGTGGCAGGTCCGCCGGTCTGAGGTGTTGCTTTCAGACGGTACGCTCGCGATGTCAAGTGCTGGTCAGGCCACCTTAGCAGCCCCCGGGAACCACGAGAAGAAGAAGCAATAAGGTCTTCGCGTCTGCAAGCACTTTTCCCCCTAGATCCCAAAATGTGTCTCTGCTTGAGACTTTCTCGCCTCCAAGCTGCATATACCTTCCATCATGTGCTTCCTCTGTGGTTGTCGTCGGCCTTAGGACTCTCGTTGCGTGCATGGTGGTACCAAGATGGCCAATACCAATTCAGCTTCGCATGCATCAAGAGGACAGCCGGTAGTGGCATACATGGATACTAACGTATATAGCCCTATACACAGTGTGTTTCATATGCCCGCCATCTTGACAGGAACTGTTGTTGCATTCTATTCCCGTAGGGCAGGGACAAGTTGACGGTCAACCAGCATCGAATGGTACATATTTAGTCAAGAGCCTCGATGATGAACGCGTCAAAGTGAAACAACCGCCTGCATGAACGACCGAGACAAGCATCATGTTTGCACTTTGGGTCAGCTCCCACCATTCCACTCCTATCCTCGAGCAGGCAAAACGGAGCTCAAGCAGGGAATATCGTCCAGTCAGTTCTTTGAGCAACCATTTTGGGCACCCCGTATCGGTGAGAAGGGTCCGAGGTACTGGTACGCGAGCCCGGACCCCAGCACTGGGATTTTCTCGACGACTTGACAGGTCGCAATGGGTGGTCGTGATCGCTCACATGATCGTTCACACCATGCTAGAGATTCACACAGGCTCACCTGGCCGCCACGGGATATCAGAAAGCAAGCATCTGGGGAACCCCTGGGACAACAGACGGGGACTCGGACAGATTGTTCATCGTCAATATGCTTGTATCTCTCGGAAGGCCCGTCCGAGACATCAAGGGTCCTTTCCCCTTTCAATCCCCCAATTTTACCGACGAGTGTCCTTCTGGTTCAAACCGTCGGCGATTTCTTCGCTTGTTCCTTGCATTCGCCAGGTAGCCTGATTGGTGACTGACCGAATGACCTATCAACTGACTTAACCGTACAGCTCATACAGTCCGACACTAGTAACGCACACTCAGCTTGCTCATGGCCGTGCAATGGAAACAGTATCAGAAGGACTCGAAACCCGCAACGGATTCTGGTAGGCTTAAGGTATCCCCTACACGGGAAGATCTCAACGAACTTGACTGTGATGTGATTCACTGATCATCGTCAGCTTTCTCGACCCTGCATACTGGGTAACATCACAGAGCGGACTATCATGTCCTGACACTTGTCAAACGTGATGTGATCACCTTCCTCGCATACAATCTTTGGTTCCTATCTGCTCTACCACACAGTCCTTCCTCTTTAAAACCATAGCAAACTTTGCTTCTCATTGCCCTTCGCAAGACCATCCCAGACTTGGAATGGATTGCCCGCGCCTGCACGTCTATCTATAGATTTAGACTTCCGAAGCCATTCCATATCACATTTTAGTGCAGCCCAGTGTGACTAGAGGTAGGTTACAAATCACATTTCCCAACTACTCCTTTGCCCCGCAACTCATTATTGGACGCCGTACCTGGCCGCGCTTGTCTCGGACGTAGCTGGTGCCGGGCGATCTCGATCATGGATATGGAATCCATGGAAGCTAGGGGACTTTTATCCGTTTCCATCTAAGCTTCTGTTTCCTCAGAGACAGTGCACATAGTCGGTCAAGGTATCAGTCCTGGAAGTAGCTATACTTCTGCATTCAACAAGAAAGCTGTCAAACGAAGCAGCAAGCAACAATCACGAGCAACATGCAATCCCATTCACTAACAGCTTTTATAACTACATTGAGCTGGGCCGTCTACAAGTCCTGTTAGCGCGTTAGTGAATTTCGCGGGCGGTTTCCATGCGAAGCCCCACTCGCACTAACGATCGGTTACTGCACGAACCGTACGCTCCGCACAACGCTCGCCGAGGAAATTGTTAGGCCTAGTATCTAATATATATAAAATGTTAAGGGCTGACCTCAAACTCCGGTACGCTGTAAGTGAAGGGGGGCTCTCGGATGGCGCAGCCCCCTGGCAGAAAAAGAAAGGAAATGGGAAATAGTAACGATTGAAAACTAATTTACAAATCTAGCCTTTCAACCTTTCGATCGCCTACAGGTTTGGAAGGGTAGGTAAAGCACCTCAATGTAGCTCTACATGGGCCACAACCCCAGACTCCAGCCTTACACCCCTCACACACGCGCAGCGGCGAAGCCGCCCCGAACACTAGTGGTACACTATCAACCTCTAGACTTCATTAGTAACAGTTAGCTCTGTGATGAACATCTCACCATCGATTATAAGACAGCGGAAGTATTGAGAGTACTCGTAAAATTCATGTCATGATTTTCGAAGTTTGTCTGTCTGCCTGGTGCTCAAGTGTGTTGTGCAACGTCAGTACCTATCCCTCTTGAAGTCTGGTCTTGATGCCGCTGACAGTTGCACCGGTCCTGTCAGTCAGAAACTAGAGGTACCTAGGTAGCAAGCAGTTCATCTTCACTCCGGCTGATCACATGAGAGTTTGCACATGCGGTCAGTCCGCTTGGTGGCTCGGCTGCCTCATTCCTAAACCCCAGTCAGTGTCTTGTACGACAAGGGACAGAAGCGATGCATTTCAGGTACTAGTCTAGTGTAGAGAACAGTAGCAAGGCTCCAAGGGGTACGTGGGGAATGCTTGCTTGTCTCTTCGGACGTCTCCTCCGGGCTCCGATCGCAGTATCTAATTTCCTATTCGTCCACTCACCGACACTAAGATCTGTACATCTGAGACCTCGCCGTCGCCGTCGCCGAATTCCTTTCCCTGCAGGGACCATCGCTAAACTAGACCCTTTGCCTTTCTTGTCCGGGGGACTAGCGTACACAGTAAGCTTCGAAAAAGAAAGAAACAACGGAAAAAGAAGAAAAAAAAAGAAAAGAAAAGAGAACGTAAGTAGAAGAAGTAGAGGTACTCAACGATCTGTTCAAGACCCCTAGAGACGGCGAGAACTGAAAAGCACCGGATCACCTATGTAGGTGACTACTCATAAACCAGTGAACCCTAGATCGACAGAGATCTTACCATTTCTTTCGGACCTTTCAGCCGACATGGTTCTGATTTACCTAGCTGAAAGTCTAGAACTTCAACAACTAGTCAGGTGGTAGGTACAGTTCCTTTCTGTCAGTCGCCGGGAAAGTCTCAGAAACCTGTGTTCACCGTGGTAGCTGGAGTACGGCGATAAGGCTGGCCAGGCTCTTATAATAGATACACTGTCAATATTAGTAGGTACTATAGTCACAACAACCAAGTACGTACATGACATGAGGTTTGAAGGCTTCACCAAGGTGAACGTAACATGGCAAAGGTGATCCGCCGGTTGTTGGCTGACTGATAATCGCTTTCAGCTCGTATCTATAAGGTTTATTACAGCTATTTATTTCTCATCTAATCCCAAGGCAAGATGGCCGAGCGGTCTAAGGCGCCACGTTAAGGTTAACCCTTAATCCTCATCTGAGAAATCCGTGGTCCGAAAGGGCGTGGGTTCGAATCCCACTCTTGTCAATCACATACACTTGTTCGTATCCATCTTCGCTCAGGTGGATCTTTCACTTTTTGATTTTTCTGCGGTGGTTTGGATGATAGCCGGGATACCGTTGTTGGGGTTAGTAGCGGGAAAAACTGAGAGATGTCGACGATCTCCCAGATGGCGTTCTCCTTTTTTGGCTGGCTCTGTCATGCATTACATGGTGATTATGTAGAGAGATGAAATGATACTATATCGGCAGTGGACTTGTAGCCCCCTACTAGAGAGTGTATGCTCAGCGATTCATGGCTTGCTGCTGCTGAACATGTACCAACCAATGCTGGGCTTAGTCCAGCTACTAGATAAACAGTGAGGCCGGGTGTTATCAGAGACAAATGTTGAAGCCTGGATGTGAAACCACTTCGTTGTCTTCGCTGGCATGGATGCTTGATTCGGTCAATATATCCCAATACACGGAAGGCAGATTGTTCAAGCGATGTTGTGCAGTCAGACGGTTGTCCATAGCACGAGTGCACCGCAGCCCTCTTTGGCGCATATTAAGACCTGCATCGACCCTCGGATTCAACAACAAGTAAACAAGCTGCATGGCGCAGCGGAAGCGCGCCGGGCTCATAACCCGGAGGTCACTCGATCGAAACGAGTTGCAGCTACTCAGCTTTTTCTTTTTTTTATCTTTCTCGCTTTTTCACTTTCCTGCGTTGATTTCTTTTTCTCCGTTTCTCTGTAATATGCTTGTGGAGTCCCTGATGTGTAAGCCGAAGTGGACCAAAGAGTTCTCCGGGCGGGTTTAGGTTGTCTGGGTCCTTCTGGGTCCCTTCCGTTCAAGGTCTCCACTACGGCCCGGTCCGCTCCGCTCCGGGAGTCCGGGTCCGGCTTTGGCTTTGTGACTTGTAGCTTGGCTGGTCATCTCGAGTGTCGTCCTTGTTGACTGCTGTGAGGACAACGCGGGTTTGTGATGACTACCTATGTTATACCTACGTACCTAACCTTGCTAACCTCCCTGGCTCTTTCTATGTTGATTACTTGGCAGTTGTTGTGCTCATTTCAGATGAGTTGTACAGTCTACATGTATAAATTCCCATTGAGGTTTTAGTCTTGACCCCCAAACTTCAATTGCCAACCATCGTGGTCACCTATGCTGTACCCTCGTTCAAAACTTATTGTCAGAGCTATGGACACATCTATCACTTTCACCTTCACGTACTTGGCCATCAGAACAATGCGTGAAGGGGATGGGATTTGACGGGGGAAGGAGCAGCGTGTAAGCTACTGCTGAGTAAGCCACCCCACCACCCGTTGACCTCTTCTCCTTTTTTTTTTTTTTTTTTTTTTTTTCCACTTAATGTGGGATAACGATGGTGGTATGCACATTGATGCTTTTAGAGTCAGGCTATCATCAGCAAATTTAGGATCGGGCTTAGGATCAGGATCATCTGTTTGTAAGCGGATGTCATCTGTTGGTGGGGGAGGTAGAGCTGCAACGTTCAATTCTTCATCTTACCCCCCACGCACAACCAAAACACAACACATCCCACTCCCGTCATTGATGCTGATCATTCTGCTTACACCCTCCTCCATGTTTAACCATGAGTGCGGTCCTTTCTATGACCACCCGAAGCCCCCCGGAAATGGCAATGCCAACCATCGTTGTATAATATTGCAGCAGGGTCGCTGATGTCACATGTCAGACGGGATTTTCCGAAAAGAAAACCATCTCTAAAGCTTACGGAGCTGTTTATAACCGGCGTCTCTGGTCAAGAGTCTGCTAAGACTTGTACAATATCAAGCTGACATCAGACGGCGCGCGCGGGGGAAGGACATCGAGAGAAGCTTGTCACATGGTGGCTTGCAGGATAAGCAGATCAAAAGTCAGAGTCAGTTATGACATATGGCGGGCAATTTGCAAAGTGATTGTCTTGCTGGTTTATCAGTGAGCAGTGAAGCAGTCTGAGATAGGATTAGTAGGGCTTTGTTCAGGAACCACGGTCAAGAAAGGAAGGAGCACAGAAGCAACTATAACACGACTGTTCCCGAAGAAAGCTTGACTAGGATGCGCCGAAGGCGGCAGAAGGGACACTCGTGCCTTGCCCTGTACATCGGTGCCTTGCCCTGTACATCGACAAGCTTGTGATAGAAACAGTGAGGTGCCCCATTTCCCTCACGCTCCGTTTTTGACAAATGAGCTTGAAAACGTCGGGAGCCAGATAAGGAAAGCCCGGTGTAGCTTATCATATATCATCGAGGCATGGATGGGGCGATGGTCTGGCGTTGCTAGGAGGTAGCCCCAAAAAGAAATTCGGTGTAACCCCAACCGAGTCTTAGGACAGATCTGATATAACTCGGTGAGCCGGCCAGATGGTAAGACCCATGGAAGATTGGATGCTCGATGAAACTGTGGGGTCTTATAGGGCCGCATTAAAAACCAGGAAGGAGGTCGGGACTTTGCCAAATGAAACCCCAGAATGTTCCATGACATGAAGGTACACGCTGCCACGTGGTTAGAGGTAGCTAGTTCGAGGACTGAGACACGTGCGGGATGACGATCGAATGTCTGGCTTCGGATTATAGTATCTGATGAGGGATCTTCACATGCTTACTCGGTTGAATTAAATTTTCCAGGTGTATGGGCCGAGTTGAATAGTTGTCTGGATAAAAATATGACGAAGATGCGACTGAACATATAGCCGCGAAAATATGAAACGGTGCAGATTAACCGACATCATGTGAAAGATGTCATCGTTATGGGGAAATCTGGGGGCTGATTCCAATGTCCCATGAGGGTCAAATTTGTGCATATCAATTTTCAAGCCCGGTTGGTTTGGGTCAATGCACCGGATCCTCGAGCCGAAGGTCGTTGAGTTTCTGGTCGAGATGCAGCGTAGGCTACCGTCGACCCGTCACTTCAAGTGCCGGCGCTGCCTCCTTTCTGGTCGTCGAAGGTCGACATTAGTTCTCCCGGAGAACAACACTCTCCACCAACGAACCTTGGTAGAAGTTGTCCCTTTTGGGCGGCTGGCATGCTGTGCCGAGCGATCTGCGCGCCATGCTATAGCTGATACATACAGCGATACGGCCACATGGCAGGGTACACATACGTAAGCTGCCGCAGCTATGTGTGGAGCCTGCAATCTTCTGGGTTGGCGACTCTTGTGGGTTAGGGGAGAGTTTGTGGCGTATATACTAGGTGGTTGAACATGTACAGAAGCTATTCAGCACCCAATGGCCTTGGACTTGGAAACCACCGCCAAGCCATGTGTACTGCCCAACTGCTAGACTCGGGTTTTCGGAAACCATCGGTCAAGGCTGACAGGACCGTTGAAGCGTTGATACATGCTGTAGGCAGGTAGAGCCATGAAGCCGGAAATTAGGACTTCGGGTGGACGGACCGTCAAAGGATCGGGTGCCCCGATGTCAACGGCGGTGGTGCAACATGGGTATGCCGAGCCTGCCCGACCATGTCTCTCCAACGGCTCGCTTGAACTTGGCCTGAACTTGCTGGGCCCTGCAGGGAAGAACCAGACCATAAACATATGCCATCCATATGCAGCCCTCAGAGACCCAGGTTTGAGAGAAGGTCATGTCGCAGAAATCCCATGGAACAGTTAGTCTTGGCGTGTTCTGAGGTACAACCTTGGGGACCATGGAGGTTCGTCTCTCTAAGGGCGTCCATCTCGGGCGTTGACAGGAAGTTGAGGTCGATCAATATGGAAAAGTCTTATCCTGTTTGCAAGGTACTCCAGATTCGACGAGCGTCGGCGTGTCGGGCCCGTTGGCCCTGGACTGGAGTGTCGGGTCGTGAAGGTACCTCTAGTGGCTGTGGTGAGGCCGCTACAGGGCCGCTATTAAATCAGCTTTAGGTGTCATTTTAGATCCCTAACTCCCGTCCGGGCACCCTTACCACACTGATTCATCAGCATCTTTTTCTCATTTGTGACATTTCCTCATTGCCGATAGCTTACTGACCATGGACACACACACACGGCAGACTCAGACCGGTGAAAAGAGCTAAGGCCTTTACGGTGTTCAACACTCGGACGGGGTGGGGGTAGTATTGTGCCACTGGCCAGGATTCAATGCCATCCACGGAGTACAAAGCTGGCCATGTACTGGTACTTGATTCCCAACTTCATCACATGTTGGACGAGCGAAGCGGGTGATGGCCCTCGGTGGCCCTGCTGGCATCCGACCCGATACAAGGAAAAGCTGGAAAGCCGGTCCTACTGAAGTATCAAGAAAGAAACGAAGAGATTCGGAAATGTTCCAGATTATGCAATACGATAACTGCAGCTTGATGTCGCAAAGCACAAGGCGGTTTCTTGAGTGTTGGTCGTTGAAAGGTGCAGTGGGTACGATATGGGCAATTGTAGAGGGGCACTTCCACTTGTGGCGGCTGGTAGGCAGATGCCCGGCAAATTACCCCGCCCGCTATCGCTAGGTACCTTACGGTGGCCCAAGTGTGCGTTAGGCCGTTTATCCAAAAGTTCCAAAGACAAAAGTCTATACCAACTGCAGGCATTAGGCTTGTACTGGGGGGTGGTATCAAATCCTTGTGCATACCTCTAACCTTAATAAGCTGTCTCCCGCAAAGTCAACTCCCATTGATTCTCATCAACTCCCCTTGACTCCCCTCGACTCCCCTTGACTTCTATTGATTCCTATTAATTCTCATTGCTTCATTGCTTCATTGCTTCATTGCTTCATTGCTTCATTGCTTCATTGCTTCATTGCTTCATTGCTTCATTGCTTCATTGCTTCATTGCTTCATTGCTTCATTGCTTCATTGCTTCATTGCTTCATTGCTTCATTGCTTTATTGCTTCATTACTTTATTACTTTATTACTTCTTTCTTTCGAACGGGGTCTGTGAAGATTTTAAGTAGTAGTATAAATAGATATTGCAATAGCTTAGTTCGTTCTTCTCCAAATTTCGGAGTTGGGGTACTTAGGGGGTTCTAAGCGCCAAGGCTTCCCTTTCAAGGGAGGGGGAGGGGGGGGGGGGGGGGGCCTTGGGGCTTAAAATCCCCCAAATAAAGAAATAATACAAAT